GTGGCCAGGAATCGAACCAGTGCTGCAGAGGCTACGGGCAGCTTCGCAGCCCAGTGCTCAACCGCTGCGCCACCGGGGAAGCCCAATAATTTTATTTTTTTATATGTTTTTTACTTTTTTTTTTTTTTTTCTGGCAATGTATGCTTTCTCATCTCAGTTATAGTCCGCGTGAAATTCCCACCACCGATTCACCCGTGTACCATCACCATAGTCCCTTGTGCTCTTCCCGTTTTGATCCTGCTCCCTTCTTCCCCACTGCAGAATGTCTCTGATTTATAGTTGCTTGTCGATTTTGATTTTCACTTGATTATAATAACTATTTTTCCCTCTGATCCCTTATTTGGATCCTCCACATTCCTTCTATAAGTGAAACCATCCAGTATTTTTCTTTTTCTTCAACTTAGTATTGATTTACTGTTTTTTGTTTGCTGGTTTGTTTGTTTGTTTTTGTTTATACATGCACTGGGTACAGTCAGAAGCTCGGGAGGGCGAGAGAATTCACCAGAGCCAGAGCGGGGAGCAGAGCAGGCAGAAGGACCGAAGCACACTGCTGAGGGGAGCAGCGGGCGGCAGGAGAGGTCTGCGCGCCATGTGGGACCCTCCTCTGGTGGCCGGGGAGCAGCCGGGGATCGAACCGGCGCCGCAGAGGCCGCGCGCAGCTTCGCAACCCAGCGCTCAACCGCTGCGCCACCGGGGAGGCCCTGATTTACTGTTAAAAGACATAAGATCCTTATTGAACTGAGCAAATTGGTTAGCAGGTTTACATTATTTTTTCTCAACCACATGAATAGTTGCAAAATTCCACTGCCATATCTAGTCTAAACATGGCAAAACAATATTAAGAAATGATGTGACTTCATTTACTTTGATTACTATTTCTGATCCCTCTCCCACATATTGGTTAGGTGTTTCATAGATGATGTCTACAGTTTCTCTTTGGGTCTGTTTGAGAGAGATAATTAGGACATTTCACTGTGGAAACCTACGCAGGTCTGCTATCAGAAGTCTTCAGATGGAAGACTGCTGGAGGGAGTAGCCCTTTCATCTATCAGTTGAAGTCATCTGGCAGGACGTTCACTGGAGCAGTGGTCTGAAGTTTTGTAACTCAGCAAGATCACTGAATTTCACAGAATTACTGGCTTTTAGCTAAATACCTCTAGTAAAGTAACCACTAGGCCACAGTGGTTTGTTTTCCTAACATGGGGCTTGGAATGATTACTCGATAGGCACATTACAGGTGACCTGAAGTTTATGATCCCTCCTGCATGTGCAGCTGTTGGGGAACATCAGCTATTTAAGAGCTTCTTTGGATGTCCCCATTCCTCTTTTTAGATGTCAGGACTATTATCAAGTCATTGATATTTTTGTTTCTGCGTTTCCAATGAAATACCTGTTGCAGATCTTTTTCTGCATGAAAAATTGACCTTTTGCTGTCAAGAAGAATAGTTCAAAGTCTAATCCTATAACCTTGAATGTTTTTCTAGTATGGTGACATCAGGTATCTCATTGATCATTAATTGTAGAATATTCTCTGACACATGGGTGCAGAAATGGGGGTTGGGGAAGTAAGTGGGTGTTCCATTGGCGCTTAACTCAAAACTCTTGATTAATCACCATCTTATCACCACTATTTCTTGAGTTTTCAAAGTTAATGTGTAGAGGACTTGTCCCAAATCCAAAAGTTGTTAATACTAGTGTTTCCAAAAAGGGTGTCATCTTGTTTACAATCTAGCCTTAGTCAATTGGCAAGGTCTGTAAAGTTCTAAACTATGAAATGAGTAAGTTATTGTTCTGCTTGTGCCTTAAGCTTAAGATTTTGTCCAAAGTATTGTAGAAATAAGTTAGATTGAGAAAAGTCAAGAAGCCATTAATGCTGATGATTTTAGCTACAACTTGTGAAATTAAAAGTGAAAAATGAAGGTGGCGAGTATGAAAAGTGTGTATATATAAAGCAAGTGATTTGGGGAACTTCCCTTCCCTAAACTGTAGTCTTGCTTTCATACATTTACATTTTTTATTCTTCTATATAGGGTGGAATATTTATAAACATGAATGATGATATGTCTCAATCCTTGGATACTCATATAATTTTGATGCTAAGATACCTTGTAATACAAGGCTGTTTGTTTTCTCTCTTAGGTGGTCTTCGAGGAGTAGCACGAGGTGGTCTAGCAGGACTAACACTTACCAGCCTTTATGCACTATATAACAACTGGGAGCACATGAAAGGCTCCTTGCTCCAACAGTCACTTTGAAGATTTTGCCAACTCATGAATGGAGAACACTTTAGTAATCATCCAGGTTAATTTATAAGTGAGCCTGGAGTTATTCTATCTTCTACCTACAATTAATTTGAGAAATTGGAGATTTTCATTTGCTATGATGAAGATCATGGATGGTTGACCTGGACGGGCACTCCTTCCAGCCATTAATGAGTTGAAGTCAAACACCCTTTAGTGGCTGAGTAATGTAGTTTTCTTCTTCTCTGGAGATTTTGCACCTATTATCTCCTACACTTGAACTGGAAAACCACTTACTCCCATAAGTTCAGGTCGTGCTTGCTATCAGTACTTGTAACCATATTTGTTCATTTAATGATCTGAAACTATGTTACCCTGTATTCCCAATAAAGGGTAAAAACAGAACCAAAGTCTTTACTCCAACATCAACACAGTGGGTGTCTCTGTTTAAAAGTGTCTTTCTGGATTTAAAGTAAGTTATTTTTGGCATTTTTCTATCTCAACTGAGCTAAAACAGGTTTTCATGTTTGTGTTGAAATTAGCTTCTGGTGACTAATAGCTAGGGTAAGATTTTTTTTCCAAGAGTTGACACTGAACCTCAACACTGTTCAGATTAACCATTAAACTTCAGTGTGCTAAGAACTGTGTCCAGCAATCATAATTCTGTGCACATTAAGTCATCTCCTTAGTTGGGATAATCAGAGAAAGAGATGAAACAGAGCTGTAAAGATTTTCAGGGTGGCCTTGGGAAGCTTAAGGAAATAAGAGCAAATTATGAATTTGATTCAGGAAAAGAACAAATTATTATGTTTCTCATTTATGAAATGAAAATACAACTGCCCTGCAGGTTACATAATTCATACATGATTCAACTGGTGGTTTATGATGGGGAAAAATAAAGTAGGGCATTCTTAAGTGCATCTAATAAGGAATTTGACAGTAAAGCACTGAACCTTAGCAGGAATCCTATGGCGTTGATATATTTCGTCAGCAACAGAAATTAAGAGTTTGTAGGGGGAGAAAATGTAAATTTATAATAATATAACTATTCTTTGCTAACTCAAGATTCATTCATTCATTTGACACATTTAAGTGACAACAATTTTTATATATTCAGGTTGTTTCAGCTATATTAACAAATGTTCACTTTTATGTAATGTGATAGTACATTTTGTGACAAGGTAGTTTTATAAATGCACATGACAATTATGGCTGTTATGCTTTTAATGGAGGAAGGTAGAAAATACATCAATGCAAAAGAACATCTTATATACTAGCATAGTGATTAACATAAATTTAAGAATACACTTAAACCTCAAAAAAACTACAAATTTTCTTGCAACCTAAGATAATGGAAAGGCTCCTTAAGTTTGTTTTGTTTTGAGGTTACATTGGTTTACAACATTGTGTAAGTTTCGGGTGTATACTTCAACGTATGTATATACTACATAGTAATCAACAAAAATCTAGTTTCCATTTTACCCACCACCTTTATTATTAAAATTCTAAATAATGTCTGGGGAGACTAAAAAATAAGGCTCTTTTCAGCTGTGGTTCAAAGAATTCTAATGAAGCTGTATATGACAATGGGACTGAAGTTTTCCCCCGAAAGTGCTTTGACCACTTCACAAACTTTGAAAGATTTTCCAGTAACCTGTAGACAAGTTTTGTGGCTTACTAATTTAAAAGCCTGGGAAGTAACTAGGATATCCCATCTTAGAGAAAATTAAAACATTTTAAGTCCCGTTTCTCCTACAGAGAAACTTAAAGAATGACTTATAGAATAGTGGGAAAACACCAAGTTTTCATAAAGCTTCAATAAACACTCCCAAGGCACAAGTAAGTGTTCTAACGGCCTGTTCACCAAAATGTCACTGCATTAAACTTTTAGAGGTACAGAATATGGGATGCTTGCAGTGAAAGAACATTTCATTTTTTTCCCAAGTTAAAAGCACCAGGTGTCAAGCTCAGCTTCCATTTACACAGGATGCACCAATAACCCTAAAATAGTATTTCAAGCACGAATACCATACTTAAAGATGTAATACCATAAATACTACAAAGTCCAACACTTCTTGCCTCTCGCTCTTTGAGTGGCACGGGGCTCTTTCACCTGTAGGTTCAAAAGATTTTCAAAGAGGCTAGGACTACCCTAAAAATACAGTCTTGAAGCAATACAAGGCCCTTTTAAAAGAACACACTGAGAAAGACAAAATTTACAGTAGCTGAAATTCTTTCAAAAGGTAGTAATAAAGAATCTGCTGTGTTTTGTAATTGTGTCAAAAATTGCCACTGTTAATACCCATTTTGGTAACAACAACCAAAAAAAAAAAGAAGAATTTCTTAAGCTAATGATGAAAACCCACAGTAAGGGAAGCATCTAAAGAAGAGGAATCAAAAGGTTAGGGATGGTTTATTAACTGTAATACATAAACACACCTGATAGAACAATTTCATTTTTAAAACTAGTTTTAATGTAATAACCAATCTAAGGAGCCATGGAGGCCTATGAAAAAGACCTACCCACCAAGATGCTGTGTTTCAGTGGTAGGGGTGAATTAATACTTCTGTAAGAAGGAACTTATTCACATCAGCATCAACAAACAGCCTTTTTCTTGTACACAGTAACTCATATTTTGATGGCTATTTTCTCTTCGCTAGATCAAAATTAAGCAGAAAGGGAACTAAACTGATTGGTCAGATCCAGAAACAATGATTTGAGAAGCTGCAGTCACTTGGCTCATGGATGTGTGATACTTTGCAGGAAAGTTGCTTGACTAGTACTCCATCCCTTCACATCTGTAAAGAAAAGCCCACAAATACAAAGTCACTTCACTATAGAACAAAAGAAAACTACCCCCCACGTTAAAGCTCACTCATTTTTTGTTTTTATTGTGGTAACACACTGGTTTACAACACTGTATATAAGTAAGAGGTATAGGATCACACCCTTCAGATAAATGTAATCCTACAATCAAAGAACCCACAAACTAATCCACACGACTAAAAATTTCCCGATAGATCTGTCATCTTCATAAAGGAAGTTCAAGTGAGTTATATGAAATCATGATCTAACTCCTACCCTCACTTGCCTAATATAAACACCATTAATATGAATACAGTTAAATGGGCACAAGTATGAATTCATATGTAAGACAAAACATAAGCAGCTGAAATCTAACAATTACATTAGTGACAAGTACCCACCTGCAGAGGAGTTCGATACAACCACTTTTCTTTATCAAGTTTAAGCTGCATACAGGCAAAGAGGTCACAAACTGCGGGGAGACCGTAATGGTCTGGGGGAAAGTTATGTTCCTCCTGTAGGGGTGAATTAAGTAATACTTCCTGCAAGAAGAGAAAAAGGTGGGTTCCTACATGACAGCTTAAAAGTCACTTAACTCAGCTTCCAAGTATGGTAGTGTCTATAAAGAATAAATACTGGCGATTCTCTCTAATAATCAAAAGCAAAGGTGACAATTATTTTATCTTTCCACAAATAGCAACAAAATAGGCAATGCCTTTTCTTTTTGGCAGAATGGGGGCTGGAGATGTGGAAAAATGCACAAAAATCTCAGTCTAAACATAAATCATTTGTTAACTTGGCACTAATACTACTTCAGCCAAATTTAACACTTAACACATTTAAGGATCTCACCCATCTTCCTGGGATTAAGGAAGTAAAAATTGACTAAATATGTTTCCAAACAGCTATTTTGATGTCTGTGCTCACCTTGGCTGCCTTTCGAAGTAGCCACTTATCTTCTCCTGAGGATAACTGATTGAGGTTTCCAGTTTTCTTTCCTGGCAAGACCCAGTCGGCTGTGTTCAAGGGACACCAAGAAGTGGCCACAGGGCTCATAAGCTTTTGTTTGGCAGCACTAGATGCTTCAGCACTAGGCACTTCCTTGGGATGTCCTCCTTTGCATGAGGGCCCGATAAGCCATGCAGACAAGGGACTGTTCCTTATGACTTGGAAGGAATCTGTAATTCTTGAAGGAGCCGCTGTCTTTGGTGCCTTGATTTCTTCTGTTGACTCTCTTCTGGAAGGACAGAGCCACATATTCAGGGAATCTCTACGCTTCTCATACTCAGGTTTTGGTTCCACAGGCATACCATTTTTATCCTTTCCTTCTTTCTTCAGAAGCCATTTACACAGCGCTTCCTTCTCACAATTTTCATCACACACACACTCTGCAAAGCTTGTACAGGGCTCATTGGCTTTGCATACCTCCTCTACTTTATATGGGTCCTGATGGTTCTGGACAAGCCAAACCTCAGCAATTGTGCTAGGAGTGGACAAGGGTTTCTTGGCCTCCAAGTGGTCATTTAGGCACTTCAGATTGCCCAGGTTTTCAATCTCCACACCTTTGGGCTGATTGCCCCTACAATTGGTACAGGAATCAGGTTTGATGAGCCAATCATTCACACTATAGGACTCCTGGAACACCTGGAACAAGGACTTAAACTTCTCATTAGTTCCGCAGTTGCCACTCCCAAGCTTCTCCAGATCATGGTATTCCTGAGGAGTCACCAACCAGTCAGAAAGGTCGATCTCATCTTGATCCAAAAGGTCTAGATCTTCAACCTTTTCAATTTCAACAGAGCAAGAACTGGTAGTAGAATAGCTGTTATGCTTTTGGTGACTTGATTTTTCAGGAACTTCTTGTTGCTGATTCTTGAGAAGCCAGTTTTCCAAGCCCTTTAGGTTGCCCCAAGCATTACTGAAGAAATTGCAGGCTCTGGCAGAAGTCTACACAAAAAGTACAAGATACTGGTTTGCCGGAATACTATGACTACTTTGGGGAGTCAATGATAAAAGTTCTATTTGCATATTTACTGCACTATTCAATGTTTCTAAATTTATACATACAAAGCCAAAAGATAAGGGATTTCTCTGCTGAGATAATAATTTTTTACTACATGAACAATTTTAATTGCTGCAGTTTTTAAAAACCCGGAAAACAGGCAAACCAGGAGAAAGCATATGTAGCATATTTGATAGAAAAGAAATTAGTAATTCTACATAATATGCCCATATGAATAAAGACCAAAATGAGCAAAGACTATGATTAGGCAAGTCATCAAAGGCAATAAACATGAAAAAATCAAACAAACTCAACCTTCTTAATAATCAAAGGACTTCATAATAAAAGAAATTGTTATTTCATGTCAAAATCAGAGGGGAAAAAAACCCTGAAAATGACTACCACTATTAGAGAAGTTGCAGGGAGGCAGGTACTCTCAATACTCTATTGGTGGGAATATAAATTGGTATCAACTTTTAGTAAAGCTAAATTGACAATATGATTACAAGCCTTAAAGGATATGTAGATTTGTAATCTAGAAATGCAATTACTAGGAATTTAGTCCTGAGGAACTGTACATAAGTAACTAGCTCCTGGGGCCTCCCCGGTGGCTCAGCGGTTGAGCGCTGGGTTGCGAGGCTGCCCGCAGCCTCTGCAGCACCGGTTCAATCCCCGGCTGCTCCCCGGCCACCGGAGGAGAGTCCCACATGGCGTGCAGACCTCTCCTGCTGCCCGCTGCTCCCCTCAGCAGTGTACTTCGGTCCTTCTGCCTGCTCTGCTCCCCGCTCTGTCTCGGTGAATTCTCTCACCCTCCCGTGCTTCTGACTGTACCCAGTGCTTGTATAAATAAATAAATTAATTTAAAAAAAAAAAAAGTAACAAGCTCCTGAATGTTTTAGCCAGCTAATGATATATTACATATTATTAAGAGTTTTATGTAAGAAATTAAATGGTAGAAAAATATACTCATGCTCTATTAGATTAGGTTAGTCCTGCTAACAGGACTAATAGTTTTAGTATTTTTTTAGTTTTTTTTTTTTTTTTTAAATAGAGGCATGTTTTATTTATTTATTTATTTGTTTGTTTGTTTGTTTGTTTTGTTTATACATGCACTGGGTACAGTCAGAAGCGCGGGAGGTGAGAGAATTCACCAGAGCCAGAGTGGGGAGCAGAGCAGGCAGAAGGACCGAAATACGCTACTGAGGGGAACAGCGGGCGGCAGGAGAGGTCTGCGCGCCATGTGGGACCCTCCTCCGGTGGCCAGGGAGCAGCCGGGGATCGAACTGGCGCCGCAGAGGCCGCGGGCAGCTTCGTAACCCAGCGCTTAACCGCTGTGCCACCGGGGAGGCCCAGGACTAAGTTTTTTTTTTTAATTGAGGTAATACTGGGTATTACCGCCCTTCAGGTAATATCACCATAGTGTACCCACCACCCACTCACCCATGTTCCACTACCACAGACCATTGTGCCTTCTTCCCTCTTTGTTCCTGCCTCTCCTCTTACCCCTCCCTCTTTGGTGCTTCAGTTCTATAGTCAGCTATCAAGCTTTTCTTTATTACAGCCTTTTAAGTATATATATATGTAGAAAAAATGAAATAAATGTTACAGTGGTTGTTGCTGACTATTGTGATTAATGGATCTGTTTTCTTTATATAGTTTTATGTTTTCTAAATTTTGTATATATAATGAAGAGCTGTCACCACTGTTAGAAAGTTATTAAAAATGGGGCCTCCCCAGTGGCGCAGCGGTTGAGCGCTGGGTTGCGAAGCTGCCCGCAGCCTCTGCAAGCGCCGGTTCGATCCCCGGCTGCTCCCCGGCCACCGGAGGAGGGTCCCACATGGTGCACAGACCTCTCCTGCCGCCCGCTGCTCCCCTCAGCAGTGTACTTCGGTCCTTCTGCCTGCTCTGATCCCCGCTCTGGCTCTGGTGAATTCTCTCACCCTCCCGCGCTTCTGACTGTACCCAGTGCTTGCATAAATAAAGAAATAAATCTTAAAAAAAAAAAAAAAGTTATTAAAAATGTTTCCAGACTAGAACTAAAACCTAAAAACTTGGTTAGTAACTCTACTCCCAGAAACAATAAAGTCAGCAACACACCTGATTATTCTCTGGGATCTGCTTTTGTGTGAGCCAGTCCTGCAGATTGGTGCTGGGTATGTAGGGAGCCTGACGATAACTGGCAGATTTGCCTCCAAGGAGCCATTCACTGAGAGGGACAGTGGTGGTGCTGGATGCTGACTTCTGCTAATCATATAACACCATGCTGCTTAACAAGTCAATGTCAAATGCAGTAGAAACTTCACCCGAAAAACAGGCAACCCAAGCTCTCTAATCTTGGCTTGTCACTGCCCCTGCACAAGTCACTTGACTTTCCCAAGCCTTCATTTTCACAATTATAATACAGAGTATAACTGACCTCCAGGGTTCTTCCCCACTTAAATGCCTTAGATCCTATGTTCACATTGCATTTAGAAGTAAATCATCTCTGTGAATTGTAGAGGAGGATCCCCAAGAGAGAACCAACCCAATCATAGAGCTAATGATAATTTCCTGTAACAATTTCTCTCTTATTCAAAACTTATAAAACCTTTAAATTTCTGGCATTCGGTCTCAAGAGAAGTACTTAATTGCATAAACTAACTCATTAACTATGGTGCCTTTTTACAAAGGTAGCCCCCCCAAAAATGATTTAGTTAAAATACTTAAGTAATATAAGTCAAACAAAAACACTGTTACCAGAAACAAAATGACATTTTACCTGCTCTGTCAATGGGCTATAAGCTCTTTTCTCCATGAAAGGCCCAATATTTGATGAACTACCATGAACCATCAGGTGCTCAGGAATTTGCTATAAAAAAAGTCAAATTAATTGCATTAGCAACATTATGCTTTCATACCAAAACCGTGAAAACTGTAATTTCTACATTTTCAAAAGTATTAAGCAAAACATTACCATTTCAACAGAATATTCTTCACACTAAGTGCAATGACCTTATTCTTCACACTAAGATGCTGGGCTCACCTCAACATATTCATAACCAAGTTACAACAAAGATAACCCCTGATAGACAGTGAATGACTATCAAATATATGAACAGTAACACTTCTGTGGAAGGGGTAGGTAAATTCAAAAACGTAGAAAATAGATATCAAATCTGAGAGTTCTCTATCAGCTACAAAATTATCATCATATAATAAGCTTTCATCAGAATTGGTACCATCACTACTGTTAAGATCCAAATAAAACTATATTTGGTTATCTAAGTTAAAGAACACTCAAACCACAAATTTATTAAGAAATATGCCAAAGGGGCCTCCCGGTGGCGCAGCGGTTGAGCGCTGGGTTGCGAAACTGCCCGCAGCCTCTGCAGCGCTGGTTCCATCCCTGGCTGCTCCCCGGCCACCGGACGAGGGTCCCACATGGCGCGCAGACCTCTCCTGCCGCCCGCTGCTCCCCTCAGCAGTGTACTTCGGTCCTTCTGCCTGCTCTGCTCCCTGCTCTGGCTCTGGTGAATTCTCTCACCCTCCCGTGCTTCTGACTGTACCCAGTGCTTGTATAAATAAATAAATCTTATAAAAAAAAAAAAATATCATCCAGCTCCATTTAAAAAAAAAGAAATATGCCAAAGGTTTTTAAAGAGATACAAGATAAATTCTAGAGACTATCACTAAGTTAATACCACACTTCTAGAACTAGCCTAGTTAATGCTCTAGCAACTTAATCAGAACATGAAATTTTTGAAGCTTACCAAATTACCAGTAAGTCACTAAAAAGTCATATGTGATGTTTTTAAGATCACCTATGAGACCATAAACCAGAGAAGTGCACAATGAACCATTTGAGATCAAGATTACTCACAATGGTTTTAAGGGACCCAAATGTGGTGATGGCCTGGCGCAGAGCAGTTGTATCTGCTTCAAAGACCAGGACAGTTGAATCTTCAGGTTTGAGGGTCAAACTGCCCAATCTAAGGGAAAAAATAAACAACACGTGGTTAAAGGAGTATGATTTTCAACTTCATCCAAAAGAAGTGTCAAACTGTGAATAACCTGAAATAATTGTCGCTTTCTGAAAAACTCAACCAAAGGCAGATGACCTAATCATGCATCAGCAGGTACAGTAAATATATAAAGCAGGACAATCTTATCATAGGAACAGAGAAGTTAGCAAATCCAACACAAGTTAATCCAACACATGCAATGAGTTACAAATCTGAGATTTTTAAATAAACCATAGTCAAAGAGCCAAAAGTCAAGACAAGCAAAAAAGGTCTTTACCTCTCCAGACATACTGAGACTTGATTGGCTAGATCTTTGTTTTGGGTGCACTCCAGCTGATGAATAAGACAATTGAACTGGCCCAGTAACTACAAAAAAAAAAAATGAAACCATCTAAGCCACAGTGATACTATAAGCAATAAGCGTACCAAAGGTAACATACAGCAAACAGCACTTATTATTAAACTTTTAGCTGATCTATATAAATGCTTCATTATAGGAAAGATATTCTCTCAAAACCAAAAACCACATTCAAATCAACTATAGTCACCATACCCAGTAGAGCTGTTGGGCCTGCTGCTGAAGGGTCTCCTCTTTAAGCTGATAGATGAGATCTACCTGTTCAAACAGCCACACCTCACGGCTTCTAAGGCATTCCAGGTGACGACTTATGCAGCTGTGAATCTGAGCTTTGACCTAGGAAACATATGTATTAGCTTCACTAGTGTTATAAGCCTAAAGACCAGTGTTCCCCTAGAACAGGAAGGTCTCTCAATTTTTGAAGGTCACAAGTCCTTTTGCTTATCCAATGACAGCTATGGAGGATTTCCCCATAAAATGCATATTCTCAGAAGTTTGCCTATAATTTCAGGGTTTAGTGTCCCAAAGTCTTCCCATGAATCTACCAAAGCTCCATGATCACAGATTAAGAACTTGGACCATAAAGGTATATCTAAGATCTAAAATCCTCTTTCAAGAACTCTCTTCCTAAGGGGATCAGGTTTGTTTAGGGTGTCCTAAAGTAATCAGGAGAAAATACAAGGATGTATTTCATGATACTGGTACTCCTCAGTTTTCCTCATAATTTGAAAATCAACAGTTTTACAAATGTATTAGAGGAGTAAGACAGACTATTAGCTTAATAGCTAGTCTTTTTCTCTTTTCTCATTACATATCTAAGCAATCGTGTACAGTAGACTAATTTAATAAAGAGATGTATCACTACAAATCCACAACTAGAAAGCCTTGAGGGTAGGAAGTTTAAGTTATAAACTAAATGTTTGTAGAAAATACTATTCAAGGGCCTCCATGGTGGCGCAGCGGTTGAGCACTGGGTTGCGAAGCTGCCTGCAGCCTCTGCAGCACCGGTTCGATCCCTGGCTGCTCCCCGCCCACCGGAGGAGGGTCCCACATGGCGCGCTAGACCTCTCCTGCCGCCCGCTGCTCCCCTCAGCAGTGTACTTCGGTCCTTCTGCCTGCTCTGCTCCCCGCTCTGGCTCTGGTAAATTCTCTCACCCTCCCGCGCTTCTGACTATACCTAGTGCTTGTATAAATAAATAAATAAATCTTTAAAAAAAAAAAAAAAAGAAAAGAAAATACTATTCAAAAGGATGATAAACATAAAAATTCTAAGGAAAAAATCCATGAATTACCCATAAAAATTCACATAAGACACCATAAAAACACATTTAGGCCAAAGGAAAACATCAGGTCAGAGGAAAATAAATTTAATTCTGGCTTACTCTACAGATAGTTATTTGTAGAACCAACTTAAAAGATGGTAAGGGACATGCGTGCTGAACTGCCATCCTTTATGTATCGAGAGGACACACTGGACCAGCGCACTGTCATCCACTTCACAATTTTACTAACTACAGTGCCTAGGCACAGAGGCCATAGAGAAGTACAACAAAAACTGCAAAGTGAACGGATTTCTCTAAAGTGGCATAAGGTTTTCCACACTATTCTAACATCTGTTTTATGTTCCCCTTTGGAATCAAAGGGACCAACATTCCATGCAGTCATGCAAGCATGAGTGAAACTTTTTGGTTGGTACTGAGAGGCCAAGCCTTGGCCATGCTCTAACAACCTATGCTAAGAATTTATACAAGAGAAAAGTAAAGTATATGTCATACCTCTCGCAAGTTATCTTTAATTTGCTGTTCAGCCCGGAGAACTCCACCAATAGCAAGTTCCAAGTCCCTCCTTGCATCACAACACCTCAATAGGGGTTCTCTATTACTGGAGCAGCCACTCTGGTCCTGTGAGGTGCTCATTCTGTTCACTGTTCCTTTAAAAGAAAAAAAAAAAAGTTAAAAAAGGACTAGAAGGATCCATAATTCCCTTGAAAAGAAACCGAAAACTAATAATTTGATCAAGAGCTTAGTACATTGTTCAGATCTGGCATTAATTTGAATTTATTGAAAGGATGAAATTTTTAATTTTTTTCTTTTCTAGGTGGACTTTTTTTTTTTTTTAAAGATTTATTTATTTATTTGTACAAGCACTGGGTACAGTCAGAAGCGCAGGAGGGTGAGAGAATTCACCGAGCCAGAGTGGGGAGCAGAGCAGGCAGAAGGACCCAAGCACACTGCTGAAGGGAGCAGCGGACGGCAGGAGAGGTCTGCGCGCCATGTGGGACCCTCCTCTGGTGGCCGGGGAGCAGCCGGGGATAGAACCGGTGCTGCAGAGGCTGCGGGCAGCTTCGCAACCCAGCGCACAACCGCTGCGCCACCGGGGAAGCCCTCTAGGTGGACTTTTTTAAACATAGTAAAAACTTAGGAATGACTTCATAGCTATTAAGCCCTCAAGAATGTAAACCCACAAAATATTTTCCTAGAATTCTGATATAAGGGAGGTACTTACAGAAGTTGGTACAGTAACTATAGAGAGTTCTCTATTAAGCTTAGATTTTGGGGGTTTTTAAAGATTTTTTTTTATTTATTTATATACACAAGAGCTGGAGCATAGGCCAGAGGTGCGGGGGGTCAAATGATTTACCAGAGACAGAGTGGGGAGCAGAACAGGCAGACTGACTGAAACACACTGCTGAGGGGAGCAGTGAGCAAGACAGGAAAGCTTAGGTTATGAGAAATAAGAAATAAAAGTGCAAAGAACAGCACATAACAAATGATTTAATGGTATGAGACTGGGACGGAGTAGTGAAAAAGCAAAGAAGTAAAGCTTAACAGAAGCCATTAGAAGAATAGTTTGGTGTCTTTTCTAGATACCTCTAGAATCAGAGCAGTTTCTTACAAACATTAGAAAAAGAAAGCAGTGATCACTGTAGCCCAATCTGGGTTCATAAGTCCTGTGACACCAAAGTTATTTCCTTTTTGGATAGTTTCACTAAACTGACCACTCAATGTAATGTTAGAGGGTAGTAACACTTGTGCAAAAATGAGTATGGGTTTTAATGAAGCATAACAAAACTAAATCATAAGATTATTTTTTAACAAAGTACTCAAAGGATACAAACTGAAACCATTCTGTAAATGCCCTTAAAAAAAAGGCATATGAAAACTCTCAAAACCATGATCAGGGCCTCCCTGGTGGTGCAAGAGGTTAAGTACCACACTATGAAGCAATCCACAGTCTCTGCAGCACGAGTTCAATCCCCAGCCCACCAGGGAGCAACCCACATGGCACAGCAGACCTCTCCTGACTCGCCCGCTGCTCCCCTCAGCAGTGTATTTCAGTCAGTCTGCCTGTTCTGTTCCCCACTCTCTTCTCTGGTGAATCCCCTCACTCCCCCACATCTCTGGCCTGTACCCCCACTCTTGCATGCATAAATAAATCTTTGGGGAAAAAAAATGATCATTTCTCCAGCAAAAGGAAGCTGTTTAGTCTAGATAAGTCTCTGGGAGGACATGATTACTATTCTCAAATATTTGGCAACATGTCAAATAGTAGACTTGTTTAGAATAAGCCAAAGGGAAGGGAGAATAACAGATGACATTTAAGGCAATATATGAAAGAATTTCCCAGCAGTTCTGAAGGTAATCACTTAGAGAAGCCAGCTTTTGGCTGAACAACAATCTACCAAGTATAGAGTCCTCCAAATGGTTGGTCATCTGAGACAAAGCAAAATTTGGCCTCAACTCCATCTACAAGAATAGGTTCAGGGCTAGATGACTAGCTACAAGCTGAAAAGGGACAACAGTAGCATGAACCCCACCTTCAGAAATAATAAAAGAGGAGGAAGAAGTGCAATCAACTTTCTCAGCAGAAGACTCACATTTAGGAACTACCAAGTTCCTATAAGAAATTGAAAGGTTCAGGAAACTTTCCAACTTCTCGTTTACTTCAGTCTTTTCCTCATACTGAACTCTAAAAAAGAACTTTCCTTAATTAGATTTGATGGGAATCCCTGGAGAAATTTTTTCCAAACTTCAAAACACAAAGCTGCAGCTTAGTTTGCTACCTTTTTTTTTCACACTATTAGCTATTCTGTTTTAAGCAAAGGCATTTGTATACAATTTACACTGTAGGGATATGAAAAATACCTCTATTAACACTAGTGAAATGTTGGCTCCTGTTGGAAGAGCTTGAGTAACTTCACAGTAAGTTGCTTCACTTTGATTATGTAAATTCAGAAATTTGTTACATGCAAGGCATGTTTTGTTTTCTTTCAAATGTATTAACCAGCCTTCCTCATCTGTGCTAAATTTCCCATCCTTAGTTCCTTACCATTTTTGTGGAATGCCAAGATGTCTGCCTGGCACAGTGTAAAATTTAATCAATTAAATTAATATTGTTTCATGGTGTCAAAAAAAAATGAGCTCTGGGGCCTCCCCGGTGGCACAGCGGTTGAGCGCTGGGTTGCGAAGCTGCCCGCGGGGCCTCCCCGGTGGCACAGCGGTTGAGCGCTGGGTTGCGAAGCTGCCCGCGGCCTATGCGGCGCCGGTTCGATCCTCGGCTGCTCCCCGGCCACTGGAGGAGAGTCCCACATGGCGCGCAGACCTCTCCTGCCGCCCGCTGCTCCCCTCAGCAGTGTACTTCTGTCCTTCTGCCTGCTGTGCTCCCCGCTCTGGCTCTGGTGAATTCTCTCACCCTCCCGCGAATTCTCTCACCCTCCCAAGCTTCTGACTGTACCCAGTGCATGTATAAACAAAACAAACAAACAAACAAATAAATAAATAACATGCCTCTATAGAAAAAAAAAAAATGAGCTCTAGATCAGACCGGAGACAAATCCAAATATATATAGCACTGGCTGATTTTTACTAGAGGCAAAAAATTACTTTTCATGATTCAATCACAAGTGTCTAATAGGAGCATAATAAGGCAAAAGCACACAAATTGGATTTTCCTCTTATCAGCTACAGGCAGAAGGGAGGAGATTTGAAAGTTACAAAACTGATTTCTCCCCACATATTTATTATATTTTTGTCAAATTAAAATGAATTCTCTCTCAAAACATTCACCTTATTAAGAGATAAGGACCTTTAGAACCCATGTGTCAGCCACTAAGACAACCTGTTCCATTTCTTTATGGCCAAACCCATGATACTTGTTCCTTTGATGCTCTTGATCTGGCCCTTCCTCCTCTCTCTGGAACAGTCAAGATACAATTTCCAGGGCCTCCCCGGTGGCGCAGCGGTTGAGCGCTGGGTTTCAAAGCTGCCCGCAGCCTCTGCAGCGCCGGTTCAATCCCTGGCTGCTCCCCGGCCACCGGAGGAGGGTCCCACATGGCGCGCAGACCTCTCCTGCCGCCCGCTGCTCCCCTCAGCAGTGTACTTTGGTCCTTCTGCCTGTTCTGCTCCTCGCTCTGGCTCTGGTGAATTCTCTCACCCTCCCACGCTTCTGACTGTACCCAGTGCTTGTATAAATAAATAAATAAATCTTTAAAAAAAAAAAAAGATACAATTTCCATAGCCCAGATCCGAAAAATGTAACTGTGCAAAGGCTTGCCCTCTTATAATGAGGTAAGGAGGAAGGTCTCAGAATTGAAATCAGTATCTACTAATGTGGGTGACCTCCAATCACAAGGTAAAATAGCTTGCATCAGTTTTATGAACTATTTATTATATCCAAAGAGACTTACATGAAGTAACTACCTTATATTGCCATTTTCAACAATTCACCATTTGTTTTGGGTTTGAGAACCAGTGGAGTAAGCACAAAAGTTAGATTACTCTGGGGTCTAACAAACCAGAATTCCAGCTTTATCTGCAAGTTTGAGACACACAGGTAGTTACTTAACTTCTCTGGGCATCAATCTCCTCTGGAAAAACAGAGGCAATGAAGCTGATAAGGATTACAGTATCGATAATGTGAGACATTATCTGCCTATAAGCACCTAACAGCCCCTGCACATTGTATTCCTTAATGCTGCCGCTGTTACTGGATTCTCTCCCTCTGATCAGCATGTTCTTCTGTCATACGTGTATTACACCATCTGTACACATTTTCAGGAAGAAATTACAAAGCTAATATTCTGCATTCAATTTTACATTGAGATTATTTCTTCTTTATTTCACACGTTCTTATTGTCAGTTTAAAAAATGAAAGGTTGCTTTTTATATAACAATCCTAGTAGTTTCTGAAATTGAGGATCTGATTCTCCGTAATTTTTTTTTTAAATTACGCATTTAACGGTGCCTTAACAGACTTTAAAAGAATTAGGCAATAAATTCAAGAGAGCATATTTTAAGATTGCTTAACACGTTAGAGTTTACTGCTCTTGGATCTAACGCTACAAATGTAATGACGCGAAATCAATGCCAGCCAACCTCCAAGGCACTAGCCGAAAATTGACCACAAAATTCTGCCATATAATGCCAAGACTTTTCTAGTTCAAAAGTAAGAGACGCGTACGACTTCCCAGGTTCCTCAAATACACTTTCGAAGAGCGCAATCGCCCCACGAAGCCTCGATCTCCTGTCCTTTCCTGGAAGTCACAGCCACCGGAGGCGCACCCCTAGGTTTCTGAGCTGGCCAGTCACCGCTCAGCACGCATGCGCGACGATGAGCCAGCAAGGCCCCTGGCCTGCCCGGCAAAGCGAAACAGTCCCGGGGGTTACCGGTGGACCCTATGGTTATCGGACAGACCTCGCAGGCCAGCTCTCCGCCTCGTAGGCTGCTGCTCCGCAAGCAAGAGGTTGCTTCCTCCAGGAGCTGACGCTGAAAGTTCCCGAGCCCTCAGGCCAAACCGCACCCTGCCCCACCCGAGTGTCAGGCGGTGCGTACCAGCGGCAAGAGCTAGCTCTTCAGCGCTAGGGGCGGGGTGGGGAGGGGCGGGGACAGAGGGTCCTCCCACTACACCGCCCTCAAAGGTACTCCAGGAAGCCCCAGTTCCCCGTCTCCCAAACAGCCCCGGCTTAATGTCGGATGGGCGCGCAGGGGGCTCCTCGCCAGCCTTTCCTCTGTCCACCTCTCCTCTGCCCACCTGCTCCAGCGATTGGTGGATGTCCACCTCTCTGCGCCCCAAATGGTCAAGACATCTATGATTTAAGGATTTTACTGCTAATCACTACAGCGAAATAACAAACTTGGGAACAATTAGGAGGTACCAAGTTATTATTGAAATATTGTAAGCCAATAGTTTATCACTCTCCCCCCGCCCCCACCATGCGATTACCACTGTTAGCCCAGCTGGACTAATTCTGGACTTCTGTTTCAGGCTCTCAGACATCTTATGTCTGTGACATACCAGTTATCCCGTGTGTGTGTCACTGTGTGCTTCTGTGTGTGTGTGTGTGTGTCTCTTTCTCACACACACACATACACAAGGTCTCAGTCAGTGTTGCCTTTAACACTCATGGATGCTTTCAGTCAACAAAAGTCGACTGGTATGTAGGTGGCGCCACAGTGAACTGAGCAGTAATTCAGCATAGTTCAGAGGATGGACTCAGGAGCTAGATTAGAGTACAAAACCTGGTTCGACCACTTAGATGTTGTGTAATGTTGGGCTAGTCACTTAGCCAACTTGTGCTTTATTTAGTTTCCCCATCTATAAAATGGGGATGGTAATAATGGACCCAACTCGATGAGAATTATGTGAAATATATGTAAAGTATTTAGGACAATGTCTGACACATAGTATGAACTACCTGTCTGATGATTATCATGTTCATGGTATTGCTAGTTTGGTGTTCTTTTCTCCAAAATTAGTCCTTATAGTCTGCATATCCAATCAGATCAAAACACAAAATCTAGACATCATTTCCTTTCCATCTTTTTTTAAATGTAAAACAGCTGCTCTGGCCTATGCACATGAAGCTTTTTCTCTCTGTAAATAGTAATAGTAAAGCAAAGCCACAAAGCCCTCAACCTTTAGGCATCCCTCAAATTTTAGCTGAACAGTTTATGCAGGTGTCTGCTTCATCTGTCATTGTTTCTAGGATCTCATTTCACACACTCACTACCAAAAATAATGAGAAAACAAGTTTTCCAGGCTCAAAATACCTGAATAACAGTACCTAGATATACCTCTGAAGAGTGAAAGTTAAAATTTGTTGGCCCTTTGTACTCTAAGTCAATGACTAGAAAGAAGTAATTCTATTAAAATACTGTATAACTAATGTCAAGAAAATTCACCTCTCTTATACGCCTCTATAAAACAGTCACAATGTAATGCTGTGAAATATGTTGTTGGTAATCACCAACATAACCAATGTTTTCTATTCCTATCTAAAAGATCCTGACAATACTTCAACACACAATTACTGACAGTGTTTGTTAACCTATGCTAGCTTTAGTTGTTACTACAAAAAAATGATTAAATATTACATAAACACAAAAAGACTGGAAGAGGGGAATCATATATATCTAGAAGAATTCTGCATTCAGACCCCCTTTGCAGACCTCCCTACTGTCTGTATAAAATGTTTCCACTCTAAAGCATCATTTCTCAGAACATTTTACCTTTGGTATGCTTCAAGATCTTTACAATGTTTCAAAACAAGAGAACCATCTATTCCTCCATCACCTCACCTAAAGAGAGCATAAATTATAACTCTCCAATAGTACCCCATTTGTCCACAGCATAAAGTCCAAATTTTTTTATAAAGGCAATGAAGTTCTCTATTTTCTGGCTTCAGTCTGACCTTCCTGCAGTCCCCCTAGAGCAGTCCCCACACAGCTATCCACGCATAGTCCAAGCTAGTTCACCTCCAATTTGGTTTGTCCCAGCAATGCTAGCCCCTTCCCTTTCAACCGCCAATCCATTTTTTTCAACTATGCTCAAGTCACCAGGCCATGTCTGCGAGGCCTTTCCTGACCAAGCACTCCACACCTTAATTTTGACCAATAAGAGGTAGTTGCTGTTTCCTCTGGGCCACTGTAATCTGTACAGGATTCCAGCATGACACAGGTAACACATGCTACCCTTATTGTTACATGAATGCCTTCTGAGTTGAGTACACAAAAGGGACTACATCTCACTTGGTACACCCTAATTTTGGCACTGGTATTTTCACATTCTATGTGCTCCACTTGAATTGACATAAAGAGAATGGTGTCCCTGAAGTTGTGTACTATTGTAGTCATAAACTCCACAGAGTTTGATAGATGTGAATGAACGGAAAAATGAATTGATAAGTGACAAACAAGTGCTCAAGTTCAGACCAGTCACAGGAAGGATATAGTTCTGCTTTAAACATAATCAATTTGATGTCCCACTAAGGCCCACATTAATTCAAGTTGGTGTTCAGAGCTGAAAATGTTTCTAGCATAACTATTGCCTTTAGTTTTCCTTCAAACAAGACAAAATAGATACTATCACTGAAGCCATTGTTCCAGGATGGGCAGTGAGATAGTGTCTTTCCAGCTAAACAGATACACAAACATCAGCAGATTTGGGAGTGAAAGGGGAAACATTAACTCTGTTTACAGCTAACTCTGGATTTTTTTTTTCCCCCTCAGATTTTGCAGTACTACAAAAATTCCAGCTGACATCACAAAAGTCTGGTAGACTTTCAGAATTAGGGCGGATCCCTTGAAACTTCTTGCCGTACTATCTATGGTCAAGGATAGAGAAACATGTTATTTTACCTATCATCACGATAATAATACCATCTTGTCCTGATTTTATAGACAAACATTTTGTGGTTTTCCCCACAGAAGTAAACAAGTGATATTTTCCTTCCTTTAAAGCCTGAGGGAATAACAATGACGCCAAATAAAACTCAAAATAACAGCTGAGATTATGTTCTTCTGAAATGTGTAAATGTCCAAGTATTAAAGACTCAACTTCCTATCTATGCCCAAACTGACAAGGGAAAAAACCTATTAACCTATTGTTTCAGTTTTTACTCCTTCACTGAACTGAACTGTCACATTTGTAGGTAATGCTGAATAGGAGTGCCCTTTAAAGGGCTTCCAAACACACTCCTAGGCCCCAAAAGGAACATCTTCATTTCACTGCATAATCAAGTCAAGCAAAGCCAGGATGATGACCTGGACCAAATGGCTAAGGAAGAGAGAAGAATCATTCACGTTCTAAGTAAAAATAGTACCCTCAAAATTACTATTTTGTTGGCGTGCCAGTAAATCTGTCTAATTTAAAGAGTATAAATGACATGCCACAGTTTGAGATATTTAGACTAGATGGAAAGTTTCAAAATTTGTGACTATAAAGATTTATTAAGCAAAGATGACATACTGAGAAGGGCTATATTGTAGTTCTTCTGACATGCAGAGAAAAACTATTAAAGCTACTGGCCAGAGTAAAAGTGGCAAACTTGATCTCAACATCAGCCTAGGCCAGCCACATTTTTCCTGTGTTCTATATTAAAACAATATATTTAGACATACCTTTAATATAAACAAAACCAAAATGAAAAATGTGAGCAATTTTTAAAGAGGACTAAAAAGTAGCAGGAGGAATAATAAAAATGTCATGGATCTCTAGAGTTCCTTCATGAAATTGAACTTAATCTAATACATACAATTTCGGTTGGTCCCTCATTAAAGCGACCTTACACTTGTAACCTAACTGAATAGACACTGAAGTCACTGTTTATAGTAATGCCTCAAAAAGTGTTCCCGGGCCTCCCCTGGTGGCGCAGCAGTTGAGCACTGGGCTGCGAAGCTGCCGGTTAGATCCCTGGCCCACGGCGAGGGTCCCACATGGCACTCAAACCTCTCCTGCCACCCGCTGCTCCCCTCAGCAGTGTACATCAGTCTGCCTGTTTGTTCCCCGCTCTGGCTCTGGTGAATCCTCTCACCCTCCCGTGCTTCTGACTGTACCCAGTGCTTGTATAAATTAATTAAATAAATAAATCTTTAAAAAAAAAAAAGTGTTCCCGAAACCAGTAGCATACCCCATTGTATAGCCTACATAGTGATAGCCTTTGTTCTTTGAGAGTGAGTATAAATTTTTGGAAAGAGTCAAAGATTAATACACTTATAACAGTGACTGATGTAGTAAGAACTACATAGGTATTAGTTATTTTCATCACCTTTAGTTGAGAGATCAGGATATAATAAAAGAAGATATCTTATTATGTAGTTCATCAATTTAGTAAGTCAACATCATCTCTCTCCATTTCTGAAAAACCTCCACTTCTCACTTCTCCCTTCCTCTTCTCCTCTTGGCTTCCTCAGTTCAGTCACAAAGGCCTTTGCTCCTCTAGCAAAGCAAGAATGCTTCTGCTCAGGGCCTTTGCACTTTTCCTGCAGACCTCTTCATGCCCACTCCTCACTTCCACAGTGTCGGATCAAAGTTCACCTTCTCAGTGAGGCCATCATTCATCAGTATTCTATTAAAGTAACTCCCTCCAGGGCCTCCCTGGTGGCGCAATGGTTGGGTGCTGCACTGTGAGGCTGTCTGCAGCCTCTGTAGCGCGGGTTCCATCCCAGCCAGCCTAGGAGAATCCCACATGGCTAAGCAGACCTCTACTGTCTCGCCCGCAGCTCCCCTCAGCAGTGTATTTCGTAGGTCTGCCTGTTCTGTTCCTGGCTCTGTCTCTAGTGAATCCTCTCACTCTCCCATGCATCTGGTCTGCACCCCCGATCTTGTATAAATAAATAAATCTTAAAAATTTTTTTTCAAAAAATAAAGTAACTCCCTCCACACACTCCCTCTTAACATACTTTTTTCTCAATAGTACTTACCACAATCTAACATACAGAAACCATTTTAAAGAGGTCTAATGATTTAAGTTCAATGATACCACACTAGGACCCACCGAAATGTGCCAACTATGATTATCTGCCCTATCACCACCCCAGGAAGTAACCCAAGAGTCCTGACAACCATATTTCTAAATTACCCAGTGGGTGATGGACAACTAAATCTGTGCAAAAGACATTTATGCTATGGTGACCCTTACTTAACCTGATTAGAAAACAAATCAAAGTAGCATGGTAAATAAAGCCTTGTTCTTGGGGTAGGGCAGACCACGGCACTGAATTCTGCCTTTCTTGATGGCATCATCCCATGTTCCGGCACACAGTAGTACTAAGACCAGGTGTGTGATTATTGTTGTCCCACCACAACAATTTAGTTGCACGAAAGAACTTTGCCCTTCTTGTTTTCATTGCTGTATCTTCAACACACTCAACACAGAGGTACTGAAGACATAGTTGCGCAACCAATCAAGGCATGAACAAGCCTCCCCCTTCTCATCTGTAAAAAGGACACACCCGAGCTCTCTCTTTCGGGGTTGCTGGGAGAATTACACGAGACAGTAAGGCATGCAGTGTGGGCACAGCCACCGCAGGAAAAAACCACCTTCGCGGTCCCACCCAGCAGGCCGGGACCGGATATACCCTGGGTCCTTTCGGGGAATCGGGCCCCTCCTCGACCTAAGAAGCCCTGGCCAGAGCGAGCAGAAACTCGGGGCCGTCACGCGGGGGCCGGGGAAGATGGACGGGAAGGAAGAGGTGGCCCCAGGGCGCGCGTGTCGAAGGACCCAGAGAAAAGGACAGGCCGGGGCAGAAGGGCAGAGGGACAGGAGAAGGCGGCCGCCGGGCCGCGAGGGTCGAGGGTCTGGAAGACGAGGGCAGGCCGCGGCCAGGGGCCAGGCAGGTGGAGGTAGCCCCGGGCCAGGTATGTCGAGAGAAAGGCCGGCCAGACAGGACCAGGCAAACGGCCCCGGATCCCCAGCCCAGCTCGCCGCGGGAACGGTGAGGAAGGGGCGCCCATCCGCCCCCATTCCGGGTCTTACCCGCTCCGAGCGCCGCTCCGGGAGATCCGAGGGGACGTCCAGTGGGCAGCTAAACGGCCGGACACAAGCCAACGGCCGAAGGCAGAGTACTCGCGAGAGCACAACCTGCCTCCCACTCCTCACGCCACGCGTCTGACAGTCTCGCGAGATGTCTGCTCGGGGCCGCCCAGAGTCCTTGTCTGTCCTCTAGTGGGCGCAGTGCGCAGGCGCAGTGCGCAGGCGCACACTTTTTCCAGGGCCCAGGTCAGTGTCCTTTCGCCCTTCCGCCTTAAATCGCGTAAAATGAGGCAAACAATCGTTGAAGACAAACCCAGTGTTGACGACTCTCCTAAGTGTTTCTCTCGTACCAAATGTTCTCGCAGTTATCTAATCTTAACCTACAGGTGAAAATGTTATAGGGCAGCCCCGATATCTGCCTTATACCAACCTGGCTGCTTACCCCCACCCTCAGGTCCCAGCCACCTTCCCTTTGGTGGTGATGGGATTTGGAGTTCCCAGTGTCTTTGGCTTTGACCTGGGGTGGGGGTGGAGTCCACAAAGCCTGTATGGAATTAGCTTTAGGGCATCCTTTTCCCCCTAACAAAAATAAATGTCAGAAGACACTAAAGAGTAGGTGTCAAATGTTTAGAAAGAAAAGAAAATGTTGGTTGCCTTAGGCTTGCGGAAGGGGATTATTGTTTAAGGGTAGAGGGTTTTAGTCTGGGATGATGGAAAGCTCTGGATATGGATGATGGTGGTTATGGTTGTGTTAGGGGGAAAGGATGTCCTAAAGCTAATTCCATACAGGCTTTGTGGACTCCACCCCCACCCCAGGCCAAAGCCAAAGACACTGGGAACTCCAAATCCCATCACCACCAAAGGGAAGGTGGCTGGGACCTGAGGGTGGGGTTAAGCAGCCAGGTTGGTATAAAGCCAGACATGTGGGCTTTGGAGGGGTCCCCCATTTTGGCTCTCCACCAGTTCGCAGCTTCCGCCAGCTCTGAGAGTGACTTTGGGTTTCCAGGTCAGCGGATCGGGTAGGATGCATTAAAGACTTTATTTCCCTATTTTCTCCCTGAGTTGTACATTTTCCTTATTTCCTTTTCCCTTGTAAATAAACCTTTTATTAACCTTTTGTGTGTGCCTGTAGTGGAGTATTAATAAGTCCCTTGTAAGCGCGCGGGTGAGGACCCACAGCCAGGCAACCCGTTCAATATCGGGGCTGTCCTATAACAGTTGTACAACAATTTAAATGTACTTACAACTCAACTGTACACTTAAAAAAATGAAAAATTTTATAGTAGGTGTATTTTGCCACTTTTTTTTTCTATTCAGTATGTAAATGAATGTTGGATCCCAGATTCCAAGTCACATCATCTGACTCCAAAATATATGCTCATTTGTACCATATCACAAGACCCTTGTCAACACTCCTCCTCCCACCACTGTGTACTTCCCCTTTAAATTTCCCCAGTGATATTGTACATATTGGAATTTTTTTCTTTGTTTATTTGTAATCAGATGTTAAAATAAGGATCTATCTGACAGAGATTCCCAATATTCACTGCTGAAACTGTTTCCCATGTTTCCCAGCAAGTTGAAGTTCCCAGGCTAAGATTTCCAAAGGAGATGATCATGATAGGATTTTACATATCCCATTCAAGAGTAACTCCTACAAGGGTAAAGCAGTCTCAGCAGAAAGAAACAGGAAACATAGGTGCAGAGGCTAAAAGGGCACTCAGAGCCTGTGATGGAAGGGGAGCTGTGGAGAAAGTAGTGTGGAAGCTGGAGAGTCACACAAGGAAGCAAATCTCTCTAAATACTTCCACAGGCAGAGAGAGCCACGACTGCATCATACCCTTAACTTTCCTGTCTTCCAGTCCCTCTTCTTTTTTTTCTTAATTTTATTGATTTGCCATTTGTTTACTTAAGTATGTAATTTGGGAAATACAACTTCATGCTTCAATATGTGTGCATAAGAACTCACCCTTCACCACAGCTCCAGTGCCAATACCCTATCACATTACCTCCCCTATCCTCAACCTATGCCTACCTATGCCTCCCCTACCTCCCACCCCTCAACCTATGCCCTCTGGTATCTTTCCGCATCTAAAAGCTGTATCTTTCAGCATTTAAAAGCTATTTTTGTTGTATTTTGCCAGTTTGTTTTCTCTGGTTATTTATATTATGCAAAATGTCTTTCACGTTCTGACTTCTCTTAGCATGATCACCTCAAGCTCCATCCATTTTGTCCCAAAAGGCACTATTTCATCTTTTTAAATAACTGAATAGTACTCCATTGAGTATATATCCTGTAATTTCCTTACCTAGTTGCCTGTTGTGGTTTAGGTTGGTTCCATACCTTGGCTATTGTGAACAATGCTGCTATGAACAAGAAGTACATAAATCTTTCACACTATTGTTTTCATATTCTTTGGTAACTACCTAGAAATAGTACTGCTGGATAATATGGTATTTCCATTTTTAATTTTCTGAATCTCTGTATCACTTTACATAGAAACCACACCAACTGACATTCCTACTAATTGTGGGTGAGTGTTCTTTTTTCTCTGCATCCTTGCCAACATCTGTTATTTCCAGTCTTTTTTATATAGGTCATTCATACAAAGGTGAGGTAATATCTCATTGTAGTTCTATCCCCTCTTCAATTCAGATGCAGACTCTGGATTGAGGCTTTTTTTTAACTGAAAATGACCAAAAAAAAAAAAAAATGAAAGGGCCTGGCTAGATTGCTCAACTAGTCTATATAGCATGTTTGAACAGAGAGTGTGAGGGGGCAGAAATAGATCTTTACTTACTGCCCGCTGATTGTTCAGCAGTGGACAGTTTGCGATCTGTCATGTACACTCACACACACACACACCTCACTTTAAGCCGCAGGAAAGCGGAGACCTCATCTCAGCTTCATTACAATAGCCCCAGGGCCAAAGCACTGCCCAAGCAGGCACTCAATAAAGAACCATTGTATTAAATGAACAAATATTCTGTAACACAGAAACAGCAAACAATGATCAGCATAGTCACTGTTTTCAGTTCCTAGGTTTTGGGATGGTCGACTTGCAACAGAAGACAACTTGTACTGAAGCTCTGTACCCAAGTCATTCCTCACCCACAAGTCAGAGCCCCAGGACTTTTTAATACCCCATCAATCTTCGAGGCATCTCTTCCAGGTCAACTTGCTCTAACTTTGGGCAAGCATAGAGGTATGTGAATGATACAGCATAGAGGACACTTCCTAGGAAGGAAAAATAGCATAGAGTCTCAAAGAAAATAAGATAATATTTCATCTCAAAAAAACTTTTATGTTTTTTATTGTTTACCAAACAGCAGGACACTGGGACAGGAAAGTACAGACATCAGAAGTGACGAAAGCAAGAGTGGTGCCTTGCATAGGGAATGCACAATAATCTCTGGGCATATAAGGTAAATATCATAACTTTTATTTATGTTTTGTCTCTCCCTTCAAGTGTTTGCCTGTTTTATAGTGTGCATTATATCCATGCATATATAATTTATAAAATAAAAGTATACATACACTCAAATGCTTGCTCATTTTTTTAATGAAAGGTAGGGTTACATAATCATAGACAATTAGAGGCCAAAAGAGAAAGGCCTGGCCTGGAGGTCCTAGGCCCCCTCAGGGTGAGATCCCTGAGTCAACTAGAAGTACATTACTGTACCCATTCACCGACCTCACAGGTCTTTCCTGGGTTTATCCGGTGCACCACCTTAAATCTGCACTCCTGCTTGTTGAAGATTTTCTTACACTTCCTTTCGTCAAAACCCACAGGTATAGCAGCACTGTTATTGAGACAAGAGCAGAGCCTATTAGAAGGGATGGTTTGCTCAGCCTCCCCAAGACTACCTCTATGCCTGAAGTAGCCCAAATTCCAGCTATCTGGGATATCCCTCACCAATTTAAAGCCACACCTTGACTACCAACCTCAAGAAACCACCTTCAGGAACCTGGATCTGAAAACATAGAACCTGTACTATGAACAAACAGAACATCCCTTAATCCCCTGTTTTTGTAGGTTGCAGGGCTCCAGGAATCTGTATTTCATCAAGCTGCCCAGTTGAGTCTGTGATCAGGCCAGTTTGGGAAACACTACTTTATGCCAAGGCTTCTGTAATCAAAGCTACTCCTATTCTTCCAAAACACTGTATAGACCCAGGTTAATGTGCAGATAACAGATGGTTTTGAGGATAGGAGGAGGAGTGACTAATAGGGACATAGCTGCCGAGAAGACAGGAAAATTAGAGCCACACTACAGTTACTCTATTCTATTGGCCCGAGTACTAGACGTTTGGGTCCATAATAACCCAGAAGAAAACATCTGCTTGACCTTTGTGCTCACTTGAGTTAAACTTGAACAGTGAAGCAATTTTGTCCTTAACAACTCACATTTTCCCTCTGCCTGTGTTCAGTCACTCCTGTTTTGCAAATTATCACAGGCCGAGGTTGCAATGAAGACTGACTAACTTCTAGAATAGCTTCAGACCATTGGATACTCTTTCTTGTTTTCAGCCACCCATATAGATAGAGGTTATAAGTAATAAGGGTATTTATCAAGTTTCAAAAACAAATTAAAAGAAATAAGACTGATGTGAAACAACCCAAATGGCATCAACATTTGGATAAATGTTGGACTCATTTGGATAAATGAATGGATAAGCAAAATGTCACACACATACTGGAACATTATTCAGTCTTAAAAAGGAAGAGATTTCTGAGACATGGTGCCACATAGATGAACCTTGAGGACTTTAGACTGAAATAAATACACAGTATATTGCAATAAACCAGTCACAAAAGGACAATTCTACTTATATGAGGTGCCAAAAATAGATTCATGGAGATAGAGTGGAATGATGGTTTCCAGGTACTGGGGCAGGGACCAGGGCAGAATGGAAGGTTGTTGTTTAATGGGCACAGAGTTCCAGTTTGGGAAGATGAAACCTCCCGAGGCAGATGGTAATGATGGTGGCACAAGAAAGGGAATATACCAATATCCTTGAATTTTATGCTTAAAGCTGGTTAAAATAAGTGTTTTGTTATATACATTTTGAAAAAGAGAGAAAGAAATAGGACTGAAAACTGAACTCGCTTCTGGGTGGCATTTCGAAAGAGGGAGCTGTTCCTCAAATAGAAACCCACCAACTACAGGCCCTTCTTGACCCTACCGATTTGAGACTTACATTCCACAGCAGCTTATTCCATTACGGTAACAAGTACACTTCTGACAGTCCTTTGTCTTCCATGATGTGTTTATTGGGTGTATGCCTCCATCAACATCCCTGCATTCTAAAACAATACATGTGATATTGTCACTGGAGTCCCCAAGTTATGCAACAGAACAAGGCTTATAGGACACCGGGGCTAGCCCCTGCTATCTGTGCCCCTCTCACCCAGGTAGAATCTCATCGATTTTAAAGATGTCTTTAAAAGTGCTATGTTCACTTGTAGCTAAATTCCAGTTCATGCCAGTGATCATGTTTCTTTGCAGCAAGCACAAATCTTTCCAGATTTTACTTCAGTACTGATGTATTTTTAAAAAAGAAAAGTCCTCCTCTTTAATCAGGCATTGTGAGCCTATGGATACTTGAAGTCAAGTTCTTTTCTGCTTTGCTTTGGACAAGTGGTTCTCAACCCTGAAGACCCATGTAACACATTTTGGGTTCTTCCAAAAATATCTATGACCATGCCCCCTTGTAGTACAATGAAATTGGAATCTCTGGGCATGGGGCCCAGGTTGCTATATTTTTAGAAAGTTCTCCAAATAATTCAAATATTCAACCAAGGTTGATAACCAGTGCTTTAGATCCATGCTAGTCCTGGTGTGTTGACGTACCACCTTGGGCCATGAAGACTCTTATTCTTACTCCAGGCCCACAGAATCAATCTATATTTTAGTAAGATTTACAGAGAGTCTGCATGCACATTAAATTTTGAGAATCAATGATTCTCAATGCTGACAACGTATAGGAATCAATCAAGAGGTTTTTAAAGTGCAACTTGTATTTTTCTGATTTACTTGGTCTTGGATGGGTCCTGAGTATTGGTAAGTTTCAAAAGCTGCTTAGACTAGGGCTGAGAACCTCTTCCATAAATGGCAAAATGAAGTTCCTCATTTCATTTCATGTTTATATCTGCCTTAACCCTCCTTCTCATGTAGGTATAAAGACTTTCATCTGCCAACAGGTTATACTTTCAAGGTTGTAATAACATAAGAAACACTCAAAATCCAGGACTTACCATCAGACCCCATATTTTCTTGAGGCATTAAAAAGCACTCAGCATTGCATAAAGTCATAAAAGTGCCCAAGACCAAGAGGCTGCCCAGAAGAGTATTCTGTAACATAAAGAAGGGTAGGGAAGGAGAACAAATAAATTCAGATAGTAATTATTGACTGTTTCCCTGGACTCTGGGCAGGTAGTTTAAAGGTGGAGCTTCTACCCTCAGTAATATGGCAAAGGAGTAAAATCTATACAAGTTACTAAAATAAACTGGGGAAAGAACTGTAAAAACACAAACCAAGGCATATTAACAGTTTTAAGTATTTATTTGAGCAAAAAGAGGGTAGCACCAAGTTAGAGGTGGTTAGGAGCACTCCATCAGAAGCAAGCTCAAAGAAAGCTTCTTAAAGAGCAAAAGCAAAAGCAAAATAAAGAAATTATTGATTGGCTAATGTGGGGAGATCAGGATGAGGCCAGAGGTGCAAGGGTGAAAGCATTCATCAGAGACAGAGTTGAGAACAAAACAGGAGGATTTATTGAAATACACTGCTAAGAGAGGCAGCTGGTGAGATGGGAGACATCTGCATCCAAGTAGCATTTGGGGCTTTTTTTATAACCTGTTTTTACAGGTTTTTCCTGACTTGGGGAGCCAGTACTTGCTTGTTGTTACCCACTGGAACATCAGATTTTCAGTCAGTTTCGCCTTTTAGGTGTTGTCCGAGTTCTGTTTGCCCTATTTCCACATTCTCTGGAATTCTTTTTTTTTTTTTTTTTTTTTTTTATTTATTTATTTACACAAGCACTGGTATAGTCAGAAGCGCGGGAGGGTGAGAGAATTCACCAGAGCCAGAGCGGGGAGCAGAGCAGGCAGAAGGACCGAAGTACACTGCTGAGGGGAGCAGCGGGCGGCAGGAGAGGTCTGCGCGCCATGCGGGACCCTCCTCCGGTGGCCGGGGAGCAGCCGGGGATTGAACAGGCGCTGCAGAGGCTGCGGGCAGATTCGCAACCCAGCGCTCAACTGCTGCGCCACCGGGGAGGCCCCACATTCTCTGGAATTCTGATAGCCCTAGGTCATGTACACCCATGGTCTGGCTCCCATGACGATGTTATCAGATTCCCTTTCTTATGTACTTTATGTCTCTCAGCAGCGTTCTGCTGAGCAAAATGCAGAGACTGAATTTTAACTTTATCAAATATACTATGACAGCTATAGCTTAAAGTGTCATTGACTGTGATTGATTGTCCTTAGTGTTTTGATTTCATGACCTGAGGCATTAAAAAGATTAGAATTCAGTCTGCTTATGTAAGCCACCAAGGTGTTAGAGTCACCTCATTCTAATGGTTTCTTTTTATTTTTTTAAGATTTATTTATTTATGAATACAGGAACTGCGGTGTAGGCCAGAGGTATGGGGGGGGGGGGTGAGAGGATTTACCAGAGACAGAAAGGGAAACAGAACAGTTGGATTGACTGAAATACACTGCTGAGGGGACCAGTGGGCAAGTCAGAAGAGGTCTGCTGTGCCATGTGGGTCAGCTCCCTGGCGGGGAATCAAACTCCTGCTGCAGTGGCTGCGGATAGCTTCATTGTGCTGCGTCTTAACACTTTTGCGCCACCAGGGAGGCCTCCTAATGGTCTCTTTTTAAAAGGAATTTAGCAGAGTTAAATGTCAGTCAAAAGTCAAGAGCAATAATGATAGTGTACTGTTTGATTACAGAGGATGTTTGGGAAACCCTTATGGATTGGTGATTTTTAGCTGCTTTACCGATTACGTGTAATTTAAAAAACAGAAATGCGGGCATGACAGAGTTTCAGGAAGATAATATAATACTGACAAAGATACAAAGGCAAAGAAACTGCAATAGTAAAATTAATGGCACTAACTCGGTTAGTTGGAGTTATTAGACCATAAGGCTAAGGATTTGATTTTCTGGCATCAGGGATGGCTACATGAACAAATCAGTTTAACAAAACTGACACTGGATCTTTGGACAAACAAAGGTCTTGAGGTGCTCTTGTAATAATTTTAAGATGAGCAAGCTAAATAATATGGGAATTTCCAGGAGATAGAAATTTTAAAAAGGAGGATGAGGTGAGGGTACTTGTTCTGTAAGATTTCTAAAATGAGGGCCTCCCGGTGGCGCAGCGGTTGAGCGCTGGGTTGCGAAGCTGCCCGCAGCCTCTGCAGCGCCGGTTCGACCCCCGGCTGCTCCCCAGCCACTGGAGGAGGGTCCCACATGGCGCGCAGACCTCTCCTGCCGCCCACTGCTCCCCTCAGCAGTGTACTTAGGTCCTTCTGCCTGCTCTGCTCCCAGCTCTGGCTCTGGTGAATTCTCTCACCCTCCCGCGCTTCTGACTGTACCCAGTGCATGTATAAACAAACAAACAAATAAATAAATAAGACATGCCTCTATAAAAAAAAAAAAAAAAAGATTTCTAAAATGAATTATGAATTGATGTTACTTGAAGTAGTGCATTGCCAATATAAGAATAGAAAGACAAAAGGAAAGAACAGACACCCCAGAAGTGTATCTTGATAAATATATATATAATTTTATTATAAAATAAACTTGGTTTTTAAAATTTGTGGAGAATAGTTATTCAACAAATGGTATTAAAAAAGGTGGTGAACTATTTGGAGAAGAAGCAAAGTTAATTTCTTATGTTCCCACAATTAAAAAAATTCTAAAAGGAGTCATAGGTCAAAATTTTGCAATAATATCATAAACTAATAACAAAAAATATAGGAAAATATTTATCTCTCAGCATAGAAGAAAAATAAATTTGAATAAGTAAAAGTTGTAAGTCCGTAAATAAAATTAAAAAACAATTTCCAGTTTGGAGAACAATACCATAATTTAAAGATAACTCAATAAAAAAAGTTTTTATTTATCTATGGAAAAAACCAAAAAAGTATCTTAGTAGAAAAATGGCAAAGGAAATAAAGTAGAATTTCACACATACATACACAGACCTAAATAGAAATGACTAAACACATGAAAAAATTCACTGACAAAACAAGAAATGTCATTATGCAAATAAAATAGAACCATATGGGAGGGCAAGATAATAATTTCTAATACCCAGAGGGAAATTGGCATCTATGGGAAAGAAAATACACAAGAATCTTTTGTGTTGGAACAATTTTTAAGGAGAACCACTTGAGAGTGGTGAAATTCTTACCAACTATTTACAACCTTTTACTTTACTTTTTCATTTCAAAGATTTGATCCTAAGAGACAGTGCAACTGTGAGGCAGACCTCCTTTAGGGTTTTCTAGGTAAATGTCTTCTCTTGCTTTGGGCTGAAGAGGCCAGAATTGTGTCTCTTTAGGTAAGTCACTGCTCCTTGAAGGGTCTTGCCTCATAATACCAAGAGTTTGTCTTCAGGGGTCTGAAGCAGGGCAGAAGCAGTGGCAGGTCTGCAGCTTACAAAGTCCACACTGAGGCCAGAAGACAGTCTGAGTGGAGCAGGAGGGATCCCACCCCACAGTTATTCTACCATTCCTGCTCTGTTTCAAGACAGTTTTTGAAACGAGGTAAGTCCAGGGACATCCCTAAGGACCTCTCCAACCTCATTTTTCTCCACCTGTCCTTTAGCCACTTCTATTATCTTCTTCAACCTCCTGAGAGCAGCCCAATTTATCCCCTTTGACTGGCTCTAGCAAAGGGCAATTCAAGAAAGATCAAGTCTGAATTAAGACAGAAAGGAGGCCTACATGGGTTTCTATCGAGTTTAGCAAAAAAAAAATATTTTTTAATGCACTATGATACAGTGAATAGGTCATATGGTGATCTTGATGGTTCCCATGTGGCTTAAATTCACTTGAGACAGCTCTTCAGAAACCACAATTCTTAGGACTCACTGCAATCAACTAGATCTAAGTGTTGGGGTGGGAGCCAGTATCAGTATTTTTTAAAGATTCCCAACGAATCCACTGTACAACCAAGTTTGAGAATCACTGGCCTAGAGAGAGAGACACATGAGTTCATGTCTTAGCTCCCCCCAAACTTGTAGTGAGACTCCTGTGACAGCTTTTTCCCCTCCCCAGGCTCAGATTCCTCTTCTGTAAAGTGAGGCAGTGTTGTCCCTCTGAAATAATATTTAATTTCACAAATCACTCAGGGCCCAAGAATTAGAGACACATTTGAAAATTAAGTGATTCCAAAGATTATTAGAAATAACAATAAATAGAAATAGTGCTAAACTCATTAATATTTTCCTGAGCTCCCAGACTCTTTCTACTCTACACAGTGACTTGCAAGTAATCTATAGAAGAGTCATAACTAGGTCACATTTATCATAAATAGCATCCAATAGACACACATCACATCATATTAAAACACACACCTTTGCTCTTTTCTGGCCATTATGTATGAAACCAGTTACCTACCATTGTGATGACCTGCAGTCCTTACAGGCAAATGCATGCAGGGAAAGTCACACAAAACTTATATAGGAGAGGGCAACCCACATTTGGCATCATTAGGAAAGAGAAAATAACCCAAGGATACATTGCATGTTTACAGAAGGTTGGCTATTAACAGGAAACTGATTTCAGTTTCCTGTTCTGATTCTTCTGAAACTGGTTTCAGAAGATTTACAAGTTATTCAGATATCAAATCTCCACCCTAATAACATGTTTACGCTGGTCATCCCCACCCTTGATATGTGTTTACTCTTGTTATGAAAGAGCAGAGGAAAAGAGAAGTCCTTTTTCCTGAGCCTTCATCCTGTGCTGGATGGATAGCTAGGCAGATGACTAGTTATCTGACTTGATTTCACACTCAAAGAAGCTCAGGGATGTCAATCACACATCCAAGAGGGAAAGCTTGGCTTCAGGAAGGCCTAAGAATAGCTCAGAGGGAGAACTGTGCAGGCTCATGTGGCACTTTCCTTAGAATCTGTTCTGAGAGCTGAACTGCCCTCCTGTCACCCTCCACAGCAGGAGAAAACAGCACTGGGCAGCCCAGGTTTCCCTAGACACACCTTGTGAACTTTAAAAAGTCCTTCTTAAATCTTGAGTCTTTACTCTCTGCTACATGAAGCAAGCCCTCCTTTTTGTGGAATGATTATCTTCCCAAAAACCTACTTGGACTCTTCCTACCCAGGATGGCCTTTGGGGAGAAGCAACAAGCAGAACCTCTTTGTTCAGCTTGAAGAACTTCATTTGTATCAGTTTGCTTGGGTTGTCATTACAAAATATTTCAGACTGTGGTTGAAACAATGGAAGTTAATCTTTTCAGAATTCCAAGACCAAGCTATCATCTGGGTTGGTTTCTTCTGTGGTCTCCTTGGCTTACAGATGGCTGCCTTCTGTTTCATGTCCTCTTTCCTCTGTATGTGTCCAAGTTTCTTCTTTTTATAAATACACCATCTACAATATGTTAGACATAGATTTTAACACATGATATACAATCTCCTTTTCTCAGTTAGCAATGCTATGACAATCCTTGCATATCAAATGCCTCATCACTATTTTTCTATTGAAGTAGCATTGCATTATAATATAAATGTGTGCATCATTATAAATCAACATGTGTATATGCTACATAGACACCTACCCATCCCCCAAGATAGATTCTACAGAAAAAAATTTTGCTTGCTCTTTATGTGTATCTGTTGTTTTTGCCCTTTTGCCTTTACACCACCTTGACTTTACAAGTAAGCTGTAAAGACATTGTAACAAACTGTCTGGTATCTGTTCAAACTGCAACTGTTAGGCTTTTCAGTGCTGGAGGAGTCCTGGGGCTATTGTGGGTTCTGGCTTTACAGATAAGGACTGAAATTGAGGAATTTACAGAGACTTGTAAATTGTGAAGTTTTATATGTTGTCTGAGAGAAATGACAGGGAAGGGGGTATATATAGGCAGATGAAGAATGAGAGTGAGTCCACCTCAGGTCGCCATCTGTAGTATAGAAATAGTAGGGCAAGCCTGCTTACCTTTAGGGCTATGGTGAAGACTTGGGGAATTGGCAAATGGCACTGAATATAAACACCCTATAAATGAAGTTTTCCATGCTAAAATCACAACAAAGAATGTTTAGGAGTTCCTGGAGTTCCTGTTGGTCTAGTTTTTAATCTCTTGTAATAAGCCCATCTTTGAAATGGGAAATACTGTTTTGCCCATAGATGTTCCCTCCTGCTGACACTTGATTGATCAGGTGGTAATGGGAGAAATAGCCATCCTCTATCACCACTGGAAGCCTAACAGACTGTTTCAACATAGCCTTGGGAAGTCAGGCTTTGAAATGGAATCTTTATAATGGACATTAGTCCCTTGGATAATTTCTCACAGAGCCTCTAATGACCTAAAACTGGTCAATGCATACTTACCCACTGTGCCTCACAGGCACCCTTGAATCTTCTAAGTTGCTGTTTCTGGGAATTTGGGTTACTATGGTAAGATGTTACCTCAACTGACTACAGTTTGCCATACAAAAAAAGTAAACTCCAGTAGGATGTCAGCTAGAGAGTGTCCTCCTCAGCAGCCCTTTCCACTGCACCCACCCTATCCCCACCTGTGGATCAGCCCTCCAAGCCCCTGCCTAGCCCTGCCCCACGGAGCTGCTCAACACCCAGTTCAGCCACATAGCCCTTGGCTAAAGTGTGTAGGTATTGAATTTCTAGAATCAGTGCCCCACCCACCCAGTCTTCAAAGTGATTGTCTCCCATCTGTCACTCCTTTCTCCAGAGTCCTTCCAAACTGTTATCATTCCTCTTAAACCTCCCACCCACTGTGCCTCCTTCATACCCAGAAGATAATCTCCCTTCTTATCTCACAGGAAACAGAGAACAGAGCAGTCCTACTGGCCCCCTACATATTGACTTGCGTTTCTTCCTATTCTTTCAGCTTTCCCTCTGCGTCCATTCTTGGCCTACACTTGTCACTTGGATCCCAGCCCTCCTGACCCCCACCACACACACTCTCCCTGGGACTTCCTCTAGCCTCCCTGGGGACAAGAGGGATTGAAGGGGCTGGTGGAAGAAGAGCCAGCACGTGAGGATTGTCAAGTTCCCAGTCAGGGAAAAAGCAGTTCTCTCTGAAGATCCATCCATCCTGTCAGTTTTTCACTTTGGAGTCTGATAGTTGTGATACCCCAGGGTAGGGTGAGTTTCTGCATTAGTCAGGATTCTGTCATGTTAGAAATTGAGCTCCATGAGTGTAGGACAAACATTTTAGGTTCAAATGTTCAGTCTAGAGGTGAACCAGCTTCTGGATTTAGGGGGCTCAGTCTACATCAGGGGCTTATAATAGAGTTTTCACCCAAGAAGCCAGAAAGATCAAAGCCAACCTTATTCCATATGTTAATTTATGCACTATGAATGTATTTGTTTACTTTTGAAACATAATAAGAAAAATTCACTTCCACCTGACAAAAGATGCAGCAGTGTGTCCTTATAGCATCTGGGGTGCTATAGGGTGAACTCCACCCCTCCAGGGAGGTGGTGACAGAGATTCTGCAGTGGTAGGAGATTCTGCACGTGAGACTGGGGAAGCAATGGTTGACAGCAAGACTGTGACAGGCATTGGGGTTCCCAGGCCATTTAAGGACACTGTAATGTCATGTTTACCCTAGGTAGGTGTCAAAAGGATGTGCTTGAAGTTGACAAGCTAGAAACCAGGAAGATTGCCGGATAATCTTTGCGGTTTTTTTTTTTTAAAAAAGACTTATTTTCCTTTATGTATGCATACAAGAACTGGGGTGTAGGCCAAAGGTGCAGGGGATGAGAGTATTCACCAGAGACAGAGTGTGGAGCAGAACAGGAAGATCTACTGAAATACACTGCTGAGGGGAGCAGTGGGTGAGACAGGAGAGGTCTGCTGCACCATGCGGGTTAGCTCCCTGGCCAGGGATTGAACTCATGTTGCAGTGGCAATAGCATGATAGCACTGAGACTTTAACCCCTGCGCCACCAGGGAGGCCTCTCTTTGCATTTTTTTCCCCCAAAGTAATTGGAACTCTTATCTAGAGGAATATGAAAATAAAGATAAAACACTGAAACAAAAGAGATGGAGCTAAAGTAAACACATCTGGAATTAATCACTGAGAAAACTGAAAACAAAAACCAGGTTTTGTTCCAGGGAAAGAAGAGTCCCACACATCCCCACAGAGGCTCAGAAGTCTTATTTGGGAAATATATTAAAGGCTATTTAGTCAAACACAAGGGTCATGCATTTATAACTCAGATCAACTGTGCAAAGAATCCAGGATCCCCTGCCTTCCTAACACTGCCACGGATTGTCACAAAAATTTCACACTTAGTGAAGCTGAAGCTTGCCATCTCTTGAAGACAAGGTAATGGTAATAAGACTTTGGTGACAGATGGTTCTTTCTGGGGTGCTATGAGCATGACTCAAACACTGACCCATAAGTACAGTTGCCAGCAGTCTATGTAGGCAATCCTGATGTGCCAGGTATCACCTCTTCCATTTCTGTGTCTACTGAGGCTGCAGGGGTTGGGATATTCAGCAAGGGAGTGGGGGCACTAAGGGGATTCTGAGCAGTGACTTTTTATCCACTGGTGCGTTATCAGCCCACATTCTCTTTTGTCACAGAGCACCCACAAAATAAATGTTGCCACTCGACCAGAGAGAAGAAAGTTGGCCAGCAACTTCCACAGTCTCACTGCAAGCAGTGCCATCCAGACCACCTCAGGATTGGGTGCTATGAGGTAAGAGCAGAAGGCCATCTCTCAGGCCTCTAGTTAATAACTGTACATGTACAGTGCCTCATGAATGTCCCAGTGCACCACCACATAACAGGCATTCTCACTCCCATTTTGCTACAAGGATGGAGAAATCTATTCAAGGTTTTCAGCTGTTAAGAAAGAGGCAGGATTTTAACCCAGGCCTGCTGATGCAAAGTTTGTACTTCCCCTCACACACACACACACACACACACACACACACACACACACTTGTCTCATGGGCCTGTAGTAGGTGGCTTCAGGGGGAAAGAATTAAGCACCATCTAACTGGAGCACCAGGCTGCAGCTGCTTCCTGGAGGGACCCCAGGCCAGTCCACTGTCCTTTTCTTTCCCTTTCGTCCTCCCTTGACTGTGAGTTTAAGCTTCCCACAACCTTTAACATCAGGAAATTTCAGTAGATACGAATGACCTAGTAATTTAGCAGAGTTAACCACCCACATGTGTTTATTTTTATTTTTCAAACTATCCTTCCTAAAAGCTATTTCTTTAGGAAAATATAATAGACTTAGTTATGTTTTTGCCATGTGGGCGAGGCTAAAAGGAGTGAAATGCTAATTTGCTATGAAACCTTGAACAAGTCTCTCAACCTCCCTCCATCTCATATTCCTCTTTGGCAAATGAGGAAGTCAGCCCTGTATTGTGGTAGAAAGCTCAAGTGTTTACAGGGGCAAGTCCAGTAGGTGGTGTGGTTATCAGGGAGTGGGTTGGTATTTAGGTATTAAATATGGTAAGAAGAGCCTTCACTTCCCCAAGTAAATATGACCTCTCTTATCTCTGGAAATGTATATCAGTTCCAGACTGTTTTGCCATCTCACTTTGTGTGTATGTGTGTGTCTTACAGGTACATTTATTCATTCTGAGAAAGAGACAACACTTATACGTAAGTGCACGGGAGCCTTCCACATTCCCATCCAACAGCTCTCTGAAATTTACAGCCAGACTCCATCAGGTGTGTACTCCAAGCAAAGCTGGTTAGTGAATGCCATGAGCTTTCAAAGCTTTACTTCTTTTATCTGCACCTCTGATTTTCTTTTTTTTCTTTTTTTTAAGATTTATTTATTTATTTATCCAAGCACTGGGTACAGTCAGAGCACGGGAGGGTGAGAGAATTCACCAGAGCCAGAGCGGGGAACAAAACAGGCAGAGTGACGAAACACACTGCTGAGGGGAGCAGTGGGCACGGCAGGAGAGGTCTGTCGCGCCATGTGGGACCCTCGCTGGTGGCTGGGGATCGAATGGGCGCTGCAGAGGCTGCGAGCAGCTTCGCAGCCCAGCTCTCAACCACTGCGCCACCAGGGGAGGACCTGATTTTATTTTTTTACAGATTTATTTTCTTTATTTATGCATATAGGAACTAGGGTGTAGGCCAGATGTCCAGGGGTTGAGAGGATTTACTCGAGACAGAGTGGGGAGCAGAACAGGCAGACTGACTGAAATACACTGCTGAGGGGAGCAGTGGGCAAGACAGGAGAGGTCTGCTGCACCATATGGGTTTGCTTCCTGGCCCGGCGGGGGGGGGTGGGGGGAGCAAACTCATGCCACAGCAGGGCTGTCAACAGCTTGATAGCACTAAAACTTAATCCCTCACTCAACCAGGGAGGCCCTACACCTCTAATTTTATAAACAATGTTTATATAAACAATGAAGCCCATCAACCCCATTCTTATCAAATTTCCTGATAAACTTGGGTGTAGTAGGGTTTCATGGCAGTCCAAACATTTTTAAAAAGGCTTTGAAGCATCTTGGCACTGGACCCATGACCCATGCAGCTTCCACCCATATGGCCAACAAGGATACCTTATCTTAAGTTTAACAGAGACATAGGTGAGCGAGTGTGATGACAAATGCCTGCTGATATCTAGCTGGTCAGTATTCGGAAGTGTAAAGAGAAGAAGCCAACTCCATCAGAAACATCTGGACTCAACTCTTGATTTTGCTTTCTATGGACCTTACACAGTTAACTTAAAAGTTTTTGAGGCTATTTCTTCATTTGTAAAATAGGTCTATTGATGGCTATTCCTCAAGGTTGTTGCAAAGGCTAAGATCATAAAGCAAAACACTTACTCATCGGACAACGTGAGTGTCACATTTTCTCTGTTTTCATCCTGATACTGAATTGAGTGTCATTCTCAGAGTGTTCAAGGGTGTCTCTTAGAGATGTGGCTGTATTGCTCGGCCAGATGGAAGTTTGTTTATGTCAAAGTTGGGAAACTTTTATAAGCCAAGTGCTTTTATAAGCTGTAAAGGCAAACAGACACACATAAAAACAAGATGTACATCTCTGTGTAGGCAAGAGTACGTAAGAAGAGAGTATGTGGAGGTGACATTCTTTTGCCTAAGGCAGATTTTTTTTTTAGGATTTATTTATTTATTTACACAAGCACTGGGTACAGTCAGAAACGCGGGAGGGTGAGAGGATTCACCAGAGCCAGAGCGGGGAGAAGAACAGGCAGACTGACGAAATATACTGCTGAGGGGAGCAGTGGGCGTGGCAGGAGAGGTCTGTCATGCCATGTGGGACCCTCGCAGGCGGCTGGGATCGAACCGGCTCAGCAGAGGCTGCAGGCAGCTTCGCAGCCCAGCACTCAACCACTGCGCCACCAGGGGAGGCCCTGCCTAAGGCAGATTTTTTAAGTGTGAAAAGAGAATATGGGAGATACATGCAAGCTTGTGAAGCATTTGACTAGCTTAAATAGCAAAAAGAGTTAAATTTCTATAGTGCTTTATGGTTTCTTTACATTGCCTTTTCGTTTTAGTTCTGTAGGACACTTTTACCCATTCTACAGATGGACTTGATAGATGAGCTTTAAAGGTGCCTAACTTACTAGGGACTCAAGTTAAATTCTAATTTTCTCACAAATTACATGTCCCCTGAATTCCCATCCTGCCTCTTATTCATTATATCCAAGTGCCTTCCAAGTGCATGAGATCCCTTAGCCTCACACTGGTTAACTGGTTCACTGAAATACACTGTTGAGGGGAGCAGCGGATGAGACAGGAGAGGTCTGCTGTGCCATGTGGGTTACCTCCTTGGCCAAGGACTGAACTCACACTGCAGTGGCTGTGGATAGCTTCATAGTGCTGAGATTTAACCCTGTGCCACCAAGGGGGGAGGCTCCACCGCAGCCAGTATTGTGGTGAGCTTTGGCCACTGATTCTCCAGATGCCATGTGACAGAAACCATTTTATTTTATTTTATTTTTTATTTTATTTATGCATATAAGAACCAAGGTACAGGCCAGAGGTATGAGGGGTGAGAGGATTCACCAGAGACAGAGTTGGGAACAGAACAGATGGATTGGCTGAAACACACTGCTGTGGGGGTAGTGGGGAGCCAGGAGAGGTCTGCTGCGCCATGTGGGTCACCTCCCTGGCTGAGGATTGAACTCGTGCTGGTGCTGCAGTGGCCGCAGGTAGCCTCACAGTGCTGTCTTAACCCCTTGCACCACCAGAGAGGGCCCCAGAAACCATTTTAGTGAAGGCCGTGAATTTTCAAAGCTCTACTTTTATCCAGGCCTCTGATTTTATAAACAATGAAGCCAAGCCCATCAATCCCATTCTTACCCAAATTTCCTGGTAAATTGAAGGACTCACACTTCCTCCTATTTCAAAATGTATTACAAAGCTAAGGTAAGCAAGACAATGTGGTACTGGCATACAGATAGATATATAAATCAAGAAATAGAACAGAGACTCCAGAAATTAACTCTTCCATTTATAGTTATTTTTATTCCACAAGGTGCCAAAAAAATTCAGTAGGAAATAACAGCCCTTGAAATAAATAGTACTGGGATAAATGATAGCCACATTCAAAGAAAAATAAGAACTTACATCATACATATATAAAAATTAACTAAATGTAAAAACTAAAATTGTAAACGTGTTTAAAGAAACCATAGGAGTGAATCGCTGTGATATTGGTTTTGATTTAAAAAAATTGTTCTTCAAATGATACCATCAAGAAAGTGAAAAAACAAACCATGGAATGGGAGAAATTATTTGCAAATATCTCTGGTAAGGGACTTGTATCTAGAAGGTATAAAGAACTTCAACAAGTAAGCGGTAAAAATTCAAATAATTCAATTAAAATGAGTTAATAACATGAACAAATATTCAAAGAAGACATGGAAATGACCAATATGCACGTAAAAAGATGCTCAATATCACTGGTCACTAGGGAAATGCAAATCAAGACACTACTTTCATCCACTACCACAGTGAAATCAAAAGGACAGAAGTCTGTTGTTATCTGCCAGAATTTGTATTTGCCCTTGTTCTTTAGTTCTCAAATAATTCATAATGTTTAGGGTGGGGAGCATTTATAAGCCACCTGTTTGGTTGAGCCACAGGCCTTTTGTTCTTCCTAAGGTTGTTCTCATAAAGTCCCTTTATGACCCCACCTGTGGGCAACATCTGCCTCTCCTTGTCTACATTCCCTTGTGACTGACTTCACTAGAGCCTGTTCTTTGGCTTAGAACCTAGTTAAAAAACCACAATGGTGGTCCTTCACCTTGTCGATTCAGGATGTATATAACGAGAGAACAGGAAAATGTGTGTGGATTTAAGTAGCATTTTAAAAAAAAGATTTATTTATTTATGTCTCTGGTAGGCTACAGGTGTGGTGGTAAGATGTGAGAGGATTCACCAGAGACAGAGTGGGGAGCAGCAGGCAGATCTATTGAAACACACTGCTGAGGGGAGCAGCAGGCGAGAAGGAGAGGTCTGCTGTGCCATGTGGGTTAGCTCCCTGGCTAGGGGTCAAACTCGTGCTGCAGTGGCTGCTGACAGCTTCATAGTGGTGAGACGTAACCCCTCGTGCCACCAGGGAGGCCCTAGGTATGATATTTCTTAACTTGTGTGCAGTTAATGCACTGAGGAATCATCCTATGACCACTGAGAGCATCAGGGTTAATGACTCAGTCTATGGTTGGAATAAGCCAAACACCAGTGTTACCATTAACTTACAATGTGATTTAGCCAAGTGTGGGGTCTTGGAGAAGATAGGTGTCTCTAAGCAAGGCGGTCTTCCTGGGGAAAAGTTGCATTTCCTGTTCTCTGTATAAAGACAAGGAGAGGTATCTGGTGGGCCTCGTGCAGCGATGAACTGTCCAAAAGCTGTCACTTAAAAGTTGAGGTACATGTTGTTTACTAGTGTTCGATGCCTAAGAAAGGAAGGGAAGGGAAGAAAGCAAATAGGGCAGAGGAAGAAATTGAACTGCAATGCAGGCCTGGCAAAAGCAACCTAGCTCGAAGAGGGCAGTAGGGAAGATAGGAGGGAGATATAGTGGTAGCACAGTTTCACCACCCTGAACTCCACCCAGGTTCTTGCAAGTTCCCCAAAGCTTTCCCCAGGTCAACAACTTTTTCATAAATATAGCTGTAGCAGATGTATTGAATCTGTTACACATCTGCTGTTGATATCTGCTGTCACATCCCTTCAATCCACCTTTGAGTTCATCTATAGCTGTGGTGAAAAGTTCCTCTGCAGGCTAGAAGCTTCTGCTTTTTGCCATTAGGGTCAGATAACTTTCAATTATGTGTAAATCTCTTTAAAATACACACACATACCACCACCACCACCACCACCACCACCTGAAAGAAAAGTTTTGCCTTTTCAGATGTTAAGATTCTACAAAATTTGGAGAAATTGACACAGTGCTTTGAGTTCAAGGAATGGACTGACATTTGGCATGATTAAAGAAAAACAGACACTTTAGAAAAAGTATTCTCTAAATGCATTTCCCATGGACAAACTCCCTTTATCCTTAAACCATATCACGAGTTGATAGTGACATGTAGCTGCTGCCATTGTCTCAATCTTGCCAGTCACAATATTAGCTTTTGGGATTTCTTATCTGAATGGTAAAGATACCCATGAAATACATTGGACAAACTGGAGATGATGAAAGAAGTTCTTTATAAGCATTGGGTGGTTATATTTAAGATTTAAGTCATGACATGTGTATTTTGGTTCCTTCCTTAATTATTAGCTCATTGTAGCTATAGTTCATATTGACAATAGAATGTGTTTTCTTGGTAAAGAAAGACAGCTCTGCTGTAGGGCAGGATATCCTGGTAGTTGCTCAGGCCTGGCAGTGATCTGCACCTGATTTTGATCCTCTTCAATGCCATACTTGAGATGTTTGAGCAAAAATTTCAATTAATGTATGATTAAATTCATGCCTTTTCCCAAAGGGATTCTAAAAACAAAGCTTCAAAAAAAGTCATTCAATTAATAATCAAACAGAAGTGGCAAATCAAGATAAGAAAAGGAGACATGGTAGTAAAAAGACTATTATATCTGCAATCAGAACTTCAGCAGGCTCCTAGTTCTCAGGAATGTAAAGCAAACAAATCTAGCTGCACAGTTCTCCACAGGAAGAGAGAAATATTCCAAGTTCTTAGCAGAATACATTCCATCTCACCTCTTGGATTTCTAAAAAAAAAAATCAAATAATATTTTAAAAAATTAATTAAAAAAAATCTAAAATTTCTAAAATAAAATCCTCAATGCAACTTTATATAGCAGAATCTGATAAATATAATGCATAACAGTTTGCAGCACAGATAGAACTGAAAGTTCCATACCTCCATTAGGTCTTGCAGGGTTGAAAGAACATGTTTTTAGAAAAACCTGGGTTTAAAACCCAGTTCTACTATTCACTATTTGCTTTTACCATGACAACACATTTAATTCTCTCTTTTTCCTCTCTTTCTCTCTTCCTTCCATCCTTCCTTTACTTTCTTTATATTTTTGGTGTTATCAGTCACAGTCTACTAAGAAAAAGATTGCACACTCAGAGGTGCAACATTTAGCAAAAGGACTGTGCAAAGATGTAGGTGGGACAAAGGATGGCAATATTTTTAGGTGAACTATTCAGTGACATTACATGCATTCACATTGCTATGCAACCATCTCCACCTCCCAACTTTTTCCTCTCCCTAAACTGAAACTGTACCCATTAAACAATAATTCTCCATGCCTCCTTCTCCCAAACACTGTAAGCCAACATTCTTTCTGACTCTATAAATCTGATTATTTGAAGTACGGCCTGTCCTATACATGGAATCACACAGTGTTCATCTTTTTGAGTCTGGCTTATTTCATTTGGTATAAAGTCTCCAAGGTTATCCATATTACAACATGGATTAGAATTTCATCCTTTTTAAAAGCTAAATAATATCCATTGTATGTATAGAGCACACTTTGTTTGACCATTCATCTAATGGGTGTTTGGGTTGTTTCCACACTTTCAGCTATGTGAATAGTTCTGCTCTGAACATTGGTAGTCCCTGCTTTTAGTTATTTTGGGAATACAATCAGCCCTCCAAATCTGCACATTCAACCAACTTCAGATTGAAAATGCATACTTTCTAGTTAGGCCTATGGTGGTTGTGTCTATACTGAATATGAACAGACTCTTTTTTCTTGTTTTTATTTCCTAAACAATATAGTGTGACAACTAGTACATAGAACTTATATTGCATTAGCCATTCACTAAATATTATCTCCTCCATTTTCTCTATTGTTTCCCTCTGGAGATGAAAGCTAGAATGTCTTTATCTATCCTTAATATCTCTTAGCTTTCCCATCTTTTCTTTCCCTTTGAGTTTCATTTTCAAAGACTCTCAGTCCCCAGCTTAATTCACCTTTCATTGTGTCCATTTTGTTACTCAGTTCATCCTTTGAGTTTTTTTTTCCTTTCAGCAATTTGAGCTTAATTTTCCTCTTATCTTTTTCATGATTTGTGTATATCACACTCTCTTTAACTATTTTTTCTTTGCAAAAGACTTCAAATAGACATTTCTCCAAAGAAGATAGAATAATGACTAATAAGCACATGAAAAAGTGCTCAACATTACTAATCATTAGGCAATGGAAATTAAAACCACAAAGAGATAACCACCTTATACCCCACAGGATGACTATTTTAAAACAAAGCAAAACAAGACAGAGAATACTGTGTTGCAAGAATGTGGAGAAACTGAAACCCTTGAGCTTTACTTAGTGGTGTGGCTACTATGGAAAACAGTATGTAGTTCTTCAAAAAGTAAACATAAGATTACCCCATGATCCAGCAATCCCTTTCTAGATAACCAGGGGGATGGGTTCCAGGACCTTTAAGGAAGCTCAGTTCCCTTACATAAAATGGAATAGTACTTGTATGTAAACCATTGCACACCTTCCCATATGTTTTAAATCATTAGGTAAAGTCTGATTTAATTTTCAAGGAAATTGTGTATCATTTGTTGTGAATCTGATAAAGAATCAGATTCCTTTTCCTCAGCATGTACTTGCCTTTGCTCAGATGGCATATTTGCTCATCTAGACTGGCTAGGCATTCGCAGAATAGGCTGTGTAGATTACAAATAGTTTCCCAAGTCTTGCACAGTAGAATGTATGACCTCTCCTCCCAGAATCTCAAGGGATGAAAAGGGTTTGCCATTCTTGGCTGTGGACTAATAAAAATACTATCCAATCTTGACCACAGGTTCCTAGCACCCTGCTAAGTAAAACTGTTTGTGTCTTCTGGGAAGCTTTTATGTAACTTGACTGAAAATTACACTTTAGGTAAGATTTCAGGAACACAAAAAACCTTGCCGTGTTAATTAAAACTCTTCTGTGACCCGCCTTGAGCTATCCACTTTCTGAACTCCTGTGTCAAACACAAGAAAAGAAGAACCGTCTACACCTTGGCAAGGAAAAGTTGGCAACACAGCAAGAACAACCGTATGTCGATTCCTCTTGATTAGTTTCAGATTTATGTGGTTTGCTATTTAAAAATTCTCTCTTGCTTATAAATCTTTCTGTTTGGCAAACAGGAAACATTTCATTAGATCCCTTCTAAAAGAATTTTGTTGTGACTAGTAAAATATTCATGGCAACGATATAAAAAAGAGCAATCCTTTTTGATGATCTAATTCCATACTACAAATTACAATTATTTCCTTTCTCTGATCCCTTCTAACTCAGAGCTTTGTCCATACCCTGACTTCATGACGGAGAGCGGAGATGCAGCAAGGAGCAGGCACATCTGGGGAGGACTTTTCCTGCACCCAGACTGTCCGACGTCTATAGCTTCAAGGCTGGTAGTTATAGACTCCTTTTGGAGTTGGCTGTCTGCAGGCGCCAGGATGGCTGTGAAGCCGGTTCAGACCACAGGCAGTCACGGGTTCCGCCCAGCTGAAGAGCAACCAAGCTGACCCCACGCCTTCAGCGCCCCCTGGCGCCCGCACATCTGCATCCTCCTGTCAGCTCCAAGCCCAACTTTCTTTTTTTTAAAGATTTATTTATTTATTTATACAAGATTGATTGATTGATTTATACAAGCACTGGGTACAGTCAGAAGCGCGGGAGGGTGAGAGAATTCACCAGAGCCAGAGCGGGGAGCAGAGCAGGCAGAAGGACCGAAGTACACTGCTGAGGGGAGCAGCGGGCGGCAGGAGAGGTCTGCGCGCCATGTGGGACCCTCCTCCGGTGGCCGGGGAGCAGCCGGGGATAGAGCCGGCGCTGCAGAGGCTGCGGGCAGCTTCGAAACCCAGCGCTCAACCGCTGCGCCACCGGGGAGGCCCCTCCAAGCCTAACTTTTAATGCAGCCGGCCGCCGAGGCTTCTTTACCGAGGCGCACACTTCCGGTCACGTGCGGCCAAGATCACGTGTACCATGATCACGTGAGACGGGTCCTGCGCCGCCGCCGCGCGGCTGGGGGTCAACTTCCGGAGGTCTGCGGGCTCCGGCCAAGGAGGTGCGGGTGGCTCCGGAGCCCGCGGAGCGGCAGGGTCGCGACGGTGAGGGCGGCGGGCCCGAGCAGGGCTGGGGCGGGGCCGCCGGCTTCCTCCAAACTCAGCCTCACTTCTCGTCCTTCCCGCTGCAGATGAGCCGGTCCACCTCCGAGCAGGAGCGGACGCCGGCGTCCGAGCCCGTGTGGGAGCGGCCCTGGTCGGTGGACGAGATCCGCAGGAGCAGTCAGAGCTGGTCGCTGGCGGCCGACGCGGGCGTGAGAGGCGGGCCCCGGGGACTGGCGGGGCGGGCGGGCCCCGCGGGCTGCAGGACGGGTGCCCCCTGCCCCTTCCACGCGGGCTGGCCCCTTCCTCGGTTCTTAGTAACACTCCTTCTTGCCCTTGAAGACGCCCCCTTGGCTGTCCGCAGGCGCCAGGGAGGGGTGGGAGCGCTGACGTTAGTCCCCGGAACGCACCCTCACGTACTTCGGCCCAGACTCAGGGTTCTTTTCCTTCTTCGGTCTTGCTAAGCGTTTACCCAACTGCATCCTGACGCGGCATATCGGGTTCCCTGGCGTTGCGGGATGGTTGTGGCTCTGGTGAGAAGATTCCACGTTGGCACCTGGACAAGCCGGTGCCTGGAGATCCTTGAGTGGAACTTTTCTAGCCAGGCACCCAAGCTGCTCAGAACTTTGATTCCAAAGCCCCACATGAATAGGATCGAAAAAGAGAGTGGTGGTTGGTTATTTTAGCCTTCGTGTATCTTCCCTGTAGAATGACAACCAAACAGGACTTTAAAACGAAATAGCGAGTTCTATTTGACGCCGCGCTACTGGTTGGCTGAGTTGTTGTTTTTTTAAAAATATTTATTTATTTATTTATACAAGCACTGGGCACAGAAGTGCGGGAGGGTGAGAGGATTCGCCAGAGCCAGAGCGGGGAACAGAATAGGCAGACTGATGAAATACACTGCTGAGGGGAGCAGCAGGCGGCAGGAGAGGTCTGTCGCACAATGTGGGACCCTCATCGGTGGCCGGGGATCGAACTGGCGCTGCAGAGGCTGCCAGCAGCTTCGCAGCCCAGCGCTCATCCACTGCTCCACCAGGGGAGGCCTTGTTTGGCTGAGTTTTAAAATATTTTTCAGCGCCATCTAGTCCTGTGAAAAGCAGCATCCCCTTTACATTCCAACGTGCACACAAAGGTGGAAGGAACTGGGTTATTTTTTGTTTTGACACAGAAGAGAGGCATATAATATTGATACTATTGCATAATTTTTTTTTAATAGCTACTACAGTTTCTACAGGAATTCTCACAGCAGACTATTTCTAGGACCCATGAAATCAAGAAACAAGTGGATGGACTAATTCGGGAAACTAAAGCCACAGATTGCCGGCTACATAATGTCTTCAATGACTTCCTTATGCTGTCTAATACCCAGTTCATTGAGAACGTGAGTTACTTAATTACATCAGACTTCTAAATAATACTTTTTCAAGGAGCAAGAATCATTGTGATATTATATGATGCATTACTAAGTTCTATCCTAAATTTGGACAGAAGTAGTGGTGCTTTTTTAATTAATTTTTTCAAGTCTTCAAAAAATCTAATGATAAACTTTTTCTGTATTCTGATCTTTCCATCCCTTTTAGTTTCGAGAGTAGTTAGCATTTGTGCTGAATTGAGTAGTACTCAAACAAGCATTGTTTTGGCATGCTCTTTTTTTTTTTAAAGATTTATTTTTATTTATTTATACATAGAAGAGCTGGGGTGTAGGCCAAAGGGGGTGTATGTGTGTGTGTGTGAGGGAGAGAAGATTCACCAGAGACAGAGTGGGGAGCAGAACAGGTAGATTGACTGAAATACACTGCTGAGGGGAACAGTGGGTGAGACAGGAGAGGTCTGCTGTGCCATGTGGGTCAGCACAGGGCCAGGGATCAAACTCATGCTGCAATGGCTGCCAATAGCTTCATAGTGCTGAGACTTAACCCCTTAATTCCCTTAAGAAAAACCATACAGCTGATCTGTTCCTCTGTTATCAGCAGGTGACTGCAGTTATTGTCCAGTTATTTTATTATATTAAAGATGTATGTGCGTGTGCTTGGAATATTCTCAACCAGTGTTTTGTTTGGATGACTGAATTTATGACATAGAATCAATTCTAAACAGATTACTGAGCTTTAACCAAGTGTGATTTGTCTGTGTTGTTGACTACATTTTTAAATGCCAGGTTCTAGGAATACGAAGGTATGTTAGAGCCTCTCCTTATAAGAGATCACAGTCTTCCATAATGATGTAATTCCAGAATAGAAAGGAAGCAAGTAGGGTTGGAGCCCAATGAGTACAGGAGTGACTGTAGAGATGAGCGTGGAGAGGAAACTTAGTTAGACTGATTTGTTTCTAATAGGATGAGTAACTTCTGAGTATTAGCATTAATCAATCTATGAAAAGAGAATTGTTAAAGGAGGCTATTTCCTGAGATTGTTAAATATAAAGTAATAGAAAAGATTTTGAACATTGAGGTCTTGTGAAAAACCCAAGATTCAGGGTTAAGAGAAGACCAGATAATGTCATGCAGGTATGTTACGCAATGTGTTGGTGCATTTTTTAGTATTTCAGGTTGAAATGCCTTTTGGGGAGCCCTCTGTAAAATAAACATCTTATTTAAGGTAAAGGTCTTGCAATCACTTTGCTAGTAATTTTAAAATGTAACAAGTAAGATGTGTAGTAATTTTCCGGCCATCTACATGGAATGTCCATGCTTGGCCCTAAGCCTCTTTCTCACCAAAAGAGGCAGTTTATAGAACTTTAATCTCTTCATGCATATGCAGCCCCATCCATCAAGCTGAATTTTGGTGTCCTTTGAAATATACACGTTGTTCTCATTTTGTGCCTTTCTTGCTCTGTCAGTGTTCAACTCTTCTCTGCAGTCAGTGCTGCAGCCTTAATCTGGGTAAGGAATATGTTGGGAGGTTTCTTTTGTACCTAATGTTCTTGTACCAACACCTGATATGTTGATACTCAATTGATATACTGTGTGTGTAAGGGGGCAGGTAGTAGGGGTTGATGGTATATATCATAAAGTTCTTTTTCTGAATTGCAATTTTTGGTCTTTTTTTCTCCAACTCTTCTAGTTACGTTTTCTTAGAATCTGAGTTTTCCATGATCTAATTCTTGTTTGTTTTTTTGTTGATTTTTTATTAGTTCTTTATTTTTGTTCACTTCTTGGACTCCTTGTTTTCCATCAATCTCTATTCCCTTAGTCTTTATGCCTCTTCTTCCAGTCTGCAGCCAGAATTCTTTTCTGTCTGTCTCTTTCTGTGCTGCTAAATTTACATGGTACTTCCCAGATGCCCCTATGATGGGTTACATGTTGTCTCTATTTGTGGCAGAGCTTGATGATAGATTAATGATTAATAAGACACTTAAATCTAAAGGGTAGTGATATGTTAGGTAGGGATTTGGCTTTTTTTTTTTTTTTTTTAAATATGTTTTCTTCAAACCCTGATACTGGTGCTGATGTATTTAAATTTTGTCTTGAGTGATGGTGCCATTTGATTCTGTGTAATTTATTGGAGGAATGTTCAAAGTCAGGTTTTTGGGTTTTAGTAATTAAAACCTTAGAGGCAGCTACCAGGTTGCAAATTTTGTTTTAGAGTTAGTGAAATTGAAGAACAATCAGAACTTTTTAGGTCAAGACTTGTAAAGATTCAAGAGGGGATCCAGAAGGAAAAATACTAATTAACACAGGTCGGTGCTTCTGTGTGTAATCAGAAGGGAACACAATTTTTAGAGCTTCATTAATCTGTTGATTTAGGAATTTTGTCTTGACACATTAAGTGACCTAGTTAATGACTTCTTTAGGAACACTTGCGTGATTGTAATTTTACATTTGTGGCTATGATTTGATGCATCCAACTCCTCTACTGAATATTATATTCCTTGATTCCAGCACAAGCCTGAGATATAGGAAGAGGATGAGTATTTAAATGAATGAGCAAACCTATCAATAAAAAAGAACCAGGCTGTGTATAATCTGTTAAATCCCCAGCCCCTGGTCCTATTTTCTCAGCTTTCCCAACTTCACCTCTTACCCATCTCCCCAAGAGAGGAGAAGATCCTTTGAGGATACCGGGCATATTTAACAATTCTGGGTATGGCTACCTGATTGTAAAATAATAATAAAAAGAAAACAAACCACAAAGCTGTGTCATTCAATAAGGTTGAAGGACGTTAGATTGATTATCTGCTGTGTACTGAGTGCTTGAGATGCATGGTACTAGTCACTCTCAAAAGACCCTTTGTTCTTCTGATTGATTTCTTAGCTACCTTGCTTGGTTTTCCAGCTGTAGGTGGCTGTGTCTTGTGGGGTAGTTTTTAATGATAAGCAGAAGTAAAAAGACTTTCAGTGGGAAGACTTCAGTTCAGACGTAAGTGCGAAGCTCAGCCTTTTAGGTTCAGTAGTCCTGCTATGTAATTTCTGAGATAATGTTGGTAGCTGCCGTGTCTTTTTTTTTTTTTTTTTTTAAAGATCTATTTATTTTTATACAAGAACCGGGGTACAGGCTAGATATGCGGGAGGGTGAGAGGATTCACCAGAGACAGAGCGGGGAACAGAACAGGCAGACTGATGAAATACACTGCTGAGGGGAGCAGCGGGCGAGACAGGAGAGGTCTGCTTCGCCATGTGGGATTCTCGCTGGCTGATTGGGATTGAACCCGTGCTGCAGAGGCTGTGGATAGCTTCACAGTGCGGCGCTCAACCGCCTGTGCCACAAGGGAGGCCCCTGCCATGTCTTAAATAATTATTTCTTCTTTGTTTTCATCTATAGTATTTTGAGTTATTGTGACTTATTCCAAATAATGTTTTGACCATTTAAAAATAAATTTGCTTCTATATTTAGCGTGTATATGATGAAGAAGTGGATGAACCTGTACCCAAGGCTGAGACAGAAAAAGCAGAACAGGTATTTGCATTAAATCTCTTTTCCATTAAGTTTCTGACTTAGAGAAGCATAGTAGTAGAGGTTTATGTGACTAAGTGATGGTGAACAGATGTGTAAATATTGGGGGAAATGAGAGACAGACAGCCCCAAAATTGAACTCTAGTTTGTCCCTGAAATTTAGTGTATTAAGACATATATAAAGCTCTTGAATTTTGGCTTAAGAATAGAACAGAGATTGCAGAGATTTTCTTTGTTTTTTGTTTTTTTTTTAAGATTTATTTATTCATGCATACAAGAACTGGGATACAGGCCAGATGTGTGGGAGGGTGCGAAGATTCACCAGAGACAGAGCTGGGAACAGAACAGGCAGATGGACTGAAAAAACTGCTGAGGGGAGCAGCGGGTGAGACAGGAGAAGTCTGCCATGCCATGTGGGTATCTCCCTGGCCGGCCAGGAATTGAACCTGTGCTGCAGAGGCTGTGGACAGCTTCACAGCGCTGTGCTCAACCCACTGCGCCACCGAGGAGGCCCTGGCAGAGATTTTTAGTAGCAAGACAGATAGTAAACATTTTAGGTTTTGCTAGCCATGTAGGTCTGTCTCTTCCTTACCTTTTTCTTCTCTTCCGCCTCTTTCCCTTCCCCTTTTAAAACCTTCGAAACCATTCCTGTATTGAGGTATATAGAAATTGACGGTAGGCTAAACTGTAGTTTGTGGTTTCTTTGAAGACTTGTTTCCCTATCCCCTTCGTGACTGCAGTGATTCTCATTAGCCAAGCTTAGTGTGATACAGTCACGGTGAAACTCAGAGTCTAGCCCCTTTCATTCTGCCAGTAGCAGGAAACTGAAGTGCCCTCTGAGGGCTCAGCTGTGACACTCCTTGTTAGGGCCCTTTTACAAAGGTTACCTAGTTGAACCATCACACAAAAGTTGTGCTTTTGTTTTCATACATGTTGAACCTGGAGCTCCAGGATCTAGGTGTTTTGATGTTTGCTCAAAAAGTGACAAACTTGGGATTTAAAACATACTCTGAAGTCTGTGTCAAGGCATTTAGCAGGATCTCCTTAAGATTATTAAGATTTTCTCTAAGTTTGAATTTTAGAGAATACTCACAGTGCTTTATTGGGTAGAGTGGTGTCAATATATTGGAGGCCCATACTGAATGGTGATTTTTTTTTTTTTTTTTTTTTGTAGGAAAAGACACGGGAACAGAAAGAAGTAGATCTCATTCCTAAAGTCCAGGAGGCTGTGAACTATGGTTTACAAGTATTAGACAGCGCATTTGAGCAACTAGATATAAAAGCGGGAAACTCAGACTCTGAAGAAGATGATGCTAATGAGCGGCTGGAACTGATCCTTGAACCAAAGGTAAAAACACTCAAACTAAATATTTGTGATTACACCTATTATCTCTTGGGTACTTTACTTCGGCACAGTTTTAATAAGACATAGACTTTGACTTTTTGGAAGTAGTGTGTCACTTAACAGTCTCATTTTGACTCCATCAGAATGACTTGTTTTATATGAGAATTGATGGAGGTACAAGGCAGCATGTTACAAACACAGATGTAGGGCATGACTCCTACTCATAAGATGCTACAACAGACAGAAGAGATAATATTATGTACATGCGTCACCATCTAAGTGTTCTGAGAGAGCATTGGTTACTAGCTTGGGGGAAATAAAGGTGAAGATTAGGTTTGATTTGGATTGATTTTGAAGGATGGCAAGGCTCATGAAAGGCAGAGATTTAGGAGAATGTGCAGGGGGGTGAGAGGAGTCACCAGAGACAGAGTGGGGAACAGAACAGGCAGACTGACTGAAATACACTGCTGAGGGGAGCAGTGGGCGAGTCAGGACAGGTTTGCTGCGCCATGTGGGTAGATCCCTGACTGGGGATCGAACTCGTGCTGCAGTGGCTATGGATACCTTCAGAAGTTGTGTCTTAACCCCTGAGAGGTCTGTATCTTAACCCTAGGGAGGCCCCGAGTGTGGTGTACTTTTTGATCCTAAATTTGTAATGTGTGGTGGGTAGGACTCAGAAGTAGAGGACTGATGGAAGGATCTCTAAAATGTATTGTCATGTGTACAGTCTCCCTTCTCCTATTTTCTTCTCTAGTTTTGTTTTACCAATTTCACTTTTCTAAAGTCTACATTGTGAACCTTTGGGGTGGTTCTTTGGGTTATTTTTTTCCTAGATAAGTTCTCATCCATCTTTTTGGGCTGTTCCTTTAGTTCTTACGTTGACTGCACATATTTGCATATTGCTATTCTATTTCTTGTCATGTCACTCATTTTTAAAAAAGATATTGAGGGCCTCCCCTGGTGGCGCAGCGGTTGAGTGCTGGGTTGCGAGGCTGCCCGCAGCCTCTGCAGCGCCAGTTCAATCTCCGGCCACCGGCGAGGGTCCCACAAATAAATAAATAAATAAATAAATAAAAAGATATTGAAGCAACGTTAGTTTACAGCATGGTATGAGTTTCAGCTGTATTGCATTAGAGTTTGACATCTGCATATGCTCCTTTATAATTGCCACAGAAAGTCTAATTTCCATCCACCACCCTACAGTGAACACCCTTTACGTGATATGCCTACCTCCCAACCCCTTCTGGTAACCACTGTTCTCATAATATGAGGGTTTGTTTCTGTTTTTTTTTTTTTTTTTAAGTTTCAGGTGTACAGTTTTATATTTCAACGAGTGTGTACTGCATTATGAACACCACTAAAGGCCATCTAGTTTCCATCCACCACCAAACGGTTGACCCCTTTCCCATTTTACCTGTACCTTCCCACACCCCCTGAGGCCATACTTTGTGTGCTGTGTTCCAGCTTTCACTTTGCTCTGATGCCATGTGAAAGAATCTTTCTCATTTCCTTTTGTGGCTTGTTTGTGACCTATTTCTCCCAATTTTAGTATATGTGCTGCCAAAGCAAGCAGTTTGGGACCTGTTCCTTTTGTCTGCTCCCCACCCAATCCGGACATACCCATCTGTATTCTTATAGTCGTAAAAGCATTTAGGTTATTTTCTCAATCATTGTGTGCCTTTCTGAATTAAGTACTGTTATCGATTCACAAGATTGGTTGATTTGATTTTTTGCTCAACAGTGCAGCTTTTTAGGGGAGGAAGGGAGGGAAGGCTAGGTCTCAGCAAAGCTCACCAGAACTTCTCTTTTTTCCCTTGGTCCTCCTTTTGAGCAAGTCCCCTGAAGTTGTGCCCCTTGGCTTGTTTGGTTATCACTGGTAGACTATTTGCAGACCTTTGGCATTTTTGATAATGTAATTAAGCACTTCAGAAGGGAGATTATATGTGAGTGAGCTTTACTTTTGCCCACTTAGGATTTGCTTCTTTTCAAATCAGTGTTTTGTTTTCACTTTTAATCCTGCTGTGTTTCTTTTTTTTTTTTTTTAAATAATAAATTTTATTTTTATATTCCCCCATACAATTGCAAACGCCCCATTCTGACCCCAATCCTTCCCCTCCCGCCCCCCACCCCCCAAAAAGTGTCTCTGGTTCATAGTTCTTTGTTGATTTTGATTTTCACTTTCTTATATTCATTTTCCTGGTCCCTTATTTAAGTTTTCTAGATTCCTGCTATGAGTGAGACCATCCGGTATTTTTCTTTTTCTTTTTGGCTTATTTTGCTGAGCATGATCCCTTCCAGCGCCATCCATGTTGCTGCAAATTGCATGTGTTTATCTTTTTTGAATGCTGAGTAATATTCCATGGTATATATGTACCACATCTTCTTGATCCAGTCATCTATTTTTGGGCATTTGGGTTGTTTCCAAAGCTTAGCTATTGTAAATAGTGCTGCTATAAACATAGGGGTGCAGGTGCTCTTTGGAATTGATGTTTCTGTGTCCTTTGGGTAAATACCTAGGAGTGGAATTGCTGGATCATAGGGAAGCTCTATGTTTAGTAGGTCCAGAAATCTCCACACAATCCTGCTGTGTTTCTTATCCACCATTTTCATTATGTAACTTGTTTGGGTGGTCAGTGGAACAAGATACCAATGGAACAGTTTTATTTCTCAGTCTAAGTATTAATTGCTTACTCCCTTTCACTGTTTACAGGATCTATACATTGATCGTCCTTTACCTTATTTAATTGGGTCAAAGCTATTCATGGAGCAGGAAGACGTAGGTCTTGGAGAGTTGTCTAGTGAAGGTACTCTTTTGCACCAAATATTTTTGTTGCTTTTGACATTTATGTCTTAGCTTTCTATTTAAAAACAACTTCGAATATTAAATTTGTAAGACTAATACAAAGAACTTCCATATACTCTTCCACACAAGTTTATCAATTAATATTTTAACACATTTTATCATTCTCTGTATATACACAATTTTTTTTCTGAAGCGCTGCTACTTCTAAATATTTCTGAATATTTTCTACAAACAAGGACATTCTCTTACATAGCAATAGCACAATTATTAAGGTCAGGAAATTTTATTGGATGCGGTACTATTAGCTGATCATCACCGTGTTCAAATTTTGCCCTCTTTTACAGTCTCTTTTTCCCGCTGTTCCAGGATCCAACCTAAGATCATTCACTGCATTTAGTTATCAAGTGTTTTTAGTCTTCTTTTGTCTGATACCATTTTTCACAATGTTGACATCTTTGAAGAGCACAGACCAGTTTTTTCTTTATAATTTATTACTTTTTAAAAAAAATTTTTTTTAAATATTTATTTTTATACAAGAGCTGGGGTACAGGCTAGAGGCATGGGAGGGTGAGAGGACCCACCAGAGGCAGAGCAGGGAGCAGAACAGGCAGACGACAGAAATACACTGCCTAAGGGAGCAGCGCTTTTTTTCTATTAAGTATTTTGTAGGGAATTATTTTGAGACCTCATTATAGTGAATATGCTTTTAATTTCAGTTAATGGATACAGATGGTTATATTAAAATCTCTGCAGTGTTACTGTGTGGTGGTTTGTGATTTTAAGAAGAAATTTAGGAAGTTTTTTCATGAAAACTGATGATAACTCATATCTTTCTTTTAAACAGAAGGTTCAGTAGGCAGTGATCGCGGTAGTATTGCAGACAGTGAAGAAGAGAATGAAGAAGAGGTAAGGGCTGTTTGTGTTCAGCTTATGGTACACAGGAAACTTAGGACTCTAAACAATTTATTAGTGAACTAGCAGTCTGCTTTCAGATATCTTTTAACAGTAACAGAGCCATATTCTGAACTTTTTTGCTGGAGCTTTGATTTATTTCTTGTCGTGTATACAAACACATGGAAAACTAAATCCCTTTTACCATTAACCTCCCTTCACCTTGCCATTATATCCTCTTCTTACCAATGTATTTTGAGAAGGAGGGTAGCTTATATATTTTGGTGGCATTTTTGCCTAAGATATAGTCTTTGAGTAAGTTTCTAGAGTAAAAAGTTCATTTTTAAACTTTTTTTACTATAGGACCCTCTAACCCAGAAAGAAGGGTGCTTAAAGCATCCATGTATATTTCACGTACATTTTAGCTTTGCTGCTGCCTGTGGCCTCTTCCAATTACAGAGTATCATCTGACTCCCTGCTCTAGGGTCTCAAGGGCCTGAGGGCCTTTGACCACTATTGTATCTGGAGTTGTTCCTTCAAAGGGTCGAGAACCTTTGAAAGGTAGTCCTTCAATATGGAGTTCTAAAAGGAGACAATTTCTTTTCTTTTTTTTTTTTTTTAGAGATTTTCTTTTTTCTTTCTTTTTTTTTTTTTTAAATATTTATTTATTTATTTATACAAGCACTGGGTACAGTCAGAAGCGCGGGAGGGTGAGAGAATTCACCAGAGCCAGAGCGGGAGGCAGAGCAGGCAGAGGGACCGAAGGGCACTGCTGAGGGGAGCAGCGGGTGGCAGGAGAGGTCTGTGCACCATGTGGGACCCTCCTCCAGTGGCCGGGGAGCAGCCGGGGATCGAACTGGCGCCACAGAGGCTGCGGGCAGCTTTGCAACCCAGCACTCAACCTCTGCGCCACCGGGGAGGCCCTCTTTTCTTTTTTTTTAATTTAGAATTTTTTTAAAAAGATTTATTTATTCATGCATACAATAATGGGGGTACAGGCCAGAGGTGCGGGGGGTGAGAGGATTCACCAGAAACAGAGTGGGGAACAGAACAGACAGATTGACTGAAATACACTGCTGAAGGGAGCAGCGGGCGAGTCAGGAGAGGTCTGCTGCACCACGTGGGTTGCTCCCTGGCCAGGGATCGAACTTGTGCTTGAAGAGGCTGCAGTTAGCTTCATAGGTTGTGTTTTAACCCCTTGAGCCACCAGGGAGGCCCAGAAGACCATTTCTTATGCACACACTTCTCATCATCTCCCACAGACCTGCCCTTCTCCCAGCCCTGTAAAACCAAACAGTAAGAAATAAATTTTAATAACCTTGCTAGAACTGATGGTCATTAGCTAAATCCTTCACTTTTAGCCATTGATGCAGCCCTTTTACCTATTGGCTGGTTGCCTATACTGATGTTCCCTTCTTGGGCCTAATAAAGTAACTACTTCAACCTACTTTGGGGGAATATAGAAAGTGTAGACCAAAATGTAAAATAATACAGACCTACTTGTGATAATCTAATTAAATGTACAGCCCGTACTTTCACTCCAAAGGTTAAAGGTGATTGTGGAGTAGCTATCAACAAATTGTTATAGAGGTTTAAGTGAACCACAAAAATTACATGTTAATTGGAACAATCCTTGGTGATATCACCAACTGTTTTACCTTTGTGCCACCTTGATACTCCAGGTGACAAGTAACTAGTACAAAGAAACCAAGTGTTGCTGTGCTCTACAGACTTAGGCCTGAATAATTTCTGTGCTTTGAGTAAAGACTGTATTAACATAAAGCCTTCATTTTTCCCCCTACAGGAGTCTGAGGACGATTTTGCCAATCAGAGTGACAATGATCAAAACCGGGTAAGGTTCAAGTATCGAAATGACTTGGCTTTTGTATTTTAATTGAAGCATAACATACATACTCAGTATATACTAAAATTACTTCTGATTGACCTATGAGAAAGTAAGGCCTTATCCATATTTATAACTAATTTTATATTTTTAGACTATACCCCCTTTTGTTTCCCTCTAGAAAGTTTGAGCTTTCTAGTTCTCATTTTCTCACACTCTCCAGGGGTAACTTGTGTTACACTCTGAGAGTGTATATTTCCAGGTGTTTTTCTCTGCTTTTTCACATATATCTATATCTGTGGAAATGGTGTATATGTTTGTGTGTGTGTCAGGAGGCAGGGTATCATACTGGGTTTATCATTTAGCAGTTTTTTCATTTGAATTGTTTTTCCTATTGTTACAGTTTAATCTTACTATTATTCTTATTCAGATAAGAACATATCTAGTGTACTTATTTCTCTAGTGATTGATATATTTAATATTTCAATGTTACTGTGTTCTTGCATTGAAAAGAAATCTTGTGTATTATTTGTTCTGTTGATAGTACATTTACTGGTTTAAAATGTTGGCTGCATTGTATCATTTTTATTATAAAAGTTGTTACTGCCTTGAAGAAACTTTTAAAGATTGGGTGGCAGTATCTCTTCAACTTGAGGACCATTTCTGTATTAACTCTAATTTGCTGGTTTATACTCCTAGCACACTGCACAAATGAGTGATGAAGACGAGGATGATGATGGTTGTGACATTTTTGCTGACTCTGAGAAGGAGGATGAAGATATTGAGGACATTGAAGAAAGCACTAGACCTGTAAGAAAGATTATAGTTGTTATCATGTGGCAGGGCTTTAATAATGATACCTATCACTCGTTCCTTTTATTGAATTTTATGTTTGTAACCATCTCATTTGCATAATATTTGTAATTTCAATTACAATTGTGAAAATAAGTGGTTGAGCACCCCAATTTGCTGCTTCTCCAAATGTTCTGTTTCATTTATTTGAAATATTTAATTTGAAATATGTTCAGTTCCAGAATTTTAAGAGTCTACGCCTCCCTTTCCCCTCACCTCCAAGCAACTCATGGTAGTTTTCTTACCTAGATCTCGAGTATTAAAGTTAAGTATTTAGAAAATAATAATAATAAGGGACTCAGGAGCATTTTCCTTTGAAGGGATACCTGTTTCTCAGGTGATCAGTATGGGTATATGTCTAAATTCCTTTTGTTAAGCCCTATTTTCACATCAGTTAAGTTTCTTCACTATTCCTTATATAATTTTGTTAGGTGTCCAAAAGTAAACCATACTAGTTTGCATGTCACAAAAAGGCGATTCTCTTTTCTGCTTATAGAAAAGAAACAGACCTACATCATTTGCTGATGAGCTGGCGGCTCGTATCAAAGGGGATGCTGCAAGCCGGGGAGAAGAAGAGCCAACAGGTACACCACTGATGAGGTGGGGTTGTGGTGCAGGTTGGGGGTGGCGGGGCAGTGCAAGATCCTTTGCTGGGCTTCACTGAGGGTGGATTTCCTTGTTCAGTTACTGAAGCAAGAAAGGCATTGTAGTTCTTACTCTTTGGTTTATAGACTTTGGTAACTGAACACTGTGTACATATACATATCTGTGTAGCATTTTATGTGTACAGTAGGAGCTAACGGCAGTCCAGAGAACCATGGACTTCAGCTTAAGAATTCATGACTTAATATTTACTCAAGTATATTGACTATAAAAATACACTAGACAGTGTCTTCTGGTAATTTTACATGGCCAGAAGGTATCAGAATGATCTCTCAAGTGTGGTCCTGGTATGCACATCACTCTGAAATGTGAACAGAAGCTTTCTACTTAGAAGGAGACCCTTCTGAGTACCTGCTGTGGTCAGGCACACTTAAGTGCAGTGCTCAGGTAGAGCTGAGATACAGAGTTACACATCTTGTTGCTACCTTAGGGATACTTAGATGACAGATATGTGTAAAGAATCAGAACACAGGGTCTCCCTGGTGGTGCAGGGGTGAAAGTCTCAGTGTTATCAAGCTGTCACCAGCCACTATGGCATGAATTTGATCCCCAACCAGGGAGCTGACCCACATGGCACAGCAGACCCCTCCTGTGTTGTCCGCTGCTCCCCTCAGCAGTGTATTTCTTTTTCTTTCTTTCTTTTTTTTTTTAAAGATTTATTTTATTTATGCAAGAGCTGGGGTTCAGGCCAGAGGTATTGGGGGGGGGCTGAGAGGAGTCACCAGAGACAGAGCGGGGAACAGAACAGGCAGACTGACGAAATACACTGCTGAGGGGAGCAGTGGGCGAAACAGGAGAGGTCTGCTTGCCATGTGGGTTGCTCCAAGGCTGGCGGGGATCAAACTGGCACTGCAGAGGCTGTGGACAGCTTCACAGCACTGCGCTCAACTGCCTGCGCCACCAGGGAGGCCCAGCACTTTATTTCAGTAGATCCGCCTATTTTGTCTCCCACTCTGTATCTGGTGAATTCTCTTACCCCCTGCACCTCTGGCCAATACCCCATTTCTTGTATGGATAAATATATTAAAAATAAATTTCTAAAAAAAAAGAAAATCAGAAGACAAATACCAAGGGTAGACTGAGTATTGGTATAACTGTGAAATATTCTTCAAGCCTTATCCCCAGGAGGATCAAAACCTCAGAAGGCACTGAAAGAGAAGAAGGAAAGGAGAACTCCCTCAGATGGTAAATGTTTTCCCTCAATTTTGTTATTTTAGAAAGCTCTTCACTCAGGGATATGGCTGACGTGATTCATACAGAATCACTGTAAATGCTGACAGATGTGATCTGTCTCCACTTATTTTCAAAGCATTGAAAGCACATTTTGGGGGGTTGTGAGGAGTGGTGAATGTGGGGTAAACATGCTGTAAGGATTTGATTTTATAGCTGATTTTCTCAATTTCTCTATAAGTATAGAAACTAGGTATCTCAGCATCTGTTTTCAAGAAAGAAAAAGATAATTAGGCCTTTTCTATTCCCATAGGTTTTGTGACGTATTGGTCTGCAAATCTCTTTGTTCAACCTGCCCTTTGTTCTCCCAAATTGTTGGTGGGGTGGGTCTTGAATAGCAATTTGAGCCGTGTACTGGATTCAAAAGAATTACATCTAGATGTAGGGGATCACCTACGGAATTCACCCTGCTCTGGACAGATGTGAGGGTGGGAACCCAGAGAGTCTTTTAAGGGATACAGTGTACTGTCTAGTGAGTTTTGTTTGCAGATCCTCAAGCTGCCTTCAGATACTCTTTGTTGCATATGGTTAGGTAAACTCCATCCCCTTTTTGGGTTTGGATATGGTAAAAGTTACAAATCCCCAGAATTTGATTTCCATATCCATCTTTAACTCTTCCTGCAAAACATTCTTTTCTGTTTACTAGATGAAGAGGATAACTTATTTGCACCCCCCAAGCTGACTGATGAGGACTTCTCACCATTTGGTTCTAAAGGAGGCCTGTTCAGTGGAGGGAAGGGACTTTTTGATGATGAGGATGAGGAGGTGAGTTAGTGGTAAGCAGTGAGGGTTCTCCATGACTCTGCTGTGGGTCTTCAAGGAGAAAATGCTGCTTTTGGTGGGGAAAAATGACTTCTTAGTTGAAAGTTGCTTCTGCTGTCACATTTTGGGAGATTCTGAACTAAGAATCCTGATGTATCCTGATGTCTTTTATCAGGTGGTAAGCAGAAGTAGGGGTGTGAATAGTGAAGAACTCACTTGATTAGGCGATTCTTACTTGTTTTCTTCTTCCATGTTTGTCTTTAATTCCTGGACATATCTAAATTAATTAATTAGGTCTGATTTTGCCGTAGTCCTCACTTTGGAGCTGGCATAGCAGTAAATGTATAGCTTAAAACTTTACAAGTTACTTTTCTTTAGAAATCCTCAAATGCAACTATGTTTTCCTCTGCTTTTTTTATTTTTCTGTCATATACCTTATTACAATTAGAGTGACCTCTTCAAGGAAGCCCCTGAGGATCGAGAAGTTCGAGCCCCTATTAATGAGGGTAAGTTTGGGTTGAGGCTGACTCTGCTTCTTCATGCACAGATATCTAAAACTCTTTACTTCCCATTAGGAGATGGAACCATGAAGCCTTGCTTCTTTGTTAGGTTGGAAGCTGTTGTATTTGTCTTGATCTAATTAACATCAGTCATATTCACTAATTCATGTCTTGGAAAAAACAAAGTACCATCTATATAAACTCAGTTTTGCCTCTTTCTTAGAAGATAAATCATAAAATGTCAAACCAGAAACAGGAAAAATGTGCTACAGTATTGTAGCAGATATTTTGATTTAATCAAAATTTAATTCAAAGAAAGTATTTCTGAAATTCTGCATAGAATTTGGAGATGTGTAATTCTCCGATCCAGTGTATATTAGAATCATCTGTAGGTTTAAAACAACAACAACAAACCTTTATACATAAAAAAATAGTGTAGGAATCTTACTCCATTAGGTCTGTGGTAGTTTCGGGAATTGGGAGTTAGCTATTATAATTGGGGAGATTTGGTCTCCCCAGCCTGAGTTCTCAGGATTTTGATCTGCTCTGATGATGCCAACTTACTTGACTGTCCTGTCCCTGCTTTCCACTTCTTGGCATCGGTGTCTTTCCTGCTTTCCCCCATTCTTGTTATGGTCTTCATTTTTTCACTGATGCCTCAGATTTTTTGCTGTTCCGATTTACTTCATTCACATCAAACTAGAATGGATAGCGTTAGAACTGTTCAGGAACCTAGCTTGCTGTCCCTTGCAGCTCCCTCATTGATGCTCTATACCTTCCTTGGCCTCCCCAGCCAAGTCTACTGCTGTCCTTTGCCCAGAGTCAAAGTGATCCTCCATGGAATCATGGCTTAAATTGTGTTAACCAAGGAGAAAGTCAGGACATTGGTAGATGACAATGATAAGGGATTTTTAAATGGCTCTTTAAGGAAAACTTAGTTTAAAATAGTCTCCTACTGGCTGTTTTGTGTTGCACATATTTCAGGAAGATGCATTTAACAAATTCATTTTCTTTGTTGAAATGGTTCTCTTTGTTTTTATTTTAGCATCTTCATCCTCCAAATCTGGAAAGAAAATCCCAGCAGGAGCTGTGTCTGTATTTTTAGGTATCGTAACTTCAGGTTTATTTTTTTAAATACTATATAAGTACTTTTTTGTCATCTTTTTAAGCTGGCTGGAGAGTATGAGGCACCTCAGAGAGCATCAGACAACTTACAGAAAGGGTTCATGTGCTGATGTTAATGCATTTTCTTTTAGAAATCTATAGGGAGGTCTTTTATGTTTGAGCAATCGCTTGATTGTGCATGTGGGAGGTTGAGAGCAGTAAATGGTGGAAGATTGAGCCCTTCGACATGTGGTTTTGTGGAAGAGCTGAAATGAAAAGTTCATGGTGATGGTTCTGTTTCTTCTTTCTATAAAGGCCCAGCCACACTGATTCACAGCTGTGACTGTCCTGTCTCTCAACTCACAGGGAATGCTGACATGTTTGGTATCCCCTCTGCTCCATCAGCGAAGGAGTCCCAGAAACCTGAGCAGCCCACTTCAGGCAAAAACTTGTACCCCCCAGCACCTGCAGGTCTCTTCGATGATGATGATGACGACGATGACTTTTTTGCGACTTCCAGCAGCAGACCTTCCAAGCCAGGTAGCTATTCCAGCTTCTTTTGATGGAAACTTAGCTAGAAAAAGAGTGTTGTCCTCCAAAAGTATATAGAGCTCCTCTAGTTCTGTATCTTGCAGTGCTAGATCCCTCCTCAAGCACTTTTGTCATAGAGTTGTCTCATCGCTACCTAGTTTGTAGTGCCTTTCTATTTCATAAATGAATCTTTTCTGCTTTGGGGACTAATTACTAGGTTTATCTTCTTATAGAAAGTTATACACCCTATAATCTGGGTGTAAGATTTTTAGTTCTGACTTTTGAAGCTGTAGAGAAAGTTTTAATTGGACTGTCTTCCCGCAGCACGGTTTGAGCAGAATGTCACTTGCTAGCTACTAGTCCCAGTTTCTCTCTTCTGAGCCAAAAAGCCCGGATAATAACCTTGGCCCCTCCTTGGATTGTACGGTTTTCAGCCACTTAGCCACTTTGACACTCTTCTCTATTTATGTTTTAATCAAATTTTATTGATTTGCATTTTGTTTACGTAGCTGTATAATTTTGGGAGTACAGATTCACGCAGCACTCACCTTTCTTTTTTCCTCAAATTTAAGCCAGTATGTACATGAAGTCACGTTTCTGATTTAGGTGTTCTTTATTGTGCAGATGGCTGTCCTGGGTCATTCTTCAAAATGCAGATTCTGATTCCGTGGGTGTGAGATGTGGGATAGGACCTGTAATCCTACATTTCGAACAAGCTCCCATTGGGTAGAGATTGCTAGTCTGTGGGTCATACTTGGAGTAGCAAGACTTAGATTCATGGGGTACTTTTTCAGAAAAGAAAGGTAGACTATAAGGTATACACAGAGTCCAGCACTAGATGGACTAGCATGCTTTCAGAAGTAGGCTTTCTGGACTTAGCTCCTTTTTTGGGCTAAGTGTGGAAACAAAGGATAGAAGCAGAAATGTGAGTTATTTTAGAAAGTTACTCAGAGTGAGAATCTTATACATAATATACTCAGATGTGCACCAGCTGAAATGACAGAGGATAAAGAAAGAGGCCCTCTGGTGGCTTAGAAAACCTCTTAGTGGATATTATTGAGAACTGATTTGAAATCACAGATAAGTTGATGTTACTTTCTTTGACAGCTACTGTTCTCCTGCGACATTCTTAAGTTAGTGATGTCATCTGAGTGACACATACCTTATTTAGTATAGCAGTGCTTATATGGTAGTGAAAGGTTGGAAAACACCCAGATATTCACTAGTAGGGTAAATTAGCATCCTCCATTTGGTGGAATTTTGTGAAGCTGTTAAAAAGAATGAAGTCTGTGTATGTTGACGTGGAAATTATTCCTTAAATTATTCCTTACGTACCTTAAGGAAAATTTGTAAATTGTAAGATGCATTGTAAAATTCTGTTGTTATTTGTGAATAACTGAAATTTATATGTTAGTGTATCCTTTGGGGGATTTTTTTTTTTTAAAGATTATTTATTTATACAAGAACTGGGGTACAGGCCAGATTCGCGGGAGGGTGAGAGGATTCACCAGAGACAGAGTGGGGAACAGAACAGGCAGACTGATGAAATACACTGCTGAGGGGAGCAGCGGGTGAGACAGGAGAGGTCTGCCGCGCCATGCAAGACCCTTGCCAGCTGGCCAGGATCTTGCTGGCTGGCTGGGATTGAACCAGTGCTGCAGAGGCTGTGGACAGCTTCACAGCACTGCGCTCAACCACCTGTGCCACCAGGGGAGGCCCTCTTTGGGGGAATCTGAAGCATGTATACTAAACTATTCCCAATGGCCATGCTATTTGGGTGGGTGGGTGGGACTATCAGGGTGATTCCAGCATTTGCTTGTATATGATTCTGTATAGTTTGACTTCTTAAAAGCAGGAATCAACCTACTTTTCTCATATTCCTAGAGTGGTTGACTTTTTTTTTTTTTTTTTTTAAGATTTATTTATTTATTTATACATGCACTGGGTATAATTAGAGGCACGGGAGGTGAGAGAATTCACCAGAGCCAGAGCAGGGAGCAGAGCAGGCAGAAGGACCCAAGCACACTGCTGAGGGGAGCAGCGGGCTGCAGGAGAGGTCTGCGCGCCACGTGGGTCCCTCCTCCAGTGGCCGGGGAGCAGCCGGGGATCAGCCGGGGATTGAACTGGCGCTGCAGAGGCTGTGGGCAGCCTCGCAACCCAGTGCTCAACCGCTGCGCCACCGGGGAGGCCCTAGAGTGATTGATCTTAAATGATCTTTTCCTTTCTGTAGCTCTCTCTCTACATTTTAGGCCAGTCTAAGCTAATCTAAGCGTAGGATGCTGTTGATTAGATAAATGTATAAGCCAGAGGTCAAACCATCTGTCCTGTGTTTTATTTGAGCTGCTCTATGTTCTTTTTTTTTTTTTTTAAAGATTTATTTATTTATGCATACAAGAACTGGGGTACAGGCCAGAGGTGCAGAGGGTGAGAGGATTCACCACAGACAGAGTGGGGTTCAGAACAGGCAGATTGAAATACACTGCTGAGGAGAGCAACGGGCGAGACAGGAGAGGTCTGCTGAGTCATGTGGGTTGTTCTCTGGCCACCTGGGGATTGAACTCATGCTGCAGAGGCTGCTTGCGGCAGGTAGCTTCACAGTGCTGTGCTTAACCCCTTGCGCCACCAGGGAGGCCTTGCTCTGTGTTCTTTGAAACATTCCAATCTAGTCCTCTTATTATTTGCTTATAATCAAGAAAAAAAAAAAAGACCCTTTTAGTTTATTCTTTGGGAGGGAAGAATTTTGGATTTTTCACCTTGGTGAAATTTTGTTCTGTGTTGTCTTTCTAAAGACAAAGTCAAACCCACTGGTGATATATTTGATGATGAGGAAGGAGATCTGTTCAAAGAAAAAGCATCGACTTTGCCAGGAGATACTGTGATTCAGATAGATGACAATAAAGCAAGAGCAGAAAAAAAGGTGAGTAGGAAGGAAGACTGAATGTAAGAGTGCTGATTTGGGACATCTTGCTAATTCCTCTGGGCCCAAAGGAAAACACTTTATTTTTTTCAAGTGTCTCGTGAATTTCAAACATACAAAAAGTTGAAAAAAGAATATAGCGAACTACCACCTAGATTCAGCAGTTATTAGGATTTTGCCTTGCTCGGTGTTTTTAACATCCATTGATAATCTTGTATCATGTTGGGGGTGCAAAAGAATGCTTTCCTAGTACTTTTATTTCTTCTACCTTTTTTAGCTGCCTTTGTTCTCAACAGGAAAGCTTCTCTTCCTTCTTTCCTACTGTTTTGCTTTCATTAAAGGATCATAGATTCTCTCTTCACTGTGTCATAATTCATTAGCATTATTATTATTTTTTTTGATGCTCATATTGACCAATATTTTGGCCAGTGTGATGCATCCCCATCAGTCTTGAGTTTTTTTGGTTGCTGTCCCTTCTATGCTACACCCCTCGATCCATGCTCTTTCTAAAAAGCACATCTTATGTTGGTTCCTTGCTATGAAGCCCTAGTTTTACCACTGCGAAACATATAGGTCCCAGCATTCAGAGCCTGGCAAGCCTGGGGCAGTCCCCCATCTGGCACTGGCTGCAGCTATATACATCCCACTTGTGCCCTGTAGCAGGTTGGCAGTCTGTCCTACTCTGATCCACCAAATAGGTCCCCTTTATTGTTTGTCTTCTCATATGGGTCCCTCTGCCTGTTCTGCCCTTGCTTACACCAACTCACATGTCCAGGTCTAGTCTATCCTGAGAAATTTACATTATCAAGTTGCAGTTCCTTCCTCCCCCCCCTCCCCTCCCCCTCTTCTCCTCCTCCCTTCCCCTCCTCCACTCCCTCTCCTCCCCTCCTCCCTTCCTTCCCCCCCCCTTTCCCTCCCCTCCCCCCTCCATTCTCCCTCTCCCATCCCCTCCCCTCCCGTCTCCTCTCCCTCCCCTATCCCCCTCTCCCTCCCCTCCCCATCCTCCCTCACCTCATCCCTCCCTCCTCCCTCTCCCCCTCCCCCATCCCCTTCTCCCTCCCCTTCCCTATCCTGTGGTTCATGGCTTGGTTCCAGATTCAGTTCATTTTCTGAATGAATAATTGAGTAAACCTTCATTTCCAGGTATCTTTGATGTCAACTCTCAATTTTTTTTTTCCCCCAACAAAGGTTGCTCTACCTTCCAGCAAAAATGCCAAGCTCTTATCAGAAACAAAGCCTCAAAAAGGTTTATTTTCAGATGAGGAGGACTCTGAGGTAAGGAATTCCTTTTCTTATATATGGGAATTAGTCCATGGTTATGACATTAAAACTATTTCTGAACTAAGATTTTTGTAGTAGAGGTACAAGAGGTGCAAAACTTACCAAGTATTTTATTTTTTTAAAGATTTATTTATTTTTATACAAGAACTGCCAGAGGCATGGGAGAGTGAGAGGATTTACCAGAGACAGAGTGGGCAGCAGAACATGTACACAACTGAAATACACTGCTGAGGGGAGCAGCAGGCGCGACAGGAGAGGTCTGCCGCGCCATGTGGCAATCTCCCTGGCTGTCTGGGAATTGAACCCATGCTTCAGAGGCTGTGGACAGCATTCAACCCGCTGTGCCACTGGGGAGGCCCAAAACTTACCAAGTATTTTAGTACTTTTTTTCTTAGAAAATCATCTCTTGAGAACACAGTCTTGAGAAAGCAATGTGTGTACAGTATTTTCACTGTTGGGTTTGAATCTGATCCATTTCCTTGGGGGTTAATACTCTCTTAGAATGTTCAAAATTTAAGCTATTTATTGATCTATAATTTGATAGGGTGCTTATACCAAAATGGTAATCATACATTACTTCCTTTTTCACTAGTCTCACAAAACTTTAAGTGAAATATTGCCAATGTATAAAATGCAGTCAAGGCTTGGGAGGCCTGGAGCTCCTCACGTGGCCTCTTCTTCCTAAATAGACCTGTGGGACTCATGGGACCCAAGTGAAACTAGGCTGAAAAGAGCAATTCTAAGCTAACAAACTCATTAGGTTTGTACTTGAGTAGCAGACATTGATTCCATAATTTAAATAAATCATCCAAAGAGGTCTTAGAAACTATGTTCTTTTTTTTTTTTTTTTAAAGATTTATTTATTTATTTATTATTTATACAAGCACTGGGTACAGTCAGAAGAGTGGGAGGGTGAGAGAATTCACCAGAGACTGAGAGGAGAGCAGAGCAGGCAGACTGACGAAGTACACTGCTGAGGGGAGCAGCGGGCGGCAGGAGAGGTCTGCGCGCCATGTGGGATCCTCCTCCGGTGGCCGGGGAGCAGCCGGGGATCGAACCGGCGCTGCAGAGTCCGCGGGCAGCTTCGCAACCCAGCGCTCAACCGCTGCGCCACCGGGGAGGCCCGAAACTATGTTCTTGTACTACTTAATTCACTGACTCTTGTGTGTTGGAGTTTCTCTTCTCATCAGGGAATAATTGTCCTACTTTTATGTTTCTAATTCATGCAGCTCAATTTGTAGGTCTTTGTATTACAGGCTGACATTTTGTATCATTCTGAAAGTTTCTTCAGAATCTATCTGATCTTTTTCTAGTTTGTAACATCATCTCCTACGTAGAGTTCAAGTAGAATAGCAAACATTTTAAAATAAAAATTGAGTTTGTATTTATGTAGAAGAAATATCTCTTGGAAGAGGGGAGCAGGTATTACTATATAAAACAGTCTCATGGATCCACTAGTTTGGGAAACTAGTCTTAATTTCTATGACTGAATCTATTTAATCTCTCTGATACTTTGGACAGAGGAAGGAAGTTACTCGTATTATTTTTGCATAATAGCAGATGGGAAAAATTTCCCCTGCCTTTAAAGTGGGGGTATAGAAACCTTTGCGTTCCAAGAAAGCTACCTATTCCCTGGGGATCTCTTGCTTCTCACGGGTTTTTGGGCTGCACACAGCGAGGAAGACCTCTTGATGCTTATTCTTCAAGGACTGTCTCAGTCAGTTTCCCTCTCTGACAGAGAGACCTGGACTCAGGGCAGCCATCATGTTGCAGTCTTTAGCGTTTTATATTGAATCAAAACTTCACAAATTGATTTTTCTTTTTAACCAGGAATTTTAATCTTGTTCCAGCAGGATTTGTTTTCTTCTCAGAATGTGAGTAAGTCAAAAGATGCATCTGTCCTGCCTAGCAAACTCCCCACATCAGTCTCACTTTTCGGTGATGAAGATGAAGAGGTAAAACATTGTTACTGCGCACGAAATAATCAACTTTCTTCTGGTAGAAAACTGTTGCTGATGTTACTTTATAGTTAGAGGTACAGATGATATTGGGAAGCCATCAGTCAGGCTATCTGAGATTCATAGAACAAGAATATTACAGTCTTTATTTCTGTGACTCTTGCTTAAGTTCTCTTAGCTGTTCATTGGGTAGGACAGTAGATTCTTGGCCCAGCTCTTATGGGAAGAGTTTGTAGGTTCCATTTTTTAAGCCTGCCTTTAAAAATTTCATTTTAGAGGATGGATCTTTGTTATGCCCAATGAGCTGTCAAAATGTCTTAGATAGGGCCTCCTCTGGTGGTGCAGGCGGTTGAGCGCAGCGCTGTGAAGCTATCCACAGCCTTTGCAGTGCCGGTTCGATAGCAGCTGGCTGTTGAGGATCCCGCATGGTGCGGCAGACCTCTCCTGTTGCTCCTACTGCTCCCCTCAGCAGTGTATTTCAGTCAGTCTGCCTGTTCTCTCCCCTGCTCTGTCCCTGGTGAATCCTCTCACCCTCTCGCACATCTGGCCTGTACCCCTGTTCTTGTGTAAATGAATGAATAAATCTTAAAAAAATAAAATGTCTTAGATAAAGTAGGTATGGAGAGGAGAAGCCCATGTCTTCACCTTGCTTCTTTTCCTTCCTGGTTGGCGAGAAGTAAAGTAGGACAGAGAAAGAAGAAAGACAAACCAAATCTTAACCGTATGTAATATTGTGCAGTGGTATCTGACTGTGCATTCATATCCTGCCTCCACCAGGGGCCTTTCTGAATCTCTTATGACTTAATAGTAAGTAGGGTCACTGGGACAGTGAAAACTACTAACAGATGGCCCTTGTTTTATTTGTTTAACTAATATGCAGCATAGTGGCAGTACATAGTAAATGTTAGCTCTTTCATAAGTACCTCCATTGGATAACTATTCATTAGTCTCATGATTTTTATCACCACCCCACATTCTCCTTAAAGGCTCCCTTTATCAAGTCTTTTCATTTCAGGATTATTTACTTGCTAATTCTGTTGTTAAGCCTGTTTTTCTGTCTAATAATTTTGTTCCAATAGTTTAGAAGACACTTTTGAAGTGCTTGACTACACAAAAATTTACAAATGTCATTGAACCTTTAAGAATCAGTTCCTAGTAGGAACTGATAAATTGATTTTATTTAGTAAACTACCTAAGTTTGTATTATCTCTTTCAAAATGAATCAGAAATGAGTAATTCTTCCCTTAGTTCCAGTTGTGTGTCTTTTGTAGATGAGAAAGAGTGGCGAGAGTTCCCTACTTCTCTTTTTTTAACCATTATCCAATTTCAAACTCATAGAAAGAAAGGTACAGGTTGCTCGCTTGCCAGTTGCAGCTGTAGACCTTCCCTAAGGAGCAGAGAAGTTCCATCCACAGCAGGACTGGGTGGGCAACTTTTCTGCCTACTTCCATGACCTTGTCCTCACATTGCCTCCTCTCCTGCTCCCTGTCAAAAGGTCTTCCTTTGATTTTTTTGGTAGCAGTTTTCATTCCCATGGATGGCGAATACAATTAGAGAAGCTTGTAGGATGTTGTGGAGTTATTCCTAAGAGAAATGCGGCTTACTAGCATTTTGTAATCTTTCCCCAAAGATGTTAAATATATTATCTGACTAGAGACTTGTTTTCTCAACAATCTGACATGAAAGAATGTCTTTAGTCTTTATTTTATATGTATGAAGGTTGTCATACTCTCCTGTCTTTTGTTTTTCTAGGATAATCTTTTTGGGGCTACAACTGCTAAGAAACAGATGTTATCTCTACCAACTCAGAGCCAAGAGAAAGCAAAACCCTCTGAGGCCTCCAAAAAGAAAGTGTCTACCTTATTGTTCAGCAGTGATGAGGAGGTGGGTTGAAAGTTTGTCCTCGAGAAGATTAGGTGATTGATGGCATTTAGCAGTTACTAATATTCTAAAGACTTTCTTTTTCTGCCTTTTTTACATCTAGTTAAGTTCATTCACTAAAGGTAATGTTTACTAGACTTTTTTTTCTTAGAGGAAAGTTATTTAGAAGAAAGGTAACTAGAATAATATAAAAATTTAAAGCATCTTAAAATTTTTTTTTTTTTTTTTTTTTTTTAATAGAGGCATGCTTTATTTATTTATTTATTTGTTTGTTTGTTTTGTTTATACATGCACTGGGTACAGTCAGAAGCGCGGGAGGGTGAGAGAATTCACCAGAGCCAGAGCGGGGAGCAGAGCAGGCAGAAGGGCCGAAGTACACTGCTGAGGGGAGCAGCGGGCGGCAGGAGAGGTCTGCGCGCCATGTGGGACCCGCCTCCAGTGGCCGGGGAGCAGCCGGGGATCGAACCGGCGCCACAGAGGCTGCGGGCAGCTTCGCAACCCAGTGCTCAACCGCTGCGCCACCGGGGAGGCCCTAAAGCATCTTAAAATTTATAGCATATTTTTAGCATGATTAATGGCTGTTCATCCTGTAGTAGTGGCCATTCATAGAATTTTTCCTACTTATAATTTCCTACCTATCATTTTTTGTACCACATGGTAATATTAACTAGAGCTGGGAGCAACAGCACTTATAAAGATAACCAGGGCTCTAGAACAGCAAATCTCAACCTTGGCTGCCATTGAATCACCCGGGGAAGCTTGAAGAGTACTAACAGCTGATTCCACGCTGAAGATTTCTGAATTAAGGTTTGGGGTGTGGCCTGTCACTGGTGTGTGGTCACTGTTGCGCGTCACTGCACTAGAGGCACACTTCTCAAACTGTAAAGTGTGAAGAAATTGCATGGACATCTGGTTACACGTGCAGGTTCTGAGTCAGAAAGTCCCAGGTGGAATCTGAGATTTTGCGTGATAGATGTTGCTGGCTTGTGGACCAGAACCCTCTGGTTAGCAAAACTCTAGACTCTATAGAGACCAGAGGACCACTTAAACAAGTCCTCAGGAGCTCTTTGGTGCCAAAGGTGAGCATATTAATTAATTGGGTTAGTTTGTGGTATAGACTGTCACTGGTGTGGTGTCACTGTTGAGCAACATAAATCCTTTCTAAAGGACACATTCAGATTTTTCTGGTTAAAAGGGTCACTAGTGGCTTTCATTGTGTCTTTTTTTTTTTTTTTAAAGGAGAACTCTTGTTTTATTTATTTATTTATTTATTTATTTATTTATTTATTTATTTATACAAGCACTGGGTACAGTCAGAAGCGCAGGAGGGTGAGAGAATTCACCAGAGCCAGAGTGGGGAGCAGAGCAGGCAGAAGGACCGAAGTACACTGATGAGGGGAGCAGCGGGCTGCAGGAGAGGTCTGCGCGCCATGTGGGACCCTCCTCCAGTGGCCGGGGAGCAGCTGGGGATCAAACTGGTGCTGCAGAGGCTGCGGGCAGCTTTGCAACCCAGCGCTTAACCGCTGTGCCACTGGGGAGGCCCTCATTGTGTCTTAACTTATGCATTTTATGAACTTTTTATACATTTTTTCAGCCTACTTTGAGATTTTTATTTTTATTTTTTTTTTTTTTAAGATTTATTTATTTATTTATTTGTTTGTTTGTTTGTTTGTTTATTTATTTATACAAGCACTGGGTATAGTCAGAAGCGCGGGAGGGTGAAAGAATTCACCAGAGCCAGAGCGGGGAGCAGAGCAGGCAGAAGGACCGAAGTACACTGCTGAGGGGAGCAGCGGGCGGCAGGAGAGGTCTGCGCGCCATGTGGGATCCTCCGCCGGTGGCCGGGGAGCAGCCAGGGATCGAACCGGCGCCGCAGAGGCCGCGGGCAGCTTCGCAACCCAGCGCTCAACCGCTGCGCCACCGGGGAGGCCCTACTTTGAGATTTTTAAATTAAAATAACGTTTTCTCCAAAGTTGAGAGTTACTGATTTTTTTCCAACATTCCTCTTCCTTTTTATCCCCCTTCTATAATTAATTTTTATTCTCTGAGGAAAAGAGTTTCCTTGTCCTAACACAGAACAGTACCGTAGAAAGGAGAAACATTATGGCAGGCAAGGAGGAGGAAAGCATGAAAAGGTCTGTGAGGTCAGAGAATCCGACTGTGTAGATTTAAGTTCAGAGAAAAGTCTTGGATGTGAGCATTCTTTAAGGGTGATACACATAGTTTAGTACTTAAATACACTTAGTTAAAGAAATGTAAGTTCTATTTTATACATAATTGAATCCTTAAATACAACTTAGTTTTACAAATATGAATTTTATTTTACTTCTTAAATTTCTTAATCTTAGTTGTCACTTGATTTTAATATGTATTTTATCTTCTTAGGACCAGTGGAATGTTACTGATTTGAAGATCAGCTCAGCATCTGAAAATAGGCCTAAAGGAGAACTTAGGGACCCTGGGACCACCCAGAACCAGGAGGCCAAAGCTGTGAAAAAGACCAGTCTCTTTGAGGATGATGATGATGATGACCTGTTTGCTATTGCTAAGGACAGGTGAGGTAGTCATTGTGAAAAAAATATTCTGTCAGAGTAATTTGGTAACAAATAAAGGTAGTTGATAACACAAAATATCCATTACTAGGGGTAACTTGCTAATCATCCGTTACCTGGTAGTGATACAAACTGAAAATGCCTTTGATTTTCATTTGCAAGATATTCTCCTCCGAAAATGGGAAATATTTTTTGATACTGATCCTTACCTAATTTCTTCTATGATTTTAGCCTTAAAATATTATCTTTCTTAGTTTATTGGGAGTTTAAGTATAATCTGTTGTCTTTTGTTTTTTCCTCTGGGACACTCTAGAGAATGTAAAGTTAAGCCAGGGTTACTTTAGCTTGTCATTTGGTAGAAATCTGCTCAGCCTGAAAAACATCCTTTAAGAAGATGGTTCCCCTCAGAGCTGTAGTGTGTCACATCAGTTTCTGGTGAGCCTTAGCTGATTTAGGTGGTGTTCTTGCATGTTCTGCTCCTTATCTTTTTCTTTTTTTTTTTTTTTAAAAGATTTATTTTCATTTATTTATTTATTTGTTTGTTTATACAAGCACTGGGTACAGTCAGAAGCGCGGGAGGGTGAGAGAATTCACCAGAGCCAGAATGGGGAGCAGAGCAGGCAGAAGGACCGAAGTACACTGCTGAGGGGAGCAGCGGGCGGCAGGAGAGGTCTGCGCGCCATGTGGGACCCTCCTCCGGTGGCCGGGGAGCAGCCGGGAATTGAACCGGCGCTGCAGAGGCTGCGGGCAGCTTCGCAACCCAGCGCTCAGCCGCTGCGCCACCGGGGAGGCCCACCTTATCTTTTTCAATGTTTGTCCTGGCAGATATTTATTTACCACTTTTTCTGTAAGTACTGGGGCAGACTCCTTGATGATAAAGTAGGTAAAGACAGACTAGAGGAATGTGATGAGAACTGTGGCTAGATGTTTGGCTCTGGTTGACCAATATGGGGTAAGAGATAGGTGAGTCATTGAAATGAAAATGAGCTCTCCTTTCCCCAGGTTCTTAGAGACTTTGAGTAGAGGTAATAGAATGTGTCTTAATAGACTTCTCCTTTCTATGGTACTGTTCTGTGTTAGGACAAGGAAACTCTTTTCTTCAGAGAATTAAAATTAATTATAGAGGGGGGATAAAAGGAAGAGGAATGTTGAAAAAAAATCAGTAACTCTCAACTTTAGAGAAAACGTTATTTTAATTTAAAAATCTCAAAAGTAGGCTGAAAAAAGTGTATAAAAAGTTCATAAAATGCAAAAGTTAAGACACAATTCTATTAATAGACTTAGGTTTTGAAGAGAAGACATGGAAGGACAGAGTGACACTTAGAAAGCCAGGGTTAAGCAGCTGCGGAGGCACCAGGCCACAGGTCACCATGGAAGCTGCCTTCCTGATCACTTTGGAAATAGGCATCCATGCCTTCTGGTTGTTCCTCTCCACTAGGAAGTTGTGAAAGAGGAAACTTACCTTTGTGAATGCTAGTAGCATTATGTGCCTTGGCAAGGCTAATAGCGAGGGCATCTACACGGAGTCAAAATTAACCGAAAAGGCATTGAAGAGGGCCTTGGATTCTTCTGCAGAGGGTGAGGGACAGAAGCTGATGATTTGCTAGACACAAAATTGTAAAGGCAGGAATGGACACTGAGCAGGTTCTCCGATCCAATGCAGACCGGGTAAAGGAGGAGTCACAGTCCTCAGTGGGTTTTTTGCAGGTCTTTTATTGGGGTTCACCAGGCATATGGCAGGCAGGGGTGCTGGGGGGCCGGGAGGCTGGCAGTCCTCCCAGCCCCCAGCAAATCCTCACTCTATCTGGGCTCTCTGGCATTCTCTGCTTCTGCTGCTGCTTCTCTGCTTCTCTCTCCGCTTCTCTTTCGGCTTCTGCTGCTGCTGGCGTCCCCGTGACGCCGCCCTTAAAAAGCACAGTCTTAGCCCAGGTGTACCCACTTCAGGTGCCCGCCATCAGGCATGCACTCAGGACCACAGGGTTCCCTCATCTATCCTGATGGCGGGAGGGCAGAAAAGCCTGACATTTTTCCTTACCCTACAATAATGCACCCACTTCAAAGGTTTTTCTTGTTTGCTTTCAGTTGTGTAAGGTCAACAGATGACTTGGGCAGAATGGTGGTTGGTGGGTTCTTATAGGCGTGACCTGGAAAGAATATTGTACTTTTTAAATTCATGTTTTCCTTTAATTTGATCTCTTGTTTGTTTGTATAGTCAAAAGAAGACCCAGAGAGCATCACTCCTCTTTGAAGACGACACTGATAGTGGAAGTTCTCTGTTTGGCTCTCCTCCCATGACTGTTCCTTCTGCAGCATTGGTATTCTTAACCTTTTAGGCCTGGGAAATGTGCTTAGGTGTTACATGACGTCCCTGAATCAGCTCCTAAAATCTCACATGGGAGGCTGAGTTTATGAAAAATTCCTTTGCCTTGTTTTAGAATGAGATCTTCTCATTAATGTTATTTTGCAAATGAAACATATGCAAAGCTTGTAGGAAAGGATTCTTCCATCTCATGCATCCCTTTTAGTGTACGGTGTAGGTCTTGAATCTCAGGGAGGAGTTGCCAGACTTAGATACAATGGCATGGAGTAATGCTAGCAGTTTTATCTTACCTCTTCTGAAACTCTGTATTTCTAGTCTTTTATTTCAAGTTTAAATGATTATGCATTGTAAGGATCTCTTCCAAACAATAACTGAAAATCTTCATTTCCCCATTCTACTTATTTATAATATTTGCTATTACAGGTACATATGCCCTTTTTTAGTATCCCAAATATGTCTTCCTAACTTGATTTAGATATTGCTTCAAAGCTTACTGCCTTATAACATCTAATCTAGTTAGTATGATAGAGTTGTTTTTTACTAGAGAATTTAAGTCACCTGATCCAAGGATGCTAGAAATTCTTGGCCAGTCACATAATCTCAGTTTCCTAATCTCTGACATTTCTGGCTCTGAGAGATGGGGGAGTGCTTAACAACTTATGCTGAGTGCAGCTGTCTTATATAAAACGCTGTATTTCATATACTAAATGATACTGTCAAATGAATGGGCAGACAAATGTTTGATGGCTATTAATATACATTTAGAAGAAAGTAAAATAAGGACAAATTGAGATATAAAACTCTATCAACAAAGGAACACATACTTAACGAAGAGGATAGGAAAATCTCCTTAGGTGACTTCTGGCTGGGCCTGGTGAGGAGCACGTTATGGAAGCATGCAGGCTTACAATAGAGTTAATGAGTAGTGAGGATTGATGAGGTACCAATGATAGAGGGAGTCAGTTGGTGGTATTCTACTTATTTAGTATCCTAAATATGTCTTTCTAATTTGCTTTAGATATTGCTTCAAAGCTTATTTTCTCATATCATAAAAAAAAATGCATTTTCAGCATTTGATTAGTGCAAACAGTGCAGGTTTGGGGTGGGAGATGAAGTAATCTGGTGGGTGATTTTTATTTCAGTAAGATAGCTCTGGATGAGGTCTTATAGCTGAAATGTTAGGGGAGCGAGTCAGGAGAAAGTAGCAATTGTGTCTGGGTAGTAGAGGTATTCAGGAGCAGTACTTGGAGTCAGCAGACATGAGGTAGATGCAGCGCTAGGGTGACAGAAACTCTCAAGTGCCATCTCTGCAAGTCTGAGGCAGTAGTTTTTCTTGCTAATCCCTGTTTGTGTCCCTTTGTTGTCCTGGCCTCTCTCCTGCCCCTGTGCATTTGGCTGGCTCTGTGTATGGCTCTGCAAGTCAGGCACACTGTTTGTTTATGAGGATGTCATTGTCTTGTCTTTTGGTAGAAAACAGAGACTGTCCCTGAGGTATCACCTTTGCTGTTCAGTGATGAAGAGAAGGAGGCACAACTGGAAGTGACACCTGTGGATAAGAAGGTCAAGAGTGCCAAAGACTCATCAGGATTTGGGAAAACTCATGTGGCTAAAGAGTCAGAAAAGGTGGACCTTTTTTTTACCTTTTATGTTCTGGTACATCGGCCTCATGTTATTCTAAAACATGCACACACATGCACAACCCTTACATTTTCCTGCCAATGAGGAACTTGTGGAACCCCTGGACAGAATTTGTGTTTCCAGATGTTTACTTATTCTTTTCCTTCTTTCCATTTTCAGGAAGGACCTTTGACTATACCTGCACAGGAAGCAGTCAAGCATTCTGATTTATTTTCTTCATCATCCCCATTAGACAAAGGAACCAAAAGTAGAACCAAAACTGTTCTTAGCTTATTTGATGATGAAGAGGATAAAACAGAAGATCAAAATAGCACCCAAGCTCCAAAGAAAGAACTAGGAAAGGTGAGCAAAAAAGAATAAAATTTCAAATCTTTTGAAGAATTAAAGAATCTCACTTCACAGTGAGTTGCTGAAGGAATGAAGGTTCCAGTTTCTCCACATCCTCACCAACACCTACTGACTTTTGGTAATAGTGTAGTGAAGATGTGGAGAAAGTAGAAACTTCATTCTTTGCTACTGGGAAAGAAAAATAATACAGCCACTTGGGCAGATAATTTGCTTTTTTCTCATATTGTTAAAGCTTGTTACCGCATGACCTAACAGTTTCACTGCTTGTATATATCCAAGAAAAGTGAAAGCATATGTTCAACAAAAACTTGATTCCCGGCAGCTATATGCATTTACTAAAAGATGAAAGCAACTCACTGTCGATCAGCTGATGAAAGGATAAATACAATATAGTGTATCTATATAGTAGATTTTTTATTTGGCAATAAAAAGAATGAACTGTTAATATTTGCTGCAACAAGGCTGGATGAAAACAGGCTGGATGAAAAAGACTCCATATAGTGTGATTCCATTTATTTGAAATGTCCTGAATGGGCATGTCTATAGAGATAGAAAGTAGATCAGATCAGTGGTTGCTCGGATTTGGGCAAGAAGGATGGATGGGAATGGAGAGTGATAGCTAATAAGTTTGGGCTTCCTTTGTAGGTTAATGAGAATGTTCTATATCTAGCTTTTGGTGGTATTTGTATAACTGAGGATATACTAAAAAACATTGAATTAGACCCTCTAACTGGGTGAATTTTAATAACATGAATTTTATCTTCCTAGAAATGTTAAAAAAAAACAGATGGCAGGCCATGGAGTGCCACAAATTTTTTCTTTTTTGTAAATGGGCTAAGAATATATTTTTGTTGATTTCTGCAAAAAATATTTTATGAAAATTTCATAATATTGGCACTATACTATATCCCTTATTATTATTAAAAGCTAAACATAGTACATAGGGATAAATTGCTATATTCTAGTTTTTTACTATGTGTGATTTTGTACTGTGATTATTATGGTTGTAAAACTTTAGTTGCTGTGTTATATTGGTTTTTTAGTAGTATTCATAATAATTATTAGTCAATTTTTGATGAGACATTTTGTCAGAAATGAATTTTCTTGTTTCATTTGTGGTTGTGATAGTAAAGAAGAAATGGGGATATATTTTAGAATGTCAAGTCTGGGATAGGATCATACCAAACCTGGTAATGTGAATCAAGTATCCAATATCCTAGCAAACAGAAACTCATTTGGAGTCTGAAGGTAATGAGGTGGGTAGAAGGTGGATGGGCATAGGAAACATCTGACTAATCCCCTATCCAGGTCTTAAGCAGCTGACAAGTTAAGTATACACGCTTGAGCACACTGCACAGTCTGATTATTAAGTCAGCTGCTGTCAAGTCTTCTTCCTTTGGGGATGAGTTAAAATGAATAATTTTGTGTGTTTTCCTCCCCAAAATGTTTCTCATTATGGAACTGATGGATTGTTTTTTAAACAGAAAGTTCAGATACAACACAAAGCTTGAAAGATGATCTCTCCAGATTATGAATATGTTATCTGTATTTCTATATTCATTCGCCACTATTTTTGGTAGCTCCTTACTAGTCCATTGCGTGAGGGTGACATTCGTCTTCTGATTGGTGCTTAGGTTGTGTCTAACCTGTAGCCACTGTAACTGAGCTACAGGGGATACCTTTCTTGTTCTATCTTTGCAGCCATGCGCAGTTTCCTTGAGATAAATCCTAGAAGTGTAAACACGTGAACTTCCTTCTTTTCCCCAGAGTCCTGATGCTGACGCCCGCCCCAAGAGCACAGGTGTCTTCCAGGACGAAGAGCTGCTTTTTAGTCACAAGCTGCAGAAGGACAATGACCCAGATGTTGACCTTTTTGCTGGTACCAAGAAAACGAAGGTCAGTTCCAAATGGTTGTACTCATCATGACTTCGTTACTGCATCACATGTTATCTCAGAGATTACCTTGCTCGCTTTTAAATTGTTTTATTTTGGATATTGAATTTGAGTTTTGTCTGTTCTAGTCGTTAGAGCCAAGTGTTGGGAGCCTGTTTGGGGATGATGAAGATGATGATCTTTTCAGTTCTGCCAAGTCCCAACCTCTGGTACCAGCCTTTTGTTCTCAATACTTGCATGTGTGGGAAAGCTTCTGGGAGAGGAAATTAATGTCCAGTTATATGCTTAAGAAAAATACACTGAATTGTGGTGCTTCTTAGTAAATAAACAGCTAATAATGTGCTCACAAGAGCATCTCTTATCCCATCTATGTGCCCTAACATTAAAATACTAACTCAGACTTTTACTGTGTCCTAAATTTATTTGACTTTTAAGTTGTTTATTGAAAGGCCAGTACATACAATATAGTGATTAAATATTTGTGCCTCTCATATACAAAACTTTAAATCTGTTAGCCTGTGATGTGTCATTTCCTCCCCACCCCAGTAGATTTTGTAAGTACTCTCTATTTTCTTCTAATTCTAATGGACTCAGAGTCGTTAGAATTGTGTTTCTCAAATGGTGCCTTTGAATTAGTTCAAGGAACCTCACTGGAGAAGTTGCTTTTAAAACTCACAAGTCAGGGCCTCCCCGGTGGCGCAGCGGTTGAGCGCTGGGTTGCGAGGCTGCGCGCGGCCTCTGCGGCGCCGGTTCGATCCCCGGCTGCTCCCCGGCCACCAGAGGAGGGTCCCACATGGCGCGCAGACCTCTCCTGCCGCCCGCTGCTCCCCTCAGCAGTGTACTTCGGTCCTTCTGCCTGCTCTGCTCCCCGCTCTGGCTCTGGTGAATTCTCTCGCCCTCCCGCGCTTCTGACTGTACCCAGTGCATGTATAAACAAAACAAACAAACAAACCAGCAAACAAATAAATAAAGCATGCCTCTATGGAGAGAAAAAAAAAAAAAAAAAAAAAAAAAAAAATAAAACTCACAAGTCAGATTATTTTTGCATTATGATTTTTTTCTTTAACATTTCTGAGATACTTCACAAAGACTTTTGGTATTTTGCTTTTGAAGATACCAGAAAAGAAGAGGATAGTGAAAAAAGACCACTCTGTTTCCTCTTCCAAGAACCAGAAACATACTGAATCTACTCAAGGTATCAAGGAAAAAAGCATTTGGAAACCGGAAACATCTCAGGTTAGAACTGTTCTGTTGAAAGAATTCAACTCTTGTTTGCATTCCAGTACAAAGTAACTACACCATGCAGACCCAAGACCATCCAGAGTTCTTTTAATTAAGGAGGAAATAGCATGTAGGATCTCCTCTTTTTGCTGTATTTTTCCACCTTTACTTTTCTTTGCTCTCCACACTTCAGTCCCATGAATTTCTACTTGATATAAATTGGATTCCAATATAGAGTTATATAAGGTAAGGTGAAGAATCATCTTCCCACTTGAAACCCCATTTCTCCCTCTGGGCTACCTTGCAATAGAACCACATTAGTATGAAGTATAAATTACATCTGATTCTTAGTTTCCCCTGTGTGTTCCCCCTCCTGAGATTGGTCCTGCTAGGCCTCCATCCTCAGCCTTTGGAGCGTCTCCTGAAAACTGATCAGGGCAGAGCAAGTTCCAATTCTGGCTAGCAGCTATCCTTGCATGTCTTACTGATGCCTCAGGGTCCTGAGCTGAGAAAACCAGGCTCTAGAACTGGCTCATCTCCCATGATGCATCGCAAGTCTCAACTTCTTTTCCTTCTAGAACTGGGGAGATTTGAATGCCTTTTCCATTAAAGCATTACAGAAAGTAACAGGTTTGCTCCTTCATAGACATTTACAGATATAAGTGTAATCCAAGAGACATTTTTCTTTCTGTTTCCCCCATGGATTTTTAACTCAATGTAATTTCATACAGGACTCGCCAGGTCCCGCTTCATTTAAAACCAAAGAGCCATCCTCTCGGATCTGGAAAATACAAGTAATTATAACATGTCTGGAATCTTCATTGCCTGCCTGGGGCATCTATAAACTTTTTGGGATTTTTAATTTTGTTAGCTGCTGCCAGGCATTTTCTCATCTCTTCCCTACCCTCTAGTTGTTGCTTCTTGTGCACTATGTCTATAACATCTGTTCTTTGAGCCCAGTGGTGAACACAGGTGTATGATCCTCTGTCTTAATTGTAAAAGTAGGCGGGGAGATTTTCCTGCATTTCTCTTTTTTCTCTCATATTATGCATTACACTGAGTCTCTTGTCATCTGTCACAATAATAGCAATAAATGGCCACATGTAAGAAAATAAAGACTATTTTCATTTTTCTTCTTTAGGCAAATTTAGCAATTAACCCAGCAACATTGCTGCCTGCAGCAGTTCCCCAGATCTCTGGAGCAAAGCCTGTTTTGCCAGAACTGCCTTTTCCTGCATCTGAACCTGGGAGGAGTCAGGAAAATATGCCTACTCTTCCTGGGAGTGGAGAAATTGGAGTGAGTTTTGATCTTCCAGCTCAGGCAGATACTTTACACAGTGCAAACAAGGTAATAAAACCACCTTTGCTTGCTTTTTCTTAACCTAAGCATCTTGTATGTTTCTCCCTAGTCCCTCAATTACACACAGTAGATGACCCTGGCTCCCTGTTAAATGAGTCCCCTAATCCTTCCTTTAGCCTTTCCACCCTTCTTCCACCTCCTTAGTTTTGCTTCCACATTGCCACTACCTGAATTCATTAGGGTTACATTCTGCTCAGCAGCCACAGTAAAGTACTAGGCTCTTCGACACTACCACACGGAGGTTTTCTAGCCACAGGGCAAATTGTACCCCTCCCCCTCCTCTGCTGGCTCCTCATTGCCTGAAGGAGAGCATTTGTCTCCTTATTTTGGTATTAAAGTCTTTTATTTATTGATTTATTTAAAGATTTATTTTATTTGTTTATGCATCCAAGAGCTAGGGTGCAGGCCAGAGGTACAGTGGTAGAGGGGTAGGGTGAGAGACAGAGTGGGAAACAAAACAGGCAGATCTACTGAAATGGACTGCTGAGTGGAACAGCAGGCAAGACAGAAGAGGTCTGCTGCGCCATGTGGGTTAGCTCCCTGGCCGGGGATTGAACTTGTGCTGAGTGGCTGCCGATAGCTTCATAATGCTGAGACTTAACCCTTGGCACCACCAGGGAGGCCTTATATTAAAGCCTTTTACCATTCTTGCTTACCAAAGCTTCAGCTGCCTCCCCCATCACTCCACACTATCAGCCTAAACTCCAGTCAAATCACTCACCTTGCCCCAAACACACACTGCCCTGCTGCCATTGGCTCATACTGCTTCTCTTGTCAGGAGAATTTGTGTAATGTTTCCTTCCTCTGAGATCTCATGGCAGATTTTCCCTAGTCATACTGTTTCATATGACTGAATGAACTGGGAACTCTCTGAGGTTTTGCTTTCATTTTAGTGGATTCTTTCATTTTTATCGAATCTTCCTTTATTAGAAAGTCCTACCTGATCTCTTAAGTGACAGCACCTAGGATAATACAGGCAAATATATTCAAGTTTTCCCAAATCTGTTTTCATTATGAAAAATGAAACCTTTCTTTTGTTATGTTTTTTGTTAGCTTTTTTGGTGTCTAAATCTAAATTTTTAAGTTATTTTTAAATTTTAATTTAAAGTTTTTTTTTTTAATTTTAAATTTAAATTTTTAAAGTTTTTAAAAGGTGGGCCTCCCTGTTGGTGCAGGCGGTTGAGCGCAGCACTGTGAAGCTGTTCGCAGCCTCTGCAGCGAGGGTTTGATCCCAGCCGGCCCGCGAGAATCTCACATGGCGTGGCAGACCTCTCCTTTCTCGCCCGCTGCTCCCCTCATCAATGTTTTTCAGTCAGTCTGCCTGTTCTGTTCCCAGCCTGTCTCTGGTGAATCCTCTCTCCCTCCCACGCATCTGGCCTGTACCCCAGCTCTTGTATAAATAAAAAATAAAAATCTTTAAAAAAAAAAGTTTTTAAAAATTATTTGTGAAATTTCTTTGAAATAGGCAAACATAGTCAAGTGCTTTGCCTAATACAGCTTGTGCCTTCTCACAACTGCTTGATTATATATTTTGGAAAATGTCACAAATACTTCACAATATTTCTAAAAATGGAGTTTAGAAATCAGAACCTTTAATATGACCTCAAAATATGTCACTTATAATATTATTGATATATATTATATATATTATAACTTATATTTTGAGGTCATATTAAAGGTTCTGATTTCTAAACTGTATTTTTAATGTGAAATATCTGACATTTGAATTTAGTGTTTGTTGACTTGAAGCAGAGTATCTAGGTTACCTTTATTTACTGTCTTACATGTTCATGCTTTCTAGCTTGATTTTTTTTTTTTAATTTTTTTTAAAGATTTATTTATTTATTTATGCAAGCACTGGGTACAGTCAGAAGCGTGGGAGGGTGAGAGAATTCACCAGAGCCAGAGCGGGGAGCAGAGCAGGCAGAAGGACCGAAGTACACTGCTGAAGGGAGCAGCGGGCCGCAGGAAAGGTCTGCGCGCAATGTGGGACCCTCCTGCGGTGGCCGGGGAGCAGCCGAGGATCGAACCTGCACCGCGGAGGCTTCGGGCAGCTTCGCAAACCAGCGCTCAATCGCTGCGCCACCGGGGAGGCTCTTTCTAGCTTGATTTAAGATAACTCCCTATGAAGGTTATGACCAGAATTTCCCCTGATTTGAAAGATAATTCACTTTTAAGTTTAGGTAAGAGTAGGGACCAGGAAAGTTTGTGGGACACAGAGCAGCAATATGCCTCCATAAGCCAGGTTCCAGTGGCAGATAAAGCCTTTTGTATGAAATTGAACACAAGTTGCCCTCAAAAGACTTTAAATGGGGAGCACTAAAGGATTAAGAATGACTTAGTCTGGTACTAGGAGCTTCCATCTCCTTTGGAAATCTTTTAGAATCACTAATTCCTTGCTGTTAAATTTGAACACTTTTTTTTTTTTTTTAATTCATCAGATTAATGTGGTCTTTTGCCATTGCAGAGCCGAGTCAAAGTGAAAGGGAAGCGCAGGCCACAGACCCGTGCTGCTCGAAGGTTGGCTGCCCAAGAGTCCAGTGAGGCTGAGGACATGTGTGTCCCCAGAGGATCCCTTGCACAATTGCCGGATGGCACCATTACACCAGATGGCTGTCAGTCACAGCCAAGGGTAGCTGGTGGAGAAGACAGATCTGAGGAGGCCATTGCAGCTGCCACTTCAACTTGGGCAGATGGTTTTGTGCCTGTAGTAGACAGAAGCCCCTTTGTGAAATCTCTGGGTCAGCCTCTTGAGGATGACCTTTTTGATTCTGAGGATATCTTTTCCAAGGTCTCTGGATCTCAGTCCACTGGGAAAACAAAAGTCAGTGTGAAGGCAACAGAGAACACAGCCAGCCTTCCAGGAGCAAGTAAAGAGACAAAACCGATGTTTTCCAGTCTAGGTGAGACAGGCAGTGATGAAGATATCTTTCAGTCTGTTAAACCAAAGCCAGCAAAGAAAACAAATCCCTTTCCTCTCCTGGAAGATGAGGACGATCTTTTCATAGGTCAGAAAGGCAAGAAGAAGGAATCAAAATCCAGCAGTCAACAGGATGTCATCTCAAAAGCACAAGATATTTTTGAGGTAATAGCATTTAACTGTATGCTTTACTGCCTAGTTCTGTGTTAAAGAAAATACGTGATTGGCTTATTTGAGCTACATACATAAAGTTTGTTTCATTGTTCCCCGACCTCTACTTCTTAGTAATTATAATTCTTGTACTAATAACTCTGAGGACTTACTCAAAGTAGTTTTTGTTTTGTTTCCTGGCTGACCATAAGTGCTGATACAAATGTTGATTTTTGTAGTTTTTAATCAGAGTGTTGCTGCAGTCATCTTCCTTGGCACGCCAGTCTGTGACATGTATAAAGCATAAACCTGGCCCTGAGTAGAGCTGACAGTTTAGCATAGACAGTAAAGCCTTCAGTGGTACTTGCTGAGCAAGTTTATTTAACATCAGGGTCCTGAGGGCACCAAGGAAACTAGAACCAGTGCAGTGCTCCTCAAAGCTCTTAGAGAGGAGAAGCTGACACAGCAGGGAAACAGATAATCTTTTCAGATCATTTTAAAGCCATAAAGAAAACAACCCGGAGGGGCTGTGTGGCTCAGCCTGTGCGGCTGGGTCTGCGGGGGACTCGGCAAGTGCGGTCGCCAGCTGCCAGACCATGCTGAGCGGAGCGCGCGGCCGGCTCACCTCTGCACTGCTGGCCACGGTCGCCCTTAGGTGCCTGCACGCATCGGGGGCGCGGCCGTCAGTGGACCGGAGGGAGTGGGCAGAGGGTGCCTTCGACCCAGCGCTGCTGGAGTTCTTGGTATGCCCGCTCTCCAAGAAGCCGCTCAGATATGACACATCAACGAATGAATTGATTAATGAAGAGTTGGGAATAGCTTATCCAGTCATTGATGGGATTCCCAATATGATACCACAGGCAGCCAGGAGGACACATCAAAGTACAAAGCAAGAAGAAAGAGTAACACCAAATCAGAATTGAAAACTACACAGCATTTTATTTTTCTTAACACCTTCTGCCTGATCAAAAGTCTTATCATAGTGGCGGGGAATAACTGGGGGAGAAGAATGTTTTTCTCTCTTCCTACGTTGACTGTCCTTATTCCACTGGTGTCTTTAGCAGGACTGTTCTACTCAGCCTCTGTGGAGGAAAACTTCCCACAGGGCTGCACTAGCACAGCCAGCCTGTGTTTTTACAGTCTGCTCTTGCCCATTACCATACCAGTTTATGTGTTCTTCCATCTTTGGACTTGGATGGGTATCAAACTCTTCAGGCATAATTAATGCAATAAGAACCAACATGGTATATATCAATAATTTGGCTTGAGCAACTCTGAAAGCTCAACTCCATGGAAATACTAGAAATCCACTTAATTTGTAGGAAAGATGCTTTACCTTGATTAGAGACAGGACTATGAGAGGAGGCATAAGCTGTGGAAGGATCTTTTATAGTATTTTTGTTCTGCCCTTGTTTTCAGATTTTAATTTATAACTGCTATATCAGAAAAACATTTCAGAAAAGTCTTGGAAATTAACAGACCCAACTGTTATGATTATTTCTTACCCCATTATCTTAAAGTTAATAATTTAAAATTTTATATTTCAGAATCTTTGGTAAAGTCACACATTAATGATGAGTGAAATATTTTTAAAGGTGCTATATTGAAGTAATTGGTAGAGATATGCATTTAAAACTACAGTAAAATGGAAATTTTACATACTTGAAAAATTTGGTGTTTGTAAAATTACCTTTATTTCTTTGGCATCAAATTCTTTCATTAAAATAAGATGTTAACACTTTCGAAAAAAAAAAAAAAGAAAACAACCCCAAGCTGTGGATAGAGATGGGAGGTCTCCCTGAGGTAGGACCACTAGAGAAGGCCTCTGTATAGGGCTGGCATTTAAGAATGAGAAGGACCGGACCCAGACCCATCTGAAATCTGGACTGTTACATTCCTGGAAGGGGGGCAAGGTCACATGACTGTACCTAAATACCAGGGGTTTGCATTTCTCTAATTTTTTTGTTAAAGTATTTGTTATCAAGGAAATTTGACTTAACATTGTTTTGCTTGTTTTTGGCTTAATCAGGATGATATATTTGCTACAGAAGCAATTAAACCCTCACAAAAAACAAGAGATAAGGAAAGAACATTTGAATCCAACTTATTTGATGATAACATTGATATTTTTGCTGACCTAACTGTAAAGCCAAAAGAAAAGTCCAAAAAGAAAGTAGAAGCTAAGTCTATATTTGATGATGATATGGGTAAGTGTTGTTTTCTGCACATGACAGTCATTACTGTTCAGTGACTTGCTGTTTCTCCTACTACCTTTGCTAGCCCCTTTCCTGGAACATGTTTCCCAGTAGGTTTCCTTCATCTTGCCAAGTAATCCTGAGTTAGGTTGAGGATGAATAAGTAAATGGATTTGGCATTTTGGTAAAGCAACTTTTTCGTGTAATAGACATCAAGGAATTTGAAGGAACCTGGAATTTGACCTTCAGTTTAACTTTTATCTTAGTCCAGCCCCTGCGAATGTCAAGCACCCATGACAAATATGAACATTGTGATGTGAAAAGAAGGTCAGAAATTACCACACATGCGAAAGTAGACTGAGATGGGTGCCTTGTGCATAACACACTTGGTTGAGTCACAGCTGTAACTGGAGAGGGATTGTCACTGGTTCCATAGAAGAGTGTAGTACAGGAGACTAAGAAAGTAGGATGTAGTTTAGATGTTGCACCTCACCGAGAGCTTCAGTGTTTATGAATGTGCTTACTTTCCCTCTGTAGTATAATGTTTACTTTATTAATATAGAACCCTAAATGCAGGACTTGTATAAATGTTCTGTGTTGGTGGATAGGGCTAGGGCTAAAGCCAAGTATACACTTCCTACTTCCTCCCCTCGCTCCTTCATTTAAACCTTGGGGTTACCTGGGAAAAACTGGTGCTATAATGCCACACTATGACTGTTCCCTAAGCGGGCCGTATACTCTCTATCTGTACCAGTGTCTCACCTCAAGAGGTGCAGAATGGACTTTTTTATTACAAAAAAAAGCAATGCATGCTTGTTATAGTAGATTAATACCGTATGGAAAATATCCAAATTGAAAAACCACCTTAGAAATAACTACTGTTTTGTTTGGTGTGCATCACATGGTGAAACTTACATTGACTTGTAAACATAGAAATATATTCTCATTTCCAAAATAAGAATACCTGTTCTGCTCTTCTTTTTCATTGTCACTCCATGTCAATACATACAGAGTTCTACTTCCTTATTTTTAGCCACTAGTCTTTTGACAGTGATCTGTTTTTATTTTATTTTATTTTAATTTAATTTTTTTTTTTTTTTTTTGTGGGACCCTCGGCGGCGGCCGGGGAACGAACCAGCGCTGCAGAGGCTGTGGGCAGCCTTGCAGCCTAGTGCTCAACCGCTGCGCCACCAGGGGAGGCCGTCTGATTTCTTTATTACCAATAATGTTGTGATCTTTAACATTTGTGTATACATATTTTCATGCACAAATGTTAAAAATTTCTACAGGATAGAATCTTAGCAGTAATATTACTGGGTAAATAACGTTACTGGGTAACGTGTCATGTGAACACTAGACTTAGTGAAACACAAAGTACTAATATAGTAATAAAGCTTTAAGTTCTTATCTTTGAGATGTTTAAAATAATTGGATTTTTCTCAAATAGAGTGACTCCTATACTGGATTTCTCTTTGCTTATTTTTATTGCTCTTTTAAAATTCACTGGGAAAATCATGTAGAAATGTGTATAATGTCACAGATAGTAAAGTTAGGAGCTGGATTGGTGATCCAGTTATCCTTCCCTTTTTCTTCTCCTGCATGTGAAAACACATACAACTTGGTAGCTGAAAAAAATTGTGCTTAAAGAGAAACTGTAAGGGCCTCCCCGGTGGCGCAGCGGTTGAGCGCTGGGTTGCAAAGCTGCCCGCAGCCTCTGCAGCGCCTGTTCAATCCCCGGCTGCTCCCCGGCTACTGGAGGAGGGTCCTACATGGCACGCAGGCCTCTCCTGCTGCCCACTGCTCCCCTCAGCAGTGTATTTTGGTCCTTCTGCCTGCTCTGCTCCCCGCTCTGGCTCTGGTGAATTCTCTCACCCTCCCGAGCTTCTGACTATACCCAGTGCTTGTATAAATAAATAAATAAACAAATCTTTAAAAAAAAAAAAAAAGAACCTGTGACTTGTATGTGATCATAAAATTTGATTAGTTGCAGAGCTTAGAATCTGAGGCATGGCTTTACCGTACTGTTTCTTATACTGTTAGCAGATTTGCATCTTCTATGGTTTATCTAGATATGTCTTACGAGCACCCACATTCTTGTCTATTCATTACGTGGTTTTTTTTTTTTCTCCTTTTTTTTCTTTTTAAAGATGATATCTTCTCCTCTGGTATCCAGTCTAAGACAACCAAAACAAAAAGTCAGTCTTCACAGGCAGCGCCTGAACCAAGATCTGAACAGAAGGTGTCCAGTATATTTGATGATCCCTTGAATGCCTTTGGAGGCCAGTAGAGCGTACAGAGTTACCACATCTCACCCTTCAGCTACATTCTTGAGTTATTGATGCTTTTATGCTCATTGTCTTAATTGAATTACAAAAAGTAAATACTGAAACAGTTCACCTCTTAGCCAATGCACTTAATATTTTTTGCACTAGTTTAAATCATGCTTAATACTACAAAATAAAAAGAAATGTTTGACAGTGGTTTTTTTTTTTTCCAAAACTGTATTTTTATTTCATTAGCCTTGGTAGGACCACACTATGATTTAGGACATGTTAGAGAAGAAACCTATTTGTAGCTTTCATGAATATGCAGGGAGTCACAGAAATAGCAAATTCCAGACAGGTGACCAGAAATCCTTCTTAAATGGATGAGAGCTCTAGCTTAGTTATGGCAGGAACAAGTGATAGAGGAAGATATATAGAGTATATAGGAGAGGAGGTTTCCTTTGATTGTACTGAATTCTGAGGCTCCATCTACAGGTCCACCAAGATAAAGTTTGGCAAACTATGACCCTCTACTCTGTTTTTGTAAATAGTTTATTAGAACACAACCATACTTGGTCATCTCCAGCCCTGTGATAATGCCAGAGTTGAGTAGTTGTAACAGGCTGATGACCACAAAACCTAAGATATTTTCTATCTGACCCTTTACAGAAACAATTTGCTAACCCTTGCTCTTAGACATCCATTTCCATTCCTTGGAGTTTTGCATCATTTTGTGAAAGAAGCAGAATGAATCTAGGTAATGGTAGAAAAAAGCACTGAGGGTAGAAATGTCAGCCTCTTGCGCAGTACTGTTCCAGAGAACTCTTCACTGGTGGGAATGTTCTAAACTCTGTAGTCCAGTGTAGTAGCCAGTAGCCACATGGATAGTTGACTCCCATTCTAGTTTGTTTCCTGTGCTATGTCAACTTGGTGCTGAGTAGTCCATAACCCTGGCACAGCCTGTGGGTAGACCAGGTTTGGCTTCACCAATCCTGAAACCACTGACTTCTTTGTTGGGTACTTTGAAGATTAAATTGGGAATTGTTCAACCTTGGAGAAAGATTTTTTTTACAGCTTCCACAGATCAGCTGTTTGCATTGCTCTGCTGTTAAGAGTGACCCAATGGCAGAATAGAGTGATTACTAGTTGCCTACTCCTTTTCCTACCCTTTTTGTTCACCTGCTTTCCTTCAAGTTACTGATATACATTTAGATATTTGTTTTGAGACCTAGATTTAAATCTGGTTCTTCCATTTAGAACAGTTTGAGGGTAGTCAAATTGCCTTCTCTTAGCTTCTCCTTTTGTCCAGTAGGAGTTTCAGTACCAACTTTGCAAGATGGTGATGGGAGAGAATATGCAAAAACCCTTTTAAACTATTACTCATGTGAGACATCATAGTTGGTGGTGATTTGGGAACAAATGATTTGGCCAAGGTAACAGCTTCTAGTGTTGGAACATGAGGTTTTAAACGCATCAGCCTGACTTCCTTCTGTCTGTGACAAGTGGAGAGGCAGATGGAGAAACTGAATTTTTGATTTGAGTCACTCCACAGGCATTATTCTTCAGGTCTAGCATACAAGGCAACAATGATCATATCTTTATACTCAAGAAGCTCCAATCTATTAAACGTGTGGAGTTTAAGGAACCAGTGGTTGGAGGATGAAAGCCCAGTGCTTCATCACAAACTCCAGTATATGCTTAGTAGTTTGCTGAATTGCGAAGATTAATTAGTGGGGTAAGGGAGGATGCTCAGGAGAGTGAGAAAAAGATGGGATTCAAAGAATTGCTATTGGGGTTCACTGCTCAGAAGACGATGAGTGAAGCTGTAGTGGGAGATTACCATTCATTGTCAGTTGAGTAATCCACCTAGCGAAATAGGTCATTTGGGTTAGGAAGTCTGTAGTGATTGCATTTAGAACCACCTTGTGTGGGGAATTAAGGGATAAAAGCACCAGTGGGGACCCATCTCAGGTTTGTGTTGTCTTGGAAGCCTGTTTTGGTCTACACCGGGACTCAGCAAGCTGGGAATGAAAGGAGAGGAAAAAAGGTTAGGTTTACCCAATGCTGGGATTTAACAGCCTAAGCTACCCACTTAAATACCTCGCTTACAGTTCTCTCTAAACTGGATGAGGAATCAGTGGGTAAGGACAATTGAGGTGGTTTGCTTTTGCCCTTGTCCTCAACCGGGCATAGCTGTGCCCTCATATTGCAGGTGAGTCAACTGAAGCCTAAAACGTTGGGAGACCAAGTACAGGAAGGGGTATCTGTGCAGGGCAGGTCGACTTGGAACACACGAGCAGTGCCCAGGCTCTGGAACGGCCTCGGCTGGCCAGCCTCCGAGAACCCCTTGTGCCCCGGAGCATCTCAGATAATGCGCTCTTATGCCCTCGCCCGATCGGAGACCCATGAGACCAATCCTGCCGTCCTCAGGAGGCTGTGCGACTGGTCTCCAGCCCGCCCGCTTCTCTGTCAGGTGTGTACAGTTAGTTTAAAAAAAAAAAAAAAAGGTCAACATCCGGGCCTCTCCTAACCGACACCCACCGCCGAACTGCTATGGAAGCCCCGGCTACCGAGCAACCGCCGGCGTCCCGCAACCAGGTCCCGCCCCCGCCCCCGCCCCCGCTGATTGGAAGGCGACGCGAGCGCCGGCGAGCGATTGGTGCGCGGTGTCACAAAGGGGCGGGGCAGGCGGCCGCGGAGCGTTGCTCGCCTGTGTGAGTCCCGGCGTCGCTCGCCCGGCCGCGCCTCCGGCTAGGCCTGCGGGCAGGCGAGGAGTGGACCCAAGCCGGCGAGGGCCAGCGGGCCGAATGGGGCGGGCGCGGGGGGCCGCGGGCCGCTGAGCCGGGCCGCGCTCCTGCCTCCGGCCTCCGCGGGCCGGGGAGGGCGCCGGCCAGTCGGCCTCGGGTAGCCGGCCGCGCCCCCTCCAGCGCCGCACGGCCGCGCCCCTCAGCCGCAGCCCCGAAACGGCGCGGCGAGCCGCCTCCTCAGAAAACAGCCTCGGCTTGCGGCCCCCCGCGAGCGCCACGCGGGGCTCCCCGCCCCGCAGATTCCGACTCCGGGCCCGGACACTACCTTCCCCGTCTGGCCGGCGCGTCTGGGGCGCGGAGTTTCTGCCGGAGGAGCTCGGGCCGCGCAGGTGACTGGGGGCGCGGGGGCCGCACGGGGAAGGCTGTTTCCTGCCTCGTTCACAGCCCCACGTGGAAATTGCTTTGTGGCAGGTTTATGTATGATTCTGCAGCTTGTGTTTGAAACTCAGTATGTTTTTCACATATTGATAAGAACAGGTAGCTAAAAACCACTTTTTTTTTTTCACTTTTTAAAGAGACTTTATTTTTAAGGAGTTGTAGGTTCACAGCAAAATTAGAGAGTCCAGAGATTTCCATATACCCCCTGACCTCTAAGTGCACAGCCTCCTTTCTAAAACCCAACATTTTTAATGGCTTCATAATATTCTGGATCTTTTTCTATTGGGGGAAAAGTTTCAGAGGAACTCCTTAGATGACTAAGCATCTTTGCTGCAGAGGGTGAAGCTGATTTCGAGTTCTGCAATGACCTATCCAGCCTTGCTCTCTTTAACTTCCCTGTCATCATAGGTGGTTGTCTTTTCCACAGCTTTTTCAGAAGAGGTGAGCAAAATGTTTGGGGAATTGATTGAGAAACTTAGAAGAAAGTGTATTTTTAAAATTACTTTTAAACCTCTGAAGTGTTTTTTTCCCCTCTACTTCTTTTCCTCTTCCCTTTCTACTTTTGAAGTTGTGCTTCTGTCATTTCCCATCATAACTTTGAATCTTCATTACCTCTCTTTTGCCAGCATCCTAGGGCCCCATAGTATGTGCTCAGTCCAGCAAGACCAGTCACCACTTTCAGAAGCTGTGTGCAGACCCTGCTTTTAATACTGGCTGGGTCTTTGGCCTGTGTAAGCTTCCCGTGGTCCCCCTGCTATCATCTAGTCTTCCAGTTTGGTAGAACCAGATTTTGTGGCCTCATTTTGTCCTCTCTCCACGATTAATTCTTCTAAGAAGTTGACTATTTCTAGAAGCATACATTTTCAGTTTTGAATTTGGTTACCGCTGTTGCTTCTTTTTGGTTATTGGAAATTACTCCATTGATTGGGACCCAAACTTTTTGTGGATGTGCCAGCATAATCAGCACTATTATTAGGTTGATATTTTGCTTTTAACCTAATAGTTGCTTTATCCATTCTCTATGGAATACTTCCAAACCTGTATTTCTGTTACCTTCTCTGCCTCCAGCCTATTTATTATTTTCAGGATATTACTATAGAAGAGTATTGTGGTGAAGGAAATGCTACTAGGGGTTAGCTTCATGCAAGGTAATTTTCCAACAGGCATTTCAATGTATTAAAGATAGTAAGAAGTAAAACCTGAACAATACAGCCATTTATCTTTTATTGAAGAGTAATGACCTTTTACTGCACCACCAATATTAATTAGCCCTGTACTTTGTACTATTATTTTTCTTGCTTATTATTATGACAAATAGTATAGCAACACTCAAAGAAGCTGTCCAATTTTTCTTCTTTGTAGGACCATTAGCAGTCTGCGCAGTGTATTTCAGGTTCACTAATTAGTTTATTATACTTCCTATTAGTGTTAAAAAATTTCACCCTCTAGCAGAAACCCCTGTGTGTGTGTGTATGGTATGAGTTGGATAAACTTTGCTGGGCTTAGTTTGGTGTGAATCATAACATTATTCCCATGGGAAACCAAAGTAACTTCTGGAGCATAACCAAACATACCCTCATCTCTAAAATAGGGTTAATATCTTGCCTGTGTCACAGATTTGTTCTAAGATCTATAAGGATCAGTTGAGAGAATGATTATTTATCTTTCCTTGGACAAATCAAATGAGTTCCAGTACGTACAGAACACTGTGCTAGATGACGAGTTGGTAAGTTAGAGATGGTCCCTCCTTTTAGTAACCTACAGTTTTAGGGTAAAAAAAAGTCACCCCTAAATTGAGGTAGGGGTGCAAAGTATTGATAGAAAATCATGAAAGTTTTTGTGGAGTAGTTGCTACTTGTACTGAGTATTTCAAGACTTTTAGGTGCTTGTCAAGTAGCCAAGTGTGGGGATGATGGGGAGTAGAGCAAAAAGCAGGTGCAGCAATATAGAGACCTATGTCTTGGTTTTCTGAAGCTGTAGGTGCAAATGATTAGAGGATAGATGTGACAGAGGTGTGCAGGGTGAA